AATGAAGTGAGGAACGGAAAGTAGCTGCAGCCCATTGACATCTGCAACCAATTTCAAACAAAAAAGCTTAAAGATGCGTTGTCACCTCTGAGTATTAAGATGGAAGGTAAGAGAGTGGTACCTAAACGGACTCCAAGGAAAAAAAGAACTTCTTATATAATAAGGAAACTAACTACGTTCATACTTAGCTTCCAGTTTTTCCTTTAAGGATTAACAAAAATATGTACTATATTCTATTTTTTTATAACATTGGGTGACAAACGAGCATACAGTCCACTTAATGGTAAGTGGATGCTGTGGACCAAAGACATCCACATTTATCTTCAATCAAGAATCAAAATGCAATGCGTTGGCACTCCTAAGGACTAAGATGGAAGGCCACGATTCCAGTAAAAAGGGTCTATATTTACGGCTATTGTATTACGGCTGTGAGATTATTCACCTTATTCCTCATGATTGATTATTTATTTTTTGATTTTTTACGTGGCCAGGCTCGACCGGAAAAGCACCAGGGTCTCACAGAATACTACCATAAAATAGCAGCTTAATGCAGCTGTGTTTCGTATGGTGAATTTAGAGAAACGCAGAGCCATTTCACTGAAAACGAAGCATTCCATATTAGTTGTCAGGAAACAACGCATCTCTATTTCGATTCTTAATCGAGGATAGATGTAGATGACTGTAACCACTTAACATTAGGAAGACTGTGTGATAGTTTGTCATCCTTTACCTATAGTAGTAACAAGGCATCGGAAACTTTTATTCAGAGTTCTTAAGTGTCACTTACAAATTCATATTATAAATAAAAAGCATAGTTATGATCAAAACCAGGTGTTTTCACTATAGCTATCAGGTTTATCAATTATTTTGCTGATTGCGTCTACTATTTTGTTTGTAAACGCAGCGTAACGTAGTTTCATGTGTGAATTCGTTAAAGTGTCCTTGTTTTGTAATCATATGTTTGCTCTGTGATATTGTTAAACGCAGTTTTAATTTTAAGTGAGAATTCCATCCATCTGAGTTCTTAGAGGTGACAACGCTTTTGCAGCCTCCTTTGCTTAAAGTTAGCTGCAGGTTGCCATGGACAACAGCAGCCACTTACCATGAGGTGGACTGTGAGTTTGATTTGGCATTTCAGTTTAATGAAAAAAAAAAATCTGCACTGCGAAGCCAGTGAGAGTATGTCCAAATCTAAAAAATTTTGCCATACGTAGTCTGCCTATTTGCACTTTCTTTTGCACATTACCAGTAACGAAACTTATATTTTTTGTTAAATAAAAGTCTTTGTGTCTCACTGAGTTATTGTCTCACATGATTGATAAGAACTCCTGGGAATGCGGTGATCGCTACCATGCTGTTTCTTACGTCTTTTTTATATAAGAGGGGTCAAACCAGCTTGCGGCTCACCTGATGGTAAGTGACTACCGACGTACATGAACAACGTCAACACTAGGGGAATTGCAAGTGCATTGCCGGCCTTTTAGGAAGGAGTGAGCTCTTTTCTTGAAGGTTCTTAAATTGTATTGGTCCGGAAAAATCGCTTGTGGTAAACGATTTCACAACGAGGAAGAAAACTCCTAGTAAAACAAACAGTGATAGACCACCAGGCATCCAGATGGTGTGGTTGGAATATCATGAGTTTTACCGCGATGTGCGTTCGTGCAATTTGGCGACTGGAATTAATTCGAACAATTCGTTAGAGCACTTCTTATGGTAGATGTTATAGAAAATGCAAAGGGATGCAACATTCCTTCTCAGTGCCAATGAATCGAGTTGATCAGAAAGAACTTTGTCATCTACGATTCGAGCCGCTCTACGCTGGATGTGGTCAAGTGAAAGGAGCTGATACTACAGTGCCCCGGCCCAGAGATGAGAACAGTATTCAATGTAAGGCCGAACTTGCGCCTTGTAAGTGCGCCAAGCTTTTTACAGGTCAAAATGGCCTTCCCTTACAAGTTACCAGGAAACTGCACATCAATAAATTTTTCGACGCCGAGGATTCCTATGCTAGCTAAGGTAGCAAGGGGAGTGCCCTGAAATTGAAGGAACACGAAAAAGGGATTCATTTTAGCGATAAACGCACAAACCTGCGTCTTCTGAGGGTTAAACTGAACTAGATTATGTCGTCCCCAATCCAAAACTTTGTACAACAAAGACTCGACTTCTGACACAAGTTTGTTCCGGTACTCGATGACGTAATCCCGAGAAATATTGGCACGGCCAGAGTAAAAATCATCACCTGTGCTGTCGTCCGCATAGCAATGAATGTTACTGGTTTTCAACATATCACTGATATGTAATCAGAGCATGCACTGTCTACTACTACCACGATGCTCCGATCAGCAAGGAAACTGGTGATCCAGTTGCGCAATTTCGCGGGAAGCCCATTGGAAGGAAGCTCCGCATTTTCGAAACTTCCTTCGAATCGAAGGGAGCGCTTTGTGCGAAACCCGATCGAAGGCCCGCGCTATGTCCAAACTAACGACCAATGTCTCCCCCTTGGATTCTATTGCCTTCGCCCATCTATGGGTCAGGTAGATCAGAAACTGATCGACCCTGACGGAAAACCATATTGGCGGTCTGACTAACTAATCAGCTGGTGAACTTCAAGGTCCCTCATGAGCTGGCAGTTTATAATGGATTCCATTATTTTGAAGAACAAGGGTCTGAGCGGTCGTCTTTTTTAGAGGTTGGGTGCACCAAATCTCTCTTCCGTGATTTTGGGACTAGGCCTTCAGAGTAGGAGTACCGGAAATGATGCGTTATAACCTATACCTTATCGGAGGTACCCGTCTTTAACACAATGATCTGTGTCGGCTTTATCGCTATGGGACTTACAGAGGCACTCGTAGACGTCCGGGTGGTTATCGAGACATATGTCCTCTCTGACGTATACGCAAACTCTAGTCCGAAGCACAAAGGAGTGTTCGAATTTGCACACTCCTTTGTGCTTCAACAAAAAAAACCCGAGTACGAAAAAGGCGAAGTATCAGCCAGAGAGGACACCTAAGTCAGAAAGAGCAAGACCGGTTTCGGATCTTCAGATGGTATTGGACGGCGTTTAAGCTGTTACAATCACCTTGTACATCACTGTTTTTAATAAAACTATTTTGTTTTTGTTTATTATCCACATACATTGAATTTTCGTAAATATACTGAGAGGTCAAAGTATTTTTTTTGTTTGAGGACTCCTTCGGATAGGGTTATAATTTGCTCTTCTGTAAAACAAAGACAGTTTCCATCCAAGAAAAATAGTGGACTCAACAAGAATCAGATCTTCCCCATTTAATAGCACACTGATATTTACCTGTCTAACATTTGACAGATGATAAGTGCATGCCTATACCCCTGAGGACCAAGATGGAATGCCACGTTTCCAGGAAAAACGTCTCCGGTGCTCTACACTCATGATACGAAAAACAGAAGCATTAAGCAGCTACCATTTCACGTTGGCATTCTGTGTAAGCGTGGCCCTTTCCCTTCGTTCGTTCGTGCTAGAACCGTAATAGCTGCAGCGTGACTCTACATGTATAGGCATAATCGTCTATAATTATTTAATTTACGTCAACACCATTTTAAAATAAAACTTTATGATAAGATATTAGAACGTTTTTTACTTAAAATTAATAAATCTTCAATTTTTGTTTTAAACATTTTTAAGTATCGCTAATAGTTACGACCTAAAAGATGCAGGAAGTCGATGGGTGCAGGTGGCTCAAGATCGTGTTTTGTGGGTTCTTTAACTTATCTTCAATAGTAGACACGTTAAAGGTTGTAATGATAAAGATGATGATGAACTATAGATCTGCAGGTTTTTAGGGTTCTGTTGTGGTAGCGCTGTCGTCGCGCCGCAAGCGAAACACACCGAAGCCTAAATCACTCTATCGAAATTCCGAATCACAAACAGTATATATAGAACATCTCCGAACTATCAAACGGAGTGTTGGCCGCTCCCTGGGCAGAACTCCTTGCTCGGCGGGAGATCTCCCCTTTTCTTTCCACGGCCACACTGTATTTAAACAACTAGGAACTCTTATAGTTTCGCCATTTCCATCCATCCGGTTCCGGTTTTCCTCAGAGACTTACAAAATTGGGAAATAAAATATTGATTTTTTTTTATCTTAGGTACCTACCATGCAGGTGATTTTTCTACTCGTCTATTTATTCCATCCTAATCATCAATATTTTTCCGATTCAAGGCTCTGTTTGCGAAATATTATGCTATAAAGTGTTATTTATATTAGAGTCTTGTGTACCCCCATCTACCAACGAAACCGCTGTTTTTGAAAATGTGAAAAGTATACACTATAGTAGAATATATAATTAAATTAAAAGGAAAACTATCACAGCTAAGTAGGCTTAACAAGTTAACGATTAATAGCCGACAAAGTTATAACTAAACAACTTTTATTACTAAAATAAAAAACACCAAACTACGCAATATAATACGCAAATCTGAGCCGTTGTAGCTCAAAAATGAGAGCAAGGCCTGTACCCAGCAGTGGAACGTATATAGGCTGTAATTTTACTTTTTTACTTTAAACTACGCAAACATACCTACACAAAATATGCTACGAATTAATAACATTAACAAGAATTAATAATCTAATGTATAAAAATTAATGTTTGTTTGTATTCGTATTTTATACGCTGCCATACCGTTCATCAGATTGCGCTAAAACTTTGTCAACATATTGCTTGCACTTGCGCGAAGGCTATAGGCACAAACTTACAATAGGTGGTGTGCATATCATTCCGACAAATTTATTTGCTAGTTGCATATTATCATAATTATTATCATTTCTAATTAAACAATGTAACTCTTCCAAATTTAAAATAATATTTTCAAAATTGTTTCTTCTGCGGCGGCAACCAGCCGTATACCAGCTAGTTATTAATAGGATTAATAATAATATTGCTTAGAATTTTAACCTATAGGTATTTTTTCCTATAAATAACATGCGGTGTTATTTCCAGAGGATTAAAATTAAATCGTCACCATGTTCGAGGGCGCGGTCGCCGGTATCCTGAACCGGCTGCTTGGCAAATATGTCCAGGACCTTGACACAGAAAATCTAAACGTGGGCATTTTCTCCGGCAATGTCAATTTAACGGATCTTAAGCTTAAGCCCGAGGCTCTGGTAAGGAATAAATGTAGCTTTTTTTAAATTTTAACCAACTAATGGTGGTTTGTATCTTGTGTGTCTTGTTGCGCCGCTGTAGACTACGCCTACAAATAATTCTGGATCTGGATATTTCCATGTACAATATATCTTTCCATGTCTGATACATATGTATATTAAACTACTTTAAAAGTTAAAAGTAAAGTAACTCCTTTCATTTTTAATAGGGAGTTAAGGTAATGAAATATCCGCCTGTTGAAGACTTCACATGCCTTCGGATATTTTTTTTAAATACTCAGACATGCAGGTTTACTCACGATGTGTTCCTTTACCGCCTACTGTATTACATTACTTTAAATTGAAAATTATTACAATATACAAATACAATAATCGTTTTATACTTTTACAGTATGAATTGGATCTCCCTATCGATGTCAAAATTGGCACTATTGGCCGCGTCAGTCTCCAGATACCATGGTCCGGGCTGTACACCAATCCTGTTGTCGTCAACATCGATGATGTGTTATTGTTGGTGGGTCCAGCTATCTCGAATAGTTACTTCGATCCTGAAAGAGAGAGAAGACTAACCAGAGCTGCCAAAAGAAAGATTTTACAGGATTTAGAAGCAGAAAGTGAGATTCTAAAGGGTCCTCAGAACTTTTTCGAGAGTCTCTTTACAGCGATTGTAAATAACATTCAGATTTATGTAAGGAATGTCCATGTAAGATATGAAGACTCTATCAGCTCAAAGGATGGTCCGCTCGCATGTGGATTGTGTTTGCAAAGTCTATCCATAGAGACTACAAACAGGTGAATTGTTTGAATATTATTGGTAATTTATAAAGTAACTTTGACAGAAATGAAAACCCACTATCCAAGAATCTGAGAACTGCTAAAATTTACTGCAGCTAGGATTCAAATCCAAGATCCAACCTTAGTGAGATAGTAAAATAGCGAGCTACGTTGAAGAATAAAAGTACAGGTTTGAAAAAATGTACACCTTATTTAATGTATGTTAAGAAATGAAGTGAGTAACGGAAGACCGATGCAAGGCCATTATAGTCCTAATAAATAAGGAAAAAAGGTTCACAGTTGGACTAAAAACTATCGTCGTATCAGCCTGATTAGCATTGTGGGAAAACTGTATGCTAAGGTGCTAATTTAAATAGTTATGATAGAAACTGATGGAAAAATTTGCGATGTGGAAGCTGGATTTAGAAAGGGAATGACGTGTTAGGATCAAGTTTTTCCATGCGCATGATCGCGGAGCAGTTTTCAGCTAAAAACCAAAAAGTTTTTTGTGCATTCATGGACATGAAAAAGGCTTAAGACATATTGGATAGGGACTTATTAATGTAAACACTGAACTCATTTCAGTTGATCACTGGGTTGACACAGGCATTAAAATCTCTGTAAAAAGGACTCTGCTAAGTGCTAGCGTCAGGATCAACGGCGCCCACTCCGACTGGTTTCGCATTCATAAAGGTGTCAGATAAGGCTGTGTGGGTGTTCAACCTATTTATGCCTATAAACCCTTTCTACGAAAGATAATCAAGTCATATTTACGCTCTTAGCGACCGATTTGCTAATGATGGTTACATTAAGAACAGGTCATTGAAAGAGAAAAAAACGTAAAATGATATATGAAATAAGAATAGCAGGGGAGTTGGTTGAGCAAGTGGATGAGTTTATGTATTCGTGATATGTATTTAGCAGGGATGGTATATATTATAAGGATGTAGAACGACAAGTGAACGCAGGAAATGGAGTAAATGGGGTTCTACACTCTATTGTGGGAATCAAAATCTGTCAAAAAAGGCACGTATGGCAATTCACAATGCTGTATTGGGCCCTACCTACCTAATTTCACTACTATACATTAATTTTGATAGTGAAAGTTGGGTGTGGCAGAAGAAGGGCTGCATTTCTACGGAACTTATTCTACAGTAGAAATGCAGCTCTAACATACTCCTTGTATGTTAGAGCTGAATCTGAATGATCTGAGAAATTGTGTGATATGAGAAAAGTGTAGTTGCATGATGATGTTGTGATCAAAATTAATAAAGGACTTCTTTGTTGATTTGATCATTTAGAAAGAATGAACGTGTAAAGAGTGACAAAACAAATCTATATTGTAGAAGGGAACAGCAGAGTCGAGAAGGCATGCCCTAGACCAAATTGGTGATATATTGAAGATGGGCCAGATTAAGAGTATTCTTAACCGACAAGCATGTATGCGTAGGTATATGGGTGTAAACGAGGCGAGAAAGGTGTGTCAGGATCGTACCAAATGGAAGTCGATATTCTCTGCCTACCTCTGTGCGTGACTGACGTGAGTGTTTATGTATTTTATTTACAATTAATATTTTTATCATACTAGCAAATGGAAGCCATCTGTGACCCCAGTTAATGCGTCCACCGTGTATCAAATGATGCGCATCGAGTCTCTCTCGCTCTACTGGAACCCCACAGCAACGGCTCTGGATGACAACGAGACGGCACACATCACCCCAATGCAATATTACAATTGGAAGCATTATATGTTAACAGGATTAAACAAATTTTCTATGCATCATGAAGACTTCGAATTTTGTAAGTATTTTGCCATTTGGTCCAAAACTAGCTTCTTATAAAAATTGGAATCCAATCTTTTAAAAATATTATAATATTTTTATATAATTACAGGCAAAAAACGAGCATATAGTTCACCTAATCATGAGTGGATATAGATATCTATATTTATAAAAATATAGATAAATTCATTATAATGTCCTCCAGACCGAATTTCGGCCACGGCGGCATGCCTCAACAGAGGCTAGCCATTGACGCAGGACGGGATTATAGTGCCCAAGTGTAGGCGCAAGCACAGATGCACTCTCTATTCCCTCACTCTCATAATTCGATGGGACGGTAAACCGACGAGACCGGAGAGAGAACAAGCGCAGGAGCAACGGTTTTACGTGCTTTCCGAGGCACGGGAGATACCGCTAACTTCCTGACTCCGAGCAGCTACTTAGAATTTCTTGACAGAAAAGCTCGATAATTGATTTTTTGGCCCAACATAAGTCCTGAAGGAATATATGTTCACCAGTAATAAGAGTCTCCGCTTCTATTTACTCACCATTCCAAAAACGTAGTAGCATTACGTTGGTGTTCCGTGCGAGTCTTTATAACAATTATATATTTCATTTTAATGTCACTATTTGATTTTTTTTCCAATTTTATTTGTAAAATACCGCAGAGTGCACTGCTAGGAATTCCTACATTTCTGAGTAGGTTTTAAGATATTCTTGTTTATAATACATTTTATTGAAGTATCTTTTGTAAATGCAAACCGTTTGTTGCAGTACTTAAACCAGTAACTTGCAAGGTCAAGGTGCTTATCAACAGATCTGGTGAAGCTAGGGTACCGAGACTTCTTTTGGATGCGGTATTACAAGACAGTGCGTTGCAACTGTCACGGCGACAGTATCTATCTATAGATAACTTGCTGTCTTCATTCCGTCGGATAAAGTTAAATAGGTGCGTATGTCGTTATACTTTAGACGAAATACAAACAATAAAAACAAAATTTGTCGTTTTAATAAAACAAAATTTGCCGGTAGTAGATTTTATAAAATCCCCTACTGCCTACCCCCATATCGTCCCGTGGGTGTCGTAAGAAGCGACAGAAGGAGACTGATACAGGAGATGGGTAGCAGCATCTTGTTGATAATAGCTCAAAATATTAAAAACTACGGCTGCCTACTCGTCTGTCTATAAAGCGTAGCAAATATGGCAAGTATCCCCCTATGAGGCAATCTATGGGGGAGGTTTATGTTAAGCCGGATTTTTGATAAGCTGTTTTTCCGAACCGATACGATTTAGGGACCCACAAGAAAAGAGCTTACTCCTTTCTAAAAGGCCGACAACGCACGTGGGATTCCCCTGGTGTTACAGTTGTTCATGGGCGGCGGTAGTCACTTATGCTCGGTTGCCCCCTCTCCCATAAAAAAGTTGTAATGAATGAAATAAAATTAAAACACATAATTAATCTCAATGATCTAGGTAATTTCTTTCTGGGTAATTTTTTGTTTGAAAGCGATTAAGCGATTCATAATTAATAGATTGTTTTGAGAAGTGTCAAAAAGTGTAGTATAAAGATTATATTATAGAAGATCAAAATCTATATTTCTTATTGAATAAACAGTTAATGAATATTTTATCGATATAGAAAATACCGGCACCTCCACCCTGGTATGCCGTTATTGAAGGATTTAAAGAAGTGGTGGCGCTACGCTTACAACGTGGTAGTGGAGCAACGCGTTAGACCTTACACGTGGGCGGCCATAAAGAAACACAGGGAGAACTATAACACATACAAACAGACATACAAGAGTACGTTACGGAGTCCCAACGATACAGAACTAAAGTTGGACTTACAGAAGTGTGAAGATAACCTTCCAATAATTTCGGTTGTCATTGCAAGGGAGCAGGCGAAGTTCGAAGTAAAATTATTATCTACTATTGTAGTTATTTTAGATAGATTTAAGTGCTAACAATCTCTTATTGCACCATTTTGACTGACGATTTTTATTTAGTAGGTAATTATGTAACAAGGCACGTCACGTCACTTACGTGGTAGCGCCACGCTGCAGCTATATTATGGTTGAACAAGGAACGTGTCGGCTCGACCGGGGAAGGATCACGCTCTCACAGAATGCCAACGTAAAATAGCAATGTTTCGTATGGTGAGTGTAGAGATCCGGAGACCCTTTTTTACTGGAAACGGGAACGGGGCATTCCATCTTAGTCCTCACGGGTGACAACGCATCTGCATTTTGATTCTTAATCGAGGATAATTGTAGATGTCTATTAAACAGAAACTTTTTTATTTAATATAGATTGTAAACAATACTTTTTGAAAGTCACTTTTTTCATTCACCACTGGTTCGCAAAAAACACCTCTTTCCTAGGATGAATCAGCAAAAACCCAGCGGGACAATTTTTCTTAAATAATAGCAAACATGTACAATGTACGTTACAATTAACAACACAAAACTAATTAGAAATAGCTAGTTAGCGATCACCCTTCCCAGGGGTTATTATCATCCATAAATTCTTTAATATTATAATAATCCTTTTTATACAAACTTAGTTTAATAAAGTTTTTAAACCTTGTGTATTTCAAATTTTGTATATTTTCTTGGATTTTGTTGTAAAAGCGTATTATACATCGCCTCAAGAAAGAATTTATTGTTAAAACTTACTGGTAGATTGAATTGCGAAAAATGACCTTACCAGTTTCAATATTATTTATACTCCATGTCATTTTAATTTTATTAGAAGCCGTCTTTATTTTGTTGCTCATATACAAAGACTTGTCTATGGAGCACACTCTTTTAAATATTTTTGAATATTTTTTACATATTCCCTAAATTCGATGCTAGAATGATATGACCTTTCATTGTGTAGTTCATATAACCTTTGTCTACTCTTATGGACTCAAAGTGAAAGGACAAGTGAAAGTATTATATGTTCTAAAAATGCAGTTACTTTGTCTGATGGTAAAATTGTGAAAGTATCGTCTACGTACCGCTTGTAGATCCTTGGTGTAACAGGTGCAGTAAGGAGGGCTTTCTCCTCAAAGTCTTCCATGAATATATCGGCGACAATGGGAGATACAGGTGAGCCCATCGCAACACCATCTACTTGCTTGTAAAACTCTTCCTTCCACAATAGATAGCCAGATGTAAGGCAATGTCTTAGTAATACTGCATATTCTGCTGGCATGTTATTTTCCTTTAGTTTCCTAGTTATAATTGAGATGCAGTCTTCAACAGGTAGGCATGTAAATAGAGACTGAACATCAAAACTGACCATGGTTTCATTGTCAGTAAGATGTAGGTCTTTTATCTCACTGACAAAATGGTATGAATCCTTAGTGTGTGCTCTTGTGTGTCCTCTGAGTGGTGATAATATTTTAGCTAAGTATTGAGCCAATCTGTAAGTTGGCGAATCAATCTGACTCACTATTGGACGTAATGGAGCATTCGGTTTGTGTATCTTTGGTAACCCATACAACTTCGGTGGTTTGGCACATGAAGGTATTATCGAATTAACGTCCAGATTAAATTTTTCGGAGTATTTCTTAATTAAATCGCTAGTTGTTTTAAGCGTATTAGTTGTAGGGTCTGTTTTGACCTTTCGATAAGTAGTTTCATCCGACAAAAGTTGTTGTATTTTAAAATTGTAATCTGACGTATCCATTATAACCGTAGGTTTTGCATTCATTGTATTTAGTTGTTTCGCGTTTATCTAAAGTTTCCATGCAATTTTTATAATCAAATGTCGATAAAACTGTCTTTAATTCACTGGACGAATTGTCTATGGTTTTGTTTATGAAATATAGATCGGTACGTTTTTGCTGAATCACCGTTATTAACAACTCTTTACTAGCCTGATTTAAGATCTTAGCGCTTCCTCGAATGTCTTTTCTTATAGCGAGAATGCTATATCTTGAAGCGAGCTTCTATTAGAACATTCTACAAGCCGCCGAAGAAGATTAGTCAGTTCCTACCATCCGTCAAGTGTCATATTCCTTTACAAGATGCAGGAGTGTACAAGCTTGATTGTGAATGTTGTCTCTCTTATATAGGACAAACAAAAAGATCAATTAGGACGCGTAAAAGAACATATAGCTGATGTGAAGCATCAACGTTCCGGGAAGTCTGCAGTTTGTGATCATATCCTAGACGGACCCAACCATTACAAGTCCTCGCGAAAGAACACCGATTCCTACCAAGGATGATACGTGAGGCTATTGAAATTAAAAAACATCCTAATTTCAATAGAGAAGGAGGCTGGGTACTACCACCTGCTTGGGATCCTATAATCAATAAAATTAAAACTAAACCCAAGCATACCACTGCAAGACCTCAAGACATAGTCAGTTCATTTTGCATAGATCGGACCATAAACAATAATTAAAAAAACTGAAGGTACTCCGGGTTTAACAATGACATCGGGACGTCAGTCATCTCAGTCCCCCGTGATCATGGGTGCTGGAAAGCGCCCGAAACGTCGGGAATTAAAAATAAAAGTAAATAAAAAGTAAAAATAAACGCGATAAAATCCGTAAAAGTAGTTTTAATCATGTATAGTGTTCGCGTAAATATAAGAAATCATTATATATTCTCGTTTTAAAAATGACATACATTTTGATGTTAATATGCTTGTTGTCGATCGTATTACGGATATTATGCCTTCCGCTCCTGTTGACTTAAGCGCGCTTTCGCACCTAACGTCATTGCAGCTTGCGGACTCAGAATTTGGAGTTCCAGGTTCCGTAGATATATTATTGGGTGCATCTATTTTTCCGCATTTGTTACTGCCTAATGTAGTGCACAGCAGTAGTCGTAATATACTTCCCGCAATTGAGACGGTACTGGGTTATGTGATCATGGGCTCTGTATCTATTTCACATATTTCCAAATCTACAACCTCTTGTTATTCTGTCGTTCAAGACCCCATGGATTCACTCATGAAACGATTCTGGGAGCTAGAGAAGGTCACCGCGCCGCCCACTCTGAGTCAGTCCGACCTTGAGTGTGAAGAACATTTTCGCGCTACTACTGTTCGTGATGACGGTGGTAGATATATAGTGTCATTACCGTTTAATCATGACCCCTTCTCTTTGGGTGACTCGTATATCATAGCACTGAAGCGTCTTTATTATTTAGAGAAAAGGTTCAAGGCTGCTCCTGAGTTACATACCGCATATAATGATGTTATTCAAGAATATATAAATAAAGATTATTTGAGTCCGGTCGATTTAAGCAAAGATGATACGACTCGTCCTCACTACTTCATTCCCCATCATGGTGTAGTCCGCCATGACAAATCGACTACTAAATTAAGAGTGGTTTTGGACGCGAGTTCTAAGTCCACATCTGGGAAATCGATTAATGACATCCTGCACGCGGGTCCCAACGTACAAGGCGATTTATTTATTATAATAATTAATTTTCGATTTTTTAAAATTGTATTAACTGCTGACTGTAAGCAGATGTTTATGCAAATATGCTTGTCAGAATATGACCGTGATTTTCATCACATTTTGTATAGGTTTGATGTAAATAAGCAAATACAAGCATACCGCTTCAACCGCGTTTGCTTTGGTCTAAAATCCAGTCCATATCATGCCTTACGCGTAATTCAACAGCTCTTGACTGACGAGGGTGATAAATATCCCGCGGCAGCGTCCGCTGTCTCTTCCGCTCTGTATATGGACGATCTGGCCATAAGTGTGATGACATCATCCCAAGCGGAAGAGATTTCAAAAGAACTATTCAGCTCTTTAAGCTAGGACAATTCGATCTTGTAAAATGGACAAGCAATTATAATGATGTTCTCGCGCACATACTTGATTCTTACAAGGCTCCCCATGAGGTGGAATTTGAGGAGTCTGTACCGTAGAAAATTCTTGGCTTGTATTGGGATAGGTCGAATGATTGCTTTTACTTTAGTCATCGAACCAGGAGAAAAATGTACTAAGCGTGCAATTTTGTCAACGGTGGCTAGATTGTGGGACATAATTGTGATTTGTGGCTCCATCCATTTTATACGCCAAACTCTTAATTAAAGAGCTTTGGTTTATGCTTTTTTATTTGGTCCAATCATTAGATCTTGACCAAATTTATATGGGACCATCCTTGAGGTACCCCCCTTCAAAAAATCATTGAAATCAGACAAAGTGGTAAAGAATTGTCACTGAACATATATTAAACAAATATTTAGCCGAATAAGGAACCTCCTTTTTTGAAGTCGGTTGAAAAATAAAGCATTTATTCCTTTGCAGTTACTCACTCAAGAGCCAGAGCGTATTGAAGTGGTTGAAAGTGAGCTCGACTGGTGGAAGCCTACTAGTTCTGATGTAGAGGGCGAATCTGACGTAGAAACTAAAACCCATGTGGAGCTGTGTGTGAAGACAGAAAGAAGCAAGAGTCTTTGGAGCCATCTCTCTAGTCCGGAAAAGAAAAGAGTTTGTGAGCTGATAGGCTATGCTGAAGGTGCTCCGAAGCAAGACAAATCAAAGCAGTACATTGGTAAGATTTTACAAAATTCATTCATTCATTCATTAGTTAAAAGTTAAAGTTACAGCCTATATACGTCCCACTGCTGGGCACAGGTCTCTCCTCATTTCTGAGAGGGTTTTAGCGTCAATCAATGCGCCAAATCTGCCCCAATGCGTGTTGGCGAACTTCACATGTCTTCGAAATATTTTTTTTCTTATTCCTCAGACATGCAGGTTTCCTCACGATGTTTTCCTTCACCGCCGAGCACGTGGTAAATCAGCACTTAAAATTGCAATTAACAATTTTATTGGTGCCGGCGGGGATCGAACCCGGTTTGCTCGCGTACTGTGAAATTTACAGCGAGCGCTAACCATCTGAGCTACCACGGCTCGATTCATTCATTACAGCCTACAAAAGACCATAGATTGCGTCAGAGGGTTGATATTTGCCATAATTGCCACGCTTGGCAAGCGGGTTGGCAACCGCAGTTTTTTGTTATTTTAAGTTGTCACCAGGAAGATGCTGCTGACCACGTTCAGCTTTAGTTTCCATCTGTCGCCAGCTACGACGCCCAAGGGACCATGTGGGATAGTGGATGTTCTGACACCTTAGTTGCCCCAATGGATATATAAAATTACGCATGTAAAAACTGATTCATCATCATCATCATCACAGCCCTTCACAAGTCCACTGTTGAACATAGGCCTCCCCCAAGTAATGCCACAAAGCACGGTCCTGAGCCACCTGCATCCATCGACTTCCTGCATATCTTACCAGGTCGTCACTCCATCTAGTGGGGGGTCGCCCTACACTACGCCTACCGGTACGAGGCTGCCACTCGAGAACCTTTCTTCCCCATCGGTTATCGGTTCTTCGAGCTATATGGCCGGCCCATTGCCACTTCGGCTTACTAATCCGTTGGGCTATGTCGGTCACTCTGGTTTTACTGCGGATATCCTCATTTCTGAGTCTATCACGCAGAGAAACTCCGAGCATAGCCCTCTCCATAGCTCGCTCAGCGACCTTGAGCGTCCTCATACGGCCAGCAGTGAAGGACCACGTCTCCGATCCGTAAGTCATCACTGGCAACACGCACTGGTTGTACACTTTAGTTTTCAGAGATTGAGGTATACCTGACGAGAAGATGTGTCGTAATTTCCCGAACGCTGCCCAGCCGAGTTGAATCCGTCGATTGACCTCTCGGTCGAAGTTGGACTTACCTAGTCGAAGTCGGACTATTTGTCCCAGGTAAACGTACTCGTCAACAACTTCGAGCATAGTGCTCCCAACAACTACCGGCATAGGTGTGACATGGACATTAAACATGATCTTTGTTTTGTCCATGTTCATCTTAAGACCTATCCGTTGGGAGGCACTATTGAGGTCATTGAGCATAGTGCTTAAGTCCTCCAGCGATTCTGCCATAAGGACTATATCGTCGGCAAATCGAAGGTGAGTGATGTACTCGCCATTGATGTTAATACCGTATCCTTTCCAGTCCAGTAGCTTGAAAACGTCTTCCAAAGCAGCGGTGAAGAGTTTCGGGGATATAACGTCACCCTGTCTTACACCTCTCTGCAGTTGGATAGGTTTCGAGCTCTGGTTCTGTACTCGAATAGCCATCGTAGCCCTACTGTACAAACACTTCAGCATTTCGATATACCGACAGTCAACTTGGCACCGCTGAAGGGACTGCAGCACCGCCCAAATTTCGACGGAATCAAAGGCTTTCTCATAGTCCACATACGCCAGGCAAAGTGGCAAATTGTACTCTTCAGTCTTCTGTACAATCTGCCGCAGGGTATGTATGTGGTCTATGGTACTGAAGCCTTTTCGGAAACCGGCTTGTTCGGGAGGCTGGAAGTCATCGAGTCTGCGTGCGAGACGATTCGTAATGACTCTCGAAAACAGCACGTAGACGCGGCTCAGAAGGGAAATCGGTCTGTAGTTCTTCAAGAGAGCGTTGTCGCCTTTCTTAAAGAACAAGACCACCGCACTTCTGCTCCACGCCTCTGGAGTAGTGCCACCATGGAGGACGGAATTGAAGAGCTTCTGAAGGACTTCAAGTACCGGTGTTCCACCCGCTTTCAGAAGCTCCGCTGTAATTCCATCCTCGCCTGGGGCCCTGCCGTTTTTAAGGTGCTGGGGAGCCATTCTAATCTCGCTTAGACTGACGTCCGGGATATCATCGGAATAGTGTCGGATAAGACTTGCTCTTGGATCGTTACTCACACTTGCGTGTGGCTCCAACGATGATGTGTACAGCTGCCCATAGAACCTCTCAATCTCACTCAAAATCTCAGGTGTCCCGGAAACGATGCTGCCACACTCAGTCTTCAGCCTTGACAGTTGGCTCTTACGGGCAGACAGATCTCTGGCAAAGACTTTGGAGCCCTGGTTCCGCTCGATCGCTTCTTTAATACGAGCAGTATTAAAGTTGCTTAAGTCTCGCCGCATGCATTTGGAGATCTGTCTGTTCAGTTGCCTGTACGCTGTCAAATCTGTTGACGATTGCAGCCTCATCTCCCGTCTAACAGCCATGAGATTAAGAGTGTGATCGGAGAGTTTTTGTGTTCTTCTGCGGCGGGTCTTGCAGAACTTAGCTCCGACCGCATGGACAGTTTCCACGAGCTTGTCATTCACATCGTCCACTGCATTGCAATCTTGTAGGCACTGAAAGCGGTTGTGTAACTCGAGCTGAAAGTTTTCGGGATTTTGAATTAGAGCACGAGGGGGACGGAGCGTTGACTTCATTAGACGAGACCTCTCCAACTTAACGTTTAGGTTCAGTGTGCCTCTAACCATTCGGTGATCGCTGCCAGTTTTCACCCTTGCGATCACTGAGACATCACTGAACAGTTGGCGTCTGGTCGTCATAATGAAGTCAATCTCATTTTTTGTCGAACCGTCGGGGCTCGACCAGGTCCACTTCCTGTGGGGCCGCTTCTGGAAGAAAGAGTTCATCATAAAGAGTCCCTCTTTCTCCATAAAGTCGGCCAGCTGCTGGCCCCTTCGGTTCCGTTGCCCTACTCCAAATTTCCCTAACTTCAGCTCATCGTTTTCTCTTGTGCCTAGTTTTGCGTTGAAGTCTCCCATCAATACCGTGTAGTGGGTTTTGGAGGAATGCATGGCTTTGGAAATATCCTCATACATTTCCTCCACCTCCTCATCGGAATGTGCCGAGGTTGGTGCGTAAACCTGTATGACCTTCAGCGAATACCGTTTGGTGATTCTGAGTATCAGGTACGCGACCCTCGTCGACACACTCCCAATCTTTACAACGTTGTTGACGAGAGACTTGTGGACGATAAATCCGACACCTCCTTGGGACAGATGGTCGCCCTCCCGGTGATAGAACATGTTGCCGGATTCGAGAATCACCGTGTCCTCCCCCTCTCTTCGGACCTCGGATAATCCTATAATACTCCAGCGCAACTTGTCTATCTCTTCTTCCAGCTCCAGGATCTTCTCGTCAGTCCTCAGTGTGCGTGCGTTAAATGTTGCCAGGTCGAGTCGTCGTAGGTGGCAACCGATTCTTAGCACCCCCTGCCCCGCCGTTACCATGGTCGCCACCGTAGCCAGGAATAGCGGGGCCGCCGGGGACTAGGGGCCGTCTATTTGTGTAATTGTTCATGGGGGGTATATTGGCCATAGTTGCCACGCTTGGCGAGCGGGTTGGCAACCGCAGTTTTTTTTTGTCGTACAGTTGCTGTTATCAGGAAGATGCTGCTGCCCATCTCCTGCCTGTCTCCCTCTGTCGCCTTTTACGACACCCACGGGAAGATATGGGGTAGTGGATATTCTTAACCGTCACTACACGGCACAACACTGATTATTACTTTTATATTGACTTTGTTACAACGCTCTCTGTGTGATCCTCAGAACACAAGTTAAACTTGACGCTGGCCAATTGTTCCCTAACACTGATGAATAGAAGCAAAGAAGTGTTGGTTGTGACACTTACACAGTTCCTCGCTTCATTGGAAACTAGACCTTCGGCGAAGGCTTACAAGGTAAATTTTATTTACTTTTCACTTTATCAAAAGTAATAATTATTTATATTTTCATAAACTAAATAACTTTAAATAAAACCGATTTTACGGATTTTCTTGCGCTAAGTTTGACAAATTTTTTATTTCCTCTAAGTTTTAATGATTTTAATGATCATCAGTGAATATTTAGTGAAATTAAAATAAATTTAATTTAATTCATTAAGGTGTTTTGAAACTTTCTAATAAATTTTGTAAGATATTGAATAAAATTTTTCGTTGAATAATTAAAAAATAATTAAAAACATCATTCTTGATCATCACCAGTTCACTGCTGATCATAGGTCTCCAATATCGACTGTCCCAAAGTAAGACCAGGGTTAGATTTGGATGCAGTGGCTAGGAAATGTTGACAACTTCGTTATGTGACTCACACTACGTACGTCTAAGTGACCATCTGATCTGAGTCGGCTGCTTGATTAAGTAACAAATGATATCGAAATCTGCAGGTATCTGCCCGAACGGAATGCATAGTGATAGAAGGAGCTACATCAGACGGTGAACTTGTGCCTCTGTTGACCACGGAAAGGGGTACAGCACTGACCGGTTCTAACCTTCTGGCAGTGGACTTCGAACGGAATCCTTGTAACAGCGAGGCTGATTACGGGCTCTGTTTGCTAATGGAGCCCGTAGAAATGCTTTATATCGAAGTAAGTGATTGGATATTAAATGTTGCACGGAGTACAGAATTAAATGTATTCGTTGTAGAGTCATGCTACAGCTTTTTTAAGTTGAAGCACGAATGGTTGGGCTCGACCGGGAAGGCCTACGCTCTTTTAGAATATCATCGTAAAATAGCAGCTTAATGCTGCTGTGTTTCGTATGATGAGTATGGAATCTGACACCTTTTTTTATTGGAAACTACGTATAACATCTTCCTCAGGGGTGACAACACATCTGCATTTTGATTCCTAATCGAGGACGGATGTAGTTGCCTATGGGTCACAGGGCGCACTTACGAGCAGGTGGACTATGTGCTCCTTTGTCACCCTTATTATATAAAAATTCGTATATATAATGAGGAAGTAGGTATTAAACATAATTAGGAGAAATTACCTACTAACCAATGTTAAGAATGTCGAAGGCTTACGTACACTTAAAACTCCTTACTTTAACAATAACAATAAAACAACAAAAGTTTAACAATAAACAAATAACAATTTAACAATAAAAGTAGAGTAAGTTTATACGTCACACATCTGGCCACAAGCATTGTTTTATTTATGAGAGTAATAGAGGTAGAAAGAGTCCGCTCCACTGCGAAATGGTTGACTCCACACATCCACTGAATATTTCTTATTTCCTCACTCAAATTAAATAAAAAAATGTGAATATAATAATATTTTTATGTAATTTCCCCCAGCATGCTTTTACAGAATTGATAAACTTCTTCCAAACTCACTCAATGACGTCGGAAGATTTAGCTAAGGAGCTGTCTCTAGTGTTCGAGCGAGCTGGTGGAGTTGGGCGGTCAGTACTGGCCTACGCCGTTAGTAGGCGCAAGGTGTTCCAGGTCAATGTGGACTTGAAAGGCCCTTGTATCGTTGTACCAGAACATGGCTGTGTGCACAAGTAAGTTTTAGATCTCGTGTTAGTCTGCTTTGTATTTCATGATATGAAATGACCTCTATTACCAATTTTGGTATTATTTTTTCAAAAACTATATTATAAAGTTTAGAGTATACGCGTATATTTCTATTATATGTCCTTCAAACAAAATTTTGGTCATGATGCTTAGGAAAATTGAGCGCTGTGACCGAAATTACGAAGACTAACTATCTGCGTGAGACAGGATTATAGTTAATGAAAGTGTGCGCAAACGTATGTGTTTTCTTTATTCCCTCACCCCATAGTTTAATTTTTTAATCAATAAAAACGTTACCCACAGTCTAGGAGTTTCTTTACTGCCTCCACAATATACGAGAAACTCCTAGTCTCTAGTGTATTGTGGAGGCAGTAAACAAACATAAATAACACAAGAACAAATATCCAGAAACTAAAAATTGTTTGTAGGCCTTACTTGTTCCGTGCGGGATTTGAACTTGCGGTCCTCAGCGCAGCAATTCATTGCTAAGCTACTGTGCCACGGAGCCGTCAAAAAGTGTATTACTCTGGCTTCATTTCATGCAATTTAAAGACCTATTTGTCTTAAAATAATTTTTGAGTATTTTTTTAATTTAGGGACTTACGTTGTTTTTAACATGTTAGTCCCATTGTATTTTATAACTAAATAACGCACTACAATTTGTTAAATTATGTACACAAAATATTAACTAAATTTTATACCATTTGAGCAGCATTTGACAATGGTTCAGACAGAATGCTTCGATATTCGCCTATGTTAAATATTATAATGTCAGGTATGGCAATTAATGGTTTCCTTTTTCCTTTGAGTTGAAAGAATTAATAAACCACGTTTTTTTTCTTCATTTTTTTACATTGTGATTCGATTCTGAGTTATGTTCGAAATATCAAGTCTCTATTATAGCTCATCAGGAAGTTAGTTTAAAATCTACTAAATTCCACCCGAAAATACATACACGAAAGAGAGGTAAAAATGTGCTAAGAAAAGAAGTAATTAATAAATACTTTTTTAATTTTTTTAAAGCCGTACACCTACACCTACCTAAGTCGGAATTTTCTCCTGTATCGTGGACGCAGTTTACATATATAAATTGCACAAGGACAAACATCCAGACCCGCAACAATTACTTGTGGGCCATACAATTACTAGTTACGTGCGGGGTTCGAACACGCGGCCCTCAGCGCTATAACTCATTGCTATCGATCGATCTCGATTGCAAAATTTTAAAGGAATATGAACGCAGAACGTAGCCGTGGTAGCTCAGATGGTTAGCGCTCGCTTTAAATTTCACAGTACGCGAGCAAATCGGGCTCAATCGCCGCCGGCACCAACGAAATTGTTAATTGCAATTTTAAGTGCTGATTTACGACGTGCTCGGCGGTGAAGGAAAACATCGTGAGGAAACCTGCATGTCAGAGAAATAAGAAAAAAAATATATTTCGAAGACATGTGAAGTTCGCCAACACGCATTGGGGCAGCGCGGCGGACAATTACTTGCCCTAAAACCCTCTCAGAAATGAGCGGAGGCCTGTGCCCAGCAGTGGGACGTGTATATAGGCTGTAACTTTACTTTACTTACTATGAACGCAGAAAAATCGATATTTGTTGAAGATACCGCAAAACGATTGTTGTTCCTACCAAAAAACCATTTAAGCGAAAACAGTATTTTTGTAACTTCCTTCTAATTTTCGTTTTACGTTGTTGCACATAATTCTAGATCTGGTCGTGTAATCGTCTTGGACCTAAGTCGGATAATAGTGAAGTCTGACCTTCAGCCATCGAACCTGGCTCTTGAGGATGCTACGTGTATGGAGCTGGAGGAGAAGCTTTACGACCGGTTACACGCTGAATGCTCATGTCAAGTAAGACATTTTTTAAGTAAAAGACTTCTATGTATACTACTAGACCGGCAATTCGGAAAAAAAAACTGTGTCCATAGATAATATACTATACTATATAAGGCATAGATGAGCCACTCTAACAAATTATTTGGTGAAGAAACGAGGGAAATTTCTTCTGCGCTGTAATAGAGGGCGCTATCAATCTGGTTGAGTATTATTTCAAAAATTTTAATAAATAATAGGAAAAATTCATAGTTAGTTATATATAACTTTCTAAGCTGTATCCATTAGATTGCTACGATTTTATGTGCTTTGTTTATTAATTCATATTAATTTTACATACGGCAGTATTTCAAAACTTTGATAGCGTCATTTAGGATTCGGTATAAATAATAAATGTTAGCAGTGGTGCCATCTTTTGAGTGAAATGTGTAATAATAGTAGGGAAAATAGTGCTTTTAATGACTGTGAGATGGTGCTGGTATCAACGTAAAAACAAATTACTGAGGACTTTCGTACCCCTGACTGTGGTTCGGTAGCGCGTAGATGGCACCATGAATATGCGACGCAGTTGTATTTTCATTTGCGACAGTTACTATTTTTAGGCATATACGAAGTAAAGTTACATACTTATATGATATAAACTTTAAATCACGTTGACAAAGTGCGCTCATAAATAATGACAGCATTTTCTTAGTAATGTGGCACAAAATCAGGAAAGATTGTCAAAAACAACCTTCGCGGTTTACTCGTATGAAACAAAGAACTAGTCTTCTCACCGTATGCCAATAACTTTCAATAGACGGGCTATTATTGTTTATACATGAAAATTTTTGAAAATAAAACGGATGATTTCTAGCTAAATTTAAAGTTCTCGTTCAACATAAATATATTCATTATGTAAAAAATTTGCCAAATTAGTGTTGTAATGAGATCTTTTTTGTCATGTAAATCTTTTTCTGGGTAAGACATTCTGTTCAGGGAGCGACTAACGCTGTTTGGTAGTACGAAGCATGTGTACGAAGCAGAGTGATTCGGAAACTTCTATAGCGTGATTTAAGCTTCGGTTGCTGTATAATCCATGTGAAGCTTCATTATTTCCTTCCATGTTTCTGTGTACTTTTTGGATGGAAAGCTGAAATTCGGAAATTATGCAGGTTTTATTCTCGGAATGGAACGAACCGTGGCGCGAGTATCGTAAGCACGCTGACTCAGAGCTTCACCTCATTCCAAAAGTCAAGGTTCAGCTCGTGTTCTCTAGCAGCATTAAAAAGGATTACAAGTTGTTACCAAGGTAAACGATATAATGTATAATTTTTTTACTCAACCACGTTGAGTTTTGCTACCGTGTGACGAACGGTTAGTGGATCACATCATTCTATTTTATTTCGTGGGTGTTTTAAGAATTGACTAGGGATCTAGAATTTGTGAATCTTCTGATGGATGGCAGAAGCCTATAACGTAAATGTAAAGAGTTATCCGTAGCGAAAAATGTGCGAAATATCTCCGCTGATCACCATCCGCAAGATATGCCCTATTTACACTCGGCCACTGCTACTGCTCCTGTCGCTGCCGGAAATATTTCCCTAAATACTTCTGCTGGAATAGCGACACGAATGTTTACACTCAGCCTTCATACTTCTTTATTGATCAACTCGCAACAATGACTGGCGTCGAGTTTGTTGGTATTACAGCATTAAGCCTGCTCAGTATAAGTAACTATTACGTGCAATTTATAGTTTTTATTATGAGGATCCCATATTACCCGCTCAATTTCATAAAGTTCTGAAATTGAATTGTTTTTCATAACTAAATGTCATTAAAACACAGGATAGATCACTAAACGATTTGTCGTTTTTAAACGTAGCACGTTCTTTCTCGGTCGACATACACGCACTGCCACATAATAAGGGTGCATAACACAATGTAGGAGAAATACAAGCTATATAGGGTGTACTACTTTTAACGTGGTAGAGCCACGCTGCGTATACATTATGGCTGCAACATGAATAGGTCGGCTCGTCCGGGTTAGAACCACGCTTTCACGGAACATCAGCTTGAAAAAACAGAATAATGTGTTTCTGATGGTGGCTGTAGAGAACCACATTTAATCTTAGTCCTAAGACAGTGCATCTGGATTTTAATTCTTAATCGAGGATAAATCGTCTATCGTCTATGGACCGTCAACTTACTTCAGGTGAATTGTGTGCTTGTTTATCTATATTCTATATACCTGTATTCTATATAAAACAAAACTAGATAAGAAAGTTATGGTGTTTTAAAATCTCCGCCATGTATATGATTTTTGAAATGGTTATGTGGAGAGTCGCATCAAGTTTTTCGTGTTATTTAATAAATGAGATATTGTATTGTATTAGTCACACTACTACAGATTGGCTAAATAAAATGTTAAGGATAGATATGTAATCGTTTTTTCGTGTTTTCTTTTCCAGATATAAGCTAAACATTTCCCTTTCAAGCTTGAAACTGAATCTCTCCGATCGCATCATTGGTCACATTCTAGATTTCTGCGACAATCTTCCCATACCCGTGCCCAACACTGTGCCCGTCTCATTCATGGATTCAGGCGATTACATTGAAGACCTGGAGGACCCCGAGCTGGCAGAGACTCTTGAATTAGATCGCGTGTCAGCGGATCCTGGATATAATGAGCTAGTGAAATTAAGGCAGAAGATCGTGGCTGCGTATTTAGGTAGAAACAGGTCAGAATGGCTTTGCTTTTATAACAATTGTGCTGTTTTCGTTATCACCATCATTATTATCATCAAAATAAACATCGTCGCTGTTTCTTTGGCTTTTAATTTGAAATTAACTCTTACTATTTTATTTTTATTTATTTATTTATTACAAAATATGGTTATTAAAAAAAATCCGACAGTACAAATAAGCTTACAAAAGTTTTTCCATGTACCGTCGATTCGTAACTTCGACCATGTTCAATCGGTTCGCGTGGCGACAACTTATTTAATGACGTACATACATGGTGTGGCAAAATAGTATTTTTTAACTATATATGTACCACAGCAAAGGATAGTAAGTATGATAAATAATATTAGCAATTGAGTTAATAATGTTACGATTGTGTGTATATACACATTGTATATATTTATTAGTAGATTTGTAAAATACTAAATTAAATTCATTTTAAAGGAGTTAATTTACAATTTCTTTATGATTTATGTTTTAATAAAATATACTCCTTTATTTAATATTTATTAGAATGAAAGAAACAAAAACATAATAATTAAAGTTACTGGCCTCAGTACTAAATGCCTATACTTATTCGGGCTTTGGGCAAGAAAAGAATCAGCCCTCTTGCCCCTAGGTAAAAATTGAAAATTTGAAACCCACATCATTTCCATGAAAAGATCCTATTGCTTGATTCCTACTCACTATTATTGAGAGGGCGATAAAGCGAGCACTGGAGCATGCGCATTTCTAACAACGATATTGATCGGGACAGGATCACGTTCTCACGTAATACCAGCGTAAAAATCAGCTTATTGCTGCTATGCTTCGTATGGTCAGTGTTGAGAACATGAGATGTTTTTTACTGGAAACGTGGAATTTCATTTTAATCCTCAGGGGTGAACACACATCCGCTTTTTGATTCTTAATCAAGAATAAATGTAGATGTCTACGAGCCACAACAGCCATTTATCATCAGGACTGTGTGCTCGCATGTCACACTTATTTTATAAAAAAAAAGTATATTATTACCAGGGCGGCAGAAACCAAACATGATCACGTGAAAAGTGTCGACGGTTGTACCACTCGAGACAACTATCAGCGAACTGAGTGATGACGAAGTGGAGGAGTACGCTCGGTCCGTGGACCTGCCCGGCTTCGATGACAACGTCTCTCCGAGTAACACCATCGGCACCCTGATGCGGTTTGTCATCGGTGAGTCGACCGAACTTAAAATAATCGATTCTAATCGAATATCGCTTAAATGAAGTCTTATCTTGGAAAAGATATTTGGAGATTTTTGTTTGTCGAATGAAATAAAATATATTACTTACCGTATAGTGGCGGTGTAAGGATATCCACTACCCCATATCGACCCGTTGGTCGGAGGTAAACTTAGACAGGAAATGCGCAGCAGCATTTTTTTTTATTATTCAGAAAATCCACAGCTTGTAACAATCTATTTACACACAAATCTTATAAATTTACGGATTTACAATATACTTATTTAGCTTAAAAGAACGTCACAGAGTATTCACCACCTTACATAAAAATAGATGTATGAAATATGAACATATTTAAGGGTAAACAAAGCGCACGAAATTTGTTTAAGTGCAGAAGATTGTGTATGTTTGCACACGTATGTGAAAGTGAGTCAAAGTGTGTGTGTGGTGTGTGTGTGTGTGTGTGTGTGTGTGTGTGTGTGCGTGCGTGCGTGCGTGCGTGTGCTGCGTGCGTGTGCGTGCGTGCGTGTGCGTGCGTGTGCGTGTTTGTGTGTGTGTGTGTGTGTGTGTGTGTGTGTGTGTGTGTGTGTGTGTGTGTGTGTGTGTGTGTGCGTGCGCGTGTGTGTGTGTGCGTGTGTGTGTGTGGTGTGTGCGTGCGCGTGCGTGCGTGTGCGTGCTGCGTGTGTGCGTGTGTGTGTATGTGTGTGCGTTTGCGTGTGTGTGTGTGTGTGTGTTTGTGTGTTGTGTGTGTGTGTGTGTGTGTGTGTGTGCGCGTGCGCGTGCGCGTGCGTGTACGTGCGTGTGTGTGTGTGTGTGTGTGTTCCTGATGACAACTTAACTGTACTTAAATGTTAGCGACTATTATTAAAATATAGTTATCACACCTACCAAGCGTGGTAACTGTGGCAAAATCCCTCCTATGTGGTAATCTGTGGGAGCTGCTTATGTTCAATATGGACTTTTATAGACTGTAATGAATGAATGGTAATATAATATTATGTATCCTTCTTGTGGTAACTCAGACACCAATGGTAGCTCAAATGGTCAACGCTCGCTGTAAACATCATATGCTCAGCAGTGAAGGAAAACATCGTGAGGAAACTTACATGTCTGAGGAATAAGAAAAAAAATCGAAGACATGTGAAGTTCGCTAACAAGCATTGGGATAGCGCGGTGGACACTTTATTGTCCTAAAACCCTCTCAGAAATGAGGAAAGGCTTGTGCCCATCAGTGGGACGTATATAGGCTGTAACTTTACTTTTACTTTTATCCTGTTTGGCAAACGTAGGATGATGCTATCACTATTTTGGATTCCCTGATATGTCAGGATCATCAGGATCAATATCAGGGACCCCAAAAGAGTGATAGCTGCGGAATGATAATAGATAACAATCAACGAATCTTAACCTGAATCTTCCTCTCCAGAATGGTGCGCCTGTGCATTTTTATAAACGCGTAATTTTATTTGGAATACATATTCTAAAATGCGTGTATTCTATATGCCATTAATTTCTTATGACTAAAATCTTTTTAATATTAAGTTTTTTTTAAATTGTTGCTTGTCTTGCAGGTGAGATAGTAATAAATCTAAGCCGCTCCAGCGACCAAGTGGACCGTCCATACATCATGCTGAGTATCACCAAGGTCTGCTTGGATGTGGCCCTGATGGAATACGGGCCTGCCATTCAGCTGTCGGTGGACCAGGCATTGCTCACCGATAAGCAACATCACAGCAGCACTGGCCAGTACTTGGAACTGCTGACCAGTTCCGAAGATCTATTCAACTTGTTGTACAGAAAAGTGAGTGGCGAATCTGTATTTTAATATTTACTTAATACTCGCTGGATTCACCTGCATTTTACTAGCAAGTGAGACTTTGGTGACGCTTGACTAAGGAAATTCTGTCTATATATTGGAATTAAGTTCAAACCCGGATCCTATATTTTAAAACGCATTACGCAATTACGCACGGTAATTATATGAAGGCGAAAGACACTGTTTAAACTGGATAATACACACCACTTTTACCCCACTTTAAATTAATTAAAAATGTCTCTAACAATTTTTATCTGGGAAATTAGTATATGTATGTATTTCAGCCTGTTTCGAATAATGTATGTATAGTATAATATGGATTTCTGTGGTTTCTAATGTATATACATATTGTGTCTGTATTGTGTTATGTACATATATCAAAATTAATATTATTTTAATATAACATTTTGTATGTTGTTGTCCGCAAATAAAGTTTAAATATGTAAATAAAATATCTCTATCTCCAATTAAGAATCGAAATACAGATTCATTGTCACCCCAGAGGACTTCGAAGGAATGCCTCGTTTAAAGTAAAGAGGTTCTTCCGTTCTCTTTACTCATCATAGGGAACACAGCAATATTTATTTATTTATTTATTAATTTATTTATTTATATATTTAAGTACACCAACGATTGCTACAACAATGCAGACATAGTAAACACACATCACTTATATACTAATTGTACAATCAATTAAAGGTATACACCACATGCTTCAAGATACTAAAAAGTTACCAAGTAAAAAACAAAAAAAAAATACAAAAACTTAGAATAGAACAAAATAATATTATGAAGGTATATGAAACAATGACTTACACCTAGTTACTTAAATAATGTATCGTTTACTGTGGCCTTAAACTCAGCTAGAGACATAACATTAACATCTATTGAACCTCCGCACTTATTATATAGTTAGGAAATTCTGGAAACCGGTGTAATCGCGGTTTAAAGTTGTAATTTTAGTATTCTACGAGATCGCGGTCCCTCCCGGTCGAGCCGACCCATTCGTGATACAACCATGATATAGCTGGAGCGTGGCTCTACCACGTACAAACTGCTTGCGCTCTTATACTTCAAACCAGAGCATAGCCGAAGGTGCATTTCTGCGAGATTTTATTTTTATTATTAAATAATAAATAAATAAAATAAATATAAATAAAAATAAAAATTGTTTATTTCGGACAACTTGAAATCCATAGGAATTGTTAGTAGAGAAAAACTTACATCTATGTTAGTAACATAATTTATACATTTTTATTTTTTATTTTAATATTTAATTATTAAGCAGGACATGGTCCTGGAAATCATTTTTTTGAGCAGTGGCCAGTCCCCACTGTTGGCAATCTCACTCAGTACACTGTGGTCGCTGCCGCGCACTCTGTTTAGCAAAGATGCGGTCTTTTTTCGTATTATTGCATCAACACTATCCACACCCGCCAGTGCAAACATCGCAGACGCGCTACAGTAGCGCGGCAGCCGCAACAGCGCCCTGAATGCCTTGTTGTATTGAGTACGTAGGGCACTATAAGTCTTTTTGGTGTAGTTGGTCCATAGACTGCAAGAATAAAATGACGCACAATATGTTTTGAAAAGCGTGATCTTGACAGCGTCAGTGCAGCGACCAAATCTATACACCAACATATTCGCCGTGACCGACAGTGCCCTACGTTCTCTTTCAATGTCTTCATCGTCTTTAAGGCTGTCAGTCACAATATGTCCAAGATATTTAAAACTATAGACCCTTTCTAGCGGTTCATTATAAAGCTTTATAGGTGGTACCACACTAGGACATTTACTGCCAGCCTTAAATACCATGAAATGCGACTTTTCGGTATTGTATAGTAAACCATGTGAGACAGCGAATTTTACACAAACACCGAGTAGAGCTCTCATCGCACTAACTGAGGGTGCCAGCAGAACCATATCGTCCGCGTAGCTGATATTGTTCACACACACCTTGCCGATATGGCAGCCGGCACGCATGCTGCTGAGCTCTCGAATCAGTGCGTCCATATACAGGTTGAAAAGCCTCGGTGATGTCAGCCTTGCCTAACCCCGCACTCCATCCTGTATGGCTCGGAATACTCATTCGCCCATCTCACATAGTTCACTTGGTTACTATACCATACCAATACTTGAGTAAATTGGTGTAGCCACAAGGTAAACCTACGCCTTCTAACTTACGCCATAAGATGTCGTACGAGACACGATCGAAAGCTTTACTCAGATCTAGGAAACAGGCATACACAGGGGTGCGCCTGTCCGTGTGTATTGTGCTTTAAACTCATTATTGCTGTTTCTGTTGATAAACCACGCGAGAAGCCGTGCTGGCCATCATGTAGCATACAGTGGTTTTCTAGAATAGAGTTAAGCATACTGTCAAATATCTTGGCTATTGTCGTTGCCAGGGATATTGGTCTATAGTTCGATCTCTCTGATACGTCACCAGTACGGTTTTTTACAATGGGGACAACTGAAGTCCTCATTAAGTCGGCAGGCAAGTAGGTATGCGAGACACAAACATTAAATAATAGTGCCAAAACTCTAGGTAAGTGCACACCTGCATATTTAAAGTGCTCAATATTGAGACCATCGTGACCGGGTGACTTACCTGCAACCATAGTTCTAATAACTCGTGCTATCATTTTGTCACTTGCTACCATTTTGAGTTCACGCTTGGTTTCAGCATTGGACACGGGGTGTGACGACGGCCCTAAGGGTGACGTGACCATAAAATGATCCCTGAAGAGATCTGCAATTTGCTTCATGTCACTAACCCCATTTACTGCTTCAGGAAGACTAGGTCCAACGTTGAGCTTATTCGTGGATTTCCAAAACTTTTATCTTATCCAAAACTTTTATTTATCCATTTTTAGTTGATTTTGGTGGTTTTGGCACCACTTCAATCTACTCTTGAAAACACGGCGGCTGTTAACCATCTCATCATAGACAAAATCCTGCCTCGGTCGACCATACCATACCCACATCATAAATTTGGACCCAGCCTCCCTGTGTGCCTCACCGACATGCTTATTCCATCCTATTAGCACAAGTTTTTTCTTTTTACACATATTTCCTTGGTGAGTTTTGATTGCTGCACATGATAAAACAGACACTATGTTTTTATATAAATTGTCTATGACACTCCTATGACTCATATCGTCACAAAAACCATAGCTACATTTTATAAATTCTGATGGAAAATGTATTGACTTAAGATTGTTGTTACATAATTCCGTATGATGAGATATTTCTTCATCATTTCTGCAGCCCCATTTTATTTTATTGCACGCGATTATTTTCGGAACAACCTTAGGTATAACATAGTTCAACCTACATTCAATCAAGAGTGGGAAGTGGTCAGACCAGTACACATCATATAAAATCTTCGTGTTATTTATTAACTTATACGCTGACTCAGTGACTATACAGTGCAGTCCCATGCGCGTCACTGACGTATGTAAATGAATTACAGTCTAGGGTACTCACGTCGGCACAAAACCAGTCCAGTTCCGCGCAAAATTTTTCAGTTCTTCTACGCCTGGGTGAGCATTATAGTCCCCCAATAGGAACACTGTCTCACATTCACTTTCTTCTACTATAGCATTTAAATAGCTTAAGCAGTCTGTAAAATCTGTTAAGTTTTCAGTGCAATCGACGGGCATAATATACACACTACACACTATTAGCTTTTGATTACCGAGATCAACTTTAATGGCACAAATACGAGCACTTGAACACGGTATTACGGATTCACAGGGGAACACTCTTTTTCTCCACATAAACATAAACACAAACGGACAGTATTTATATACAGTTATACTACAAGTACAATGGTCTTCATCTAAACTACAATCCAAAACAGTGTACACAGCATAATTATATAACGGCAAGTCTGAATCGTAGCTAAAGTAAACAATATAAAAAAATACTTTAAATATTAAAAAAAACACTTACATTTCTTTTAAATCTAATAAGGCTATTGTCGTATAAGTATATCTAAATGTATGTTACTACGCTCGATCTCATCGTAATCACGGCACATTTTGTCAAGACTCCCTTACTCTCGCTTCCACCATCGTACAATCAGACGCTCGGCCAGTCTCCACACTTTCGTTGTCAACTTACGCCGCATTCGAATCAAACAGTTTGTTACGTCGTTCGTCATGCGTACAGCAAGGGAGTGGAATAAGTTGCCATCGCATGTCTTCAAGGCAAGAGTGAATGGGATTTTGTTAAATCAGTGCGCTTCACCATCTTCAGGTGCATCATCACTTACCATCAGGTGGGATTGTAGTTAAGCGCTGGCTTAGAATAGTTAAAAAAGATTGTAAAGTATAAGTTCCCGGAGCAGGTGCGCGCCAACTGCCCGGAGTTCCGGTCGCACTTCCACAGCGTGGAGCACGCGCTGGTGGTGGATACGGGCCCCGTCACGCTGCTACTGCACGCCGACGCTCTGCGCACGCTGCTCAAGTACCTCCAGTATCTGCACGATAAGTGAGGCATCTTATGAATTCTTAGTCTAAGCATTCGGCTTTTATTATTGAATCGGGGTGACCAACGACCACACAGTCCACCTGATGGTAAGTGGATGCTGAGGTCCACACATATCTACATTTATCCTCGATTTGGAATCAAAATGGAGATGCGAGGGGGACCCCTGAGTTCTAAGATAGGGTGCCTAGTTTTCAGTGAAAACGATCTCCGGTTATCTACGTACACGATACGAAACATAGCAGCATTGAACTTCTACATTACGCTGGTTTTCTATGAGAGCGTGGTTCTTCCCCGATCGAGCCAACTCATTCATGCTAGAACAATAATATAACTGCAGCATATCTTTACCACGTAAAAAATAGAATAGAAATAACCTTTATTAATTTCTCTCACAAATAGTATATTGCATAATTTTTCTGCTACCGACATTTTTATATAAACAAAAGAGTACATAAATTTGTGGCAGATGAGAGCCCAAGTAAAGATACCCCGCGCTATGGAACTCTCGGCTCACCCTCTTAGATAATCAGTTGTTTGAAATAAATATTACAGTGACACTTTTATTTTTCTTTTCGTTTGCGAGAAGCATTTTGCATTACATTGATTCTTAGTCTAATATAGCCAGACTAAGAATAGAAGATGCAATATCTTTTTACAGAATATTACGGAATATTTTTTACGGTTACGCGACACACAGTAAAGTTATGCCGCTATTGTTTGATCGCTGTTATTCTGTGAGAACGTGGTCTTTCCTCTGTTGAGGCACGCCATTTGTGTTGCTGTCTTATTACAGTTGCAGCGTAGCTCCACCATATGAAAACCTCTACTCTCGTCTTGCCAATGCAAAATGTCTGTCAATCTGCTTACATAAGGTGACGGTATTAAGTAGACGCAAGAGTCTATTTTTTTTTATAGGATAGGGTGACAAACGAGCACACAGTCCACCTGATGGTAAGTGGTTGCTGCGGCCCATAGACATCTACTCTATCTTCCATTACAAATCAAAATGCAGATGCGTTGTCACCCGTGAGGACTGAGATGGAATGCCTCATTTCCAGTAAAAAGGGTCTCCGGTTCTCTACACTCACCATACGAAATACAGCAAGCAGCTACAATATTTCACGCTGGTATTCTGTGAGAGCGTGGTCCTTCCCCGGTCGAGCCGACCCATTCGTGCTACAACTATACTACTAATATAATTGCAGCATGGCTCTACCACGTAAGAGATCTATTAAACCAGGCACATGTTTATGTATTATAAACATAAATACTCGTACTTCCATAATATAATAATAAATATGCATACTTTATAATAGCATTTAACATGTTTTTATAGAAGAGGGGGCAAATGAGCATGCGGCTCTCCTGATGTTAAGTGACTACCGCCGCCCGTGAACATCTGCAACACCAGGGGAATTGCATGTGCGTTGCCGGCCCTTTAAAGGAGTAAGCTCTGTCTTGCTGGTCTCTAAGTTTTTCTGTGTATATAAGCAATATGAAAGGATTTGCTTTTATATTTACCAACTTTATTTAGCTTTATAGTTCTATTCTTAGTCTGGCTCAGCGCTACGAGCTCAAGCCCCTCACGAAAGTATTTGTATGATCTAAAAATTTATGCTCCGGATCTAGATATTTGTTTGATTGTATGTTATTCCAAGGTAAACTTTTATTTTTAAAAAAGGTGAAAAAAGTTTATATTCGATGTAACGTGACAGTTCCGATGGATTTTTCAATATTGTATAATATGTGGGCAAACCTGTTTAACTTTTCGTTTTATTTTAATTTCGCTCTAGTTATGTTTCAAATGCTTGCGCTAGGAGATTTGGAAGTGTTTGTTATGTACGTGAAAATGGAGATGACCTATTGACAGGAAGATTGGAAATCACATACCACAAGTCCTGCACTTCTGACGCTGGTCGCCGTTGTCGCTCGGGGTACTTTACATCTGGTATGTTTGAGTCCACTTTATGTGTAAATACTCAAGCATCCCAGATGTGAAACACCCGGACCGATACTGCTACGGTCGGAAGCCGTGAGATCTCTCCGGCACCCACTGGACGAAAATGGGTGATGGATTGGGAAGGTTTTGTTATGCTTTTCATTTGAGTTGTGGATAATTATACTCTGCATAACTTTATGATTGTTTGTCTACCCAATTTTTATTGTAAATTTATTCTTATCCCCATTTCTATGCGTTTAATTGTCTTTTATTTAGCAGTGAACTTGTTTCTTGTAATATATTTATTTATTGTAATATGACGATTAGTAGGCGTCTTAATTTTTAGTTAATAAGATTTGTTTCATTTTAAGGATTCAAAGTAGACACGCGTTGAATGTGAAGAAGACGGTGCTGCCGAAAACAGAGTCATTGTGGAACTATCTAATGAAACCCGAAGCTGACCCGCCTGTGCCACCGGGAGCAACTAAATTTAGCTATTCAGTCAGGTGAAGCGATTTTTTTATTTATTTTACTTGTACACCTCTAAGTTCTATCGAAGATTTTTAAAGATTTGAAAAAATATTGCAAAATACAAAAGTGCTCACCCCAAACGCTCATGTAATACATATTTTTAATGGATTACAGAAGTGATTATCGAAAGAAACCAGTTCTACATGATTTTAAAGAGAGTGAAAAAAAAAATAGGTAGTTATTAAGTAGTTCTCGAGATACATTAGAGTTTCCTATTTCTAAGCATGTGCTTTCCATAACATATTAGTACTATGTAAAATAATAAACAGTCTCTGTATAGGGACTCGAATGTTTGTGTTAGAATCCATATGGCATCCATAAAGGTGTCAGACAGGGCTGTGTAGCTTCCCCGTGGTTGTTCAACCTATTTATGGATGTTGTTTGGAAAATATGAAAGTTGAAGAATGCGGGTTAAGAATGGATGAGTTAACCATCAAATGCCTTTTGTACGCCGATGATCAAGTCATACTTGCGTCGTCGGCGGCTGGGTTGCAAATGATGGTTACATTAATGAACAGGTCATTAAAAGAAAGGGGAATGAAAGTGAACGCAAGTAAGATGAAAGTGATGGTTTTTGAAAGAGATGACAGCAAAACGGTATGCGAAATAAGAATAGAAGGAGAGTTAATTGAGCAAGTGGATGAGTTCGTATATTTGGGATGTGTATTCAGCAGGGATGGGAGATATTCCGTTGCGGGGCTTTGCAAAAAAGGCACGTATGGCAATTCACAGTGCTGTATTAGTCCCTACTTTAACGTATGGTAGTGAAAGTTGGGTGTGGCAGAAGAAGCACGAGAGTAGAATAAATGCAGTAGAAATGCGGTCGCTAAGGAGTATGTTGGGGCTGAATCTGAGTGACAGGGTGATTGTGATAAAAGAAGAGTGTGGTTTGCAAGATGATGCAGTGACCAGGATTAAGAAAGGAATGCTTCGGTGGTTTGGTCATGTGGAAAGAATGAATGCGGAACGACTGACAAAGCAAGTATATGTTGCAGAAGTGAACGGAAGAGTCGGAAAGGGACGTCCTAGTCGGAAGTTTGTCGACCAAATTGGCGATATACTAAAAATGGGCCAAATTAAGAGTACCCTTAACCGACGAGCACGTATTCGTAGGTATATGGATGTGGAAGAGGCGAGAGAGGTATGTCAGGATCGTGCTAAATGGAAGTCTGTAGACTCTGCCTACCCCTCTGGGTGACAGGCGTGAGTGTTTATGTATGTAAAATAATAAACACGACTTAAGTGATTTAGAAAATTCGACAGCAGAGCCCAACTTTTCTGCTTCGCATTCGAGCTGTGCAATAATGCAATTTTAGAAATCATTCAAAAAATTCAGGCACCTAATAAAACATTCATGAACCACAGTAAGCAGTATTAGAAGTATAAATTTATTATACAAAATAACACCAAAGTAGATGAAGTTTGCAAACAGCATCACTGTTCATCACGATTTCCCTATGTCACACATAGTTATTTAGGGCTGCAACGCATCGGAACTTTGATTCGTAATGGAGAATAAATGTAGATGTCTCTGAATCATGTATAGCCGCGGTCTCTTTTTGTGGTAGAGCTATATTATGGCTGCTGAATGGATGGGCTCTACCAGGACAGGACAATAACGGGATACCAATTTGAAATCGCAGATTAATGTGTTTTGTATAATGAGTGTAGAGACCGGAGACCCTTTTTACTGCTAACGCGGCATTCCATCTTAGTCCTCAGGGGTGACAACACATCTGTATTTTGATTCTTAAAAGAGGTAAATGTAGATGTTTATGGGCCCAGCGTCCACTTACCACCAGGTAGACTACGTGCTCCTTTATCACCCTTACTTCTATAAAAATACTTTCAGGTATTTGTTTTTATTTCTACCCTCATTTATGAAAACAATATAATATTTAGGTTATGGTTTTAATAAGATAACGTATTTGGATAGTAAATTCTAAGGCGTTGTCCTCTTCACGATTTCGTACATACCGACAATTTCCAACTAGGGTCGGAAGCTATTAACCCTGCGAGAGATATTATAATGTCCTAAATGGTTGGCTGTATATAATGGAGTTAAAAAAACTCGCGAGTTGCTGATTCTAGGTATTGTATGAGACAGCTATACTTTACGCTATGATATATAACATCTGTTTTGCGAATTCCATGTGTTGCGAGCCATTTCTTCTGTACCAAACCATAAAAGTGAACTAGAAGGGGGAATATGCCGCAATCGCAACGCTTGTCAAGTAATACTCGTAGAAGTTCATTTCGTAGCTTTGTTCATCCTCTTCGAGATACGAGGTACGAGATAGTTATATCGCTATCTATCGTCATACCTTAATACACTCACGGAATGAGACGTTGTGGTGTTTCATTTTAGGCTACTAGTACACGGCGTATTCTATTACCCAGACCACAAATATGCGGCAGTTATTTTTTTTTTGGTTTAATTACGTGGCAGTAATTTTTTTTGTTTAATGTATTTAAATTAATTAATATCCTCAGGGCAACATCCATCTCTGTGCGTTTGTGCCACTTGGATTGCTCACTGGTCGAGATCCGGCTGACTGCGCTGGAGAGTGACTGCGTGTTCCGCGCCAACGACCGCATGATCTTCAAGCTGTACCTGGGATCTTTCCACCTCGATGATTTATCTGAAAATACACTTTATCCAAAGGTTCCAAATTTTATTTCACAAAATTAACAACCCATTCTCACGTTATTTTTATAAAAGCGAGCGAGCTTACCTACTTATTTACTCTAAATAATATTATAACGTTTATGTTCCAAAGACGGCGAACTGCAGCGTGCAGAAATATCTAATATAGGTTTATGTTGCGCTGTACTTATGAATTGTGTATATTAGTGATTTTAGTATTTTTGTTATAATAAAAAAAATCATGTTTCAAATAACACCAGCTTCACTATATCCCACCACGAATCTACTGCTGATCCTGAGTAGGCTGTATCAAGCAAGTCTTGCCTAGTTTTTTTAGCTTAATCTAGTGGTGTTGCAGTCCACAGTCCGCTTACCAGTAGTATGAGAAAGTGGAAATCTTTCTTCCTTATCCTGAAACGGCTGATCCATTATGACTTGTTGATCCTTTGAGCTACTTATACGGGGCTACTTATTACTTTTCCAAATACGGCCAAATTTAAAGAGAAGATTCAGAATAAGTAATATACTAGGCGAACGGTGAAAAAAAATTAATTAAAAAACCTTAAAAATTTTGTCCTTTTCATTATCTTTTAAATTCAGAATGTGTAGGAAAGCATTATTTTAAAAACTGATTGTCGTTCATCAATTTAACGCCTACTATTTTTACTACGCACGCATACTTTCATAAGGGTCACTCAGTTTATTTTATTGATGTACATTTTCGCGTGTCTTCCTGCGCCCTTCACTTGTAAATTTTCCTAAGTAGTAGTGTCACTTTGTTACCAATAAAGGAACAAACCGCGAATACTATGAAAGTATTTAATGGTGCGATATTACATTTTAAGCAATAAAAGTTTACGTGTTGCGCAAAGATTATACGAAAGTAAGTCTTTACTGCGATAAGAAATTAATGTACGTGTCGACCTACCAATCGTCTTCGGTTGGCAGGTCGACAGCTAATCAAACTATTTAAGTCAAATGAGAGATATTTTAAATAGTGAATATCAATATATACGTTATACTACTAACAAACTTTCACCGTTAGATCGGTGAGGTGAAATAAAGTCTTGTTTACGTCAAATAGGCCCAAAGTTATGAAGACCACCACTGTAAAATTATTGCTGCGTTCACGGGAGTTAAACGCGCTCAAGTACAGATAATAAATGTAAAAAGTTATTTAAGAAAACGTGCTCGTCTATGCATAGAGCAAAACGGATTTTATTTTGAGGTACCAAAATAAGATATTGAGACTACTTGCGTAATTTAGTTGTAAACAGTATATTAAAAAACTATCTGTGACTGTTACAGTTTTTCTTATGACTATAGGCAAAGGTATTGCGTGTGTAATATAAAATGTCCTACTAACAGTTGGTGTGGCCAGATGAAGACAAAGTGCTTGAGATAAAATACGTTCGTGCGGCGACTCGTCTGCGCGCTCACGCGCACGCCGAACTGCGGGTGTACCTGGGGAGGCTACACGTCGTGCTTTTCTGCTCTTTGCTGCACCATCTGCAGGTGAAAAACTTTTTAATGTTTATTAACATCTATTCTTATGGTTTACAAGAGCAGTGTAGTTTATATGATTGCCTTCCACAATATTATTTTTGTGACGTTTTTGTAGACGATCTTATTAAAATCATTGATGAACCTCAACAGAAATTTATAAGTAAGTTTAATTTAAATGAACTATTAAATATTATTAATCTTGTCTGGAGATAATGTGGTAATGACCTTGGCACTGATATTTGAAGACCGTCAGAATCCTTTATTTATGTGTGAGAAATAATTCATAATTCGAAAACTAATTGAAATATCATTCGCCCTTATTTCTCACGGTGGCGTTGGTCGGGAACTGTATTCTTATCCTCTCATGCGGACGGCCATTGTTATTTTTACGCGTCAAATCACAGGGCTCGTACGGTAGGTCGTCCGATACTGGAAGGTGCCAAATGTAAACAATGATATCTTTTTAAATTTCGTAAGCCAGCTATATTTAAAACTGATACGTATAATCAAATCGTTATGTAATTCATTCAGGGCAATCACAGGTATTACATCCCATCCTACCTCCGTTCTCATTACAATAGACTTACAATGAGAATGGGTAGGTTAGACTGTGCGAGGATTTGTTCTTTCAACTTAACGGAATAAATCGAATCGTACTTACCCAGACAGAATTATCAACAGGAATACAACTGAAAATCATAGCTCGTGCAAAGAGTTCCAATGTGAGTTTTATCAGCTCGGGTTCCTTCAAATACTTAACATAATGTTGTGTACAACACTATGTAACGTACGCTGTAATTAATACGGCAGCAATTCGCGGAGCCACTGGTGCCCAGCACAGCAGCGGCGGAGGCGGCGGCGGCAGCCGAGCGCGAAGCTAAGCTTCGCGCGCAAAAACTTCGCGCATGCGCAGAACGACTCAGCCTTATCATTGAGGTAAACTTATCCTATAAAAAACAGAAAGCGTCATCTTAAAATATTTTCTTTAACTTATTTTTATCGTATGCATACTTTACGAGGAAAACCTACCTACGTTTAATTTTCCAAAGAATATAGAGAAATATAAATACTTATATTGACATAACCCACATGCAAAAATATAATATTAGATAATACCTACTCGTACCACACTGATATGACTAATGATATGATAAAGACTAATATGATTTTAGTAAATCATAATTACAACCCCTACGTGTCTCGCCTCTAAATGAGACGTTATCTGCGTTGGTTGATCCGAGAGAATCGAAATTAAATGAATGATTTTAATGAATATAATATGTATTTTTCATTTAATTTAATAATTAAATTAATTAATTAAATGAAAAATACGTCTGTCCTGGAAAAAGTCAGCAAGAAACCCAGGGGGACATTTTTTAAACATATTTCACTTTACAATAATATTATTACTACAAATTTTAAATCCATTTCTTAAAATCATCGTGGTGATGATCACCTCCTTTCCAGGGGTTATTTTCATTTATGTATTCTATGATATTATAATAACCATTTTTGTACAATTTTTCTTTAACAAAACAAACTTGTTTAGTGACTTGTTTCTGGGGTTTGTTGTAAAAGCGTATACAATTATATTATCCCCATAAATGAATTACTAATTCTGTAGATCCTAGTAACTGGTATTAGAAGCCTATGTTTTTTCTTAGCGTTTAAAGTAACTTTATCATTATGAAAGCTATTTATGTTTTTATGTATCTACATATGTACATTACATTTTCGTAAATATATTGCGATGCCAAAGTTAACATGTTTCTTTCTTTAAGGGACTCTACAATTTTATAAATCGCCCCTACGGCTCTCTTTTGCAAAACAAATATGGATTCAATGATTCAATGTCAGTCGTATTACCTCATAGCAAAATTTCATAAGGTATTACGCTATAAAGGTAACTAAAATAAACCAATCTAGCTTTCTCAACATTAGTGAAACTTCTAATCTTTCTTACAGCATATGCTACATAACTAAGTCTGCCTGCCAATTAAATATATGGGGGCCCATTGAAGCTTCGCGTCAACAGTAATACCAAGAAAAACAGTTGTATCCACAAGACTCGGAGGGTTTGCGCGTCACAACTAGCAATTAAAAGCATATAAGCATAATACCTATGTTAAGCAACTTACAGCTTTCGTAGGCAAAAAAAAAATTAATAAACGTTTCTACGCGGCTGTGACGAAAGTACTAAGTTAAATAAGTTAATCAAAAAATCATTCGGCGTTCGAAATACATATATGGCGGTTTGACTGCCTCGTTGGTCTAGTGGTTGTAGTAGTGCGACTGCTGATCATGAGGTCCTGGGTTCGAATCCCGGGTCGGGCCAAAAAATCAACTATTGAGTTTTTCTGTCAAGAAATTCTCAGTAGCTCAGCAGTAGCCCGGAGTCAGGAAATTGGCGGTGTCTCACCCCCGTGCTTCGGAAAGCACGTAAAGCCGTTGGCCTGATCTCTCTCCCGGTCGTGTCGGTTTACTGTCCCATCGGATTACGAGAGTGAGGGAATAGAGAGTGCACCTGTGCTTGGGCATATACTTGGGCACTATAATCCTGTCCTACGCCGATGACTAGCCTCCGTTGAGGCAGGCCGCCGTGACCGAAATTCGGTCTGGAGGACATTATTATTATCGCGGTAAAATACAATAAAAAATAGGTTGCCCTGCAGGTCATCCCTGGAACTTCCCGTTGATTTCAAATGTAAAGCGATCCCAAACCAAGTTATGTTAAAAAACGTTTTTTTTTTCAAATTCTTTCGTCGACGTCTTTTTTGAAATTAAGAGCTGATTAGTTTTTGAAATCGATCGGTAAAGCCGTTTAAAAGTTATTCCAAAAAACAGTTTTACAAATTTTGAGTTTTCTTAAAATATATTAGTCTGAATCAGTTCATATTATCACCAAATATATTCCATATTGAGATCTTTAGAACGCTGCAAACCGCATCTCAATCAATCAAAACGATCAAAAGTTATGAAAGGTTTACATACTCACATACATACATCCGTACGGACGCCAATGTGAAATTATGATTTCTTAAATTTACGCGAACACTACACATTGAATAAAACTAAATTTACGGATTCTATCGCGTTTAGCGCAATAAACGCGCGGGAAGTTAAAAAAGATTACAAACATTCATATAGATACAGATAAAGCCGTGTAGTGGCGGTTGAGAATATCCACTACCCCATATCTTCCCGTGGGTGTCGTAAAAGACGACAGAGGGAGACAGGCAGGAGATGGGCAGCAGCATATTCCTGATAACAACTGTGACGTAATAAAAAACTGCGGTTGCCAACCCGCTCGCCAAGCATGGCAACTATGGCAAATACCCCCCAATGAATAAATACACAAACAGACGGCCCCCAGTCCCCGGCGGCCCCGCTATTCCTGGCTACGGTGGCGACCATGGTAACGGCGGGGCAGGGGGTGCTAAGAATCTCCGGTGGAGGTTCGGTTGCCACCTACGACGACTCGACCTGGCAACATATAACGCACGCACCCTGAGGACTGACGAGAAGATACTAGAGCTGGAAGAAGAGGTAGACAAGTTGCGCTGGCATATTATTGGATTATCCGAGGTCCGAAGAGAGGGGGAGGACACGGCAATCCTCGAGTCCGGCAACTTGTTCTATCACCGGGAGGGCGACCATCTGTCCCAAGGAGGTGTCGGATTTATCGTCCACAAGTCTCTCGTCAACAACGTTGTAAAGATTGGGAGTGTGTCGACGAGGGTCGCGTACCTGATACTCAGAATCACCAAACGGTATTCGCTGAAGGTCATTCAGGTTTACGCACCAACCTCGGCACATCCCGATGAGGAGGTGGAGGAAATGTATGAGGATATTTCCAGAGCCATACATTCCTCCAAAACCCACTACACGGTGTTGATGGGAGACTTCAACGCAAAACTAGGCACAAGAGAAAGCGGTGAGCTGAAGGTAGGGAAATTTGGAGTAGGGCAACGGAACCGAAGGGGCCAGCAGCTGGCCGACTTTATGGAGAAAGAGGGACTCTTTATGATGAACTCTTTCTTCCAGAAGCGGCCCCACAGGAAGTGGACCTGGTCGAGCCCCGACGGTTCGACAAAAAATGAGATTGACTTCATTATGACGACCAGACGCCAACTGTTCAGTGATGTCTCAGTGATCGCAAGGGTGAAAACTGGCAGCGATCACCGAATGGTTAGAGGCACACTGAACCTAAACGTTAAGTTGGAGAGGTCTCGTCTAATGAAGTCAACGCTCCGTCCCCCTCGTGCTCTAATCCAGAATCCCGAAACCTTTCAGCTCGAGTTACGTAACCGCTTCCAGTGCCTAGAAGATTGCAATTCGGTGGACGATATGAACGACAAGCTCGTGGAAACTGTCCATGCGGTCGGAGCTAAGTTCTGCAAGACCCGCCGCAGAAGAACACAAAAACTCTCCGATCACACTCTTAATCTCATGGCTGTTAGACGGGAGATGAGGCTGCAATCGTCAACAGATTTGACAGCATACAGGCAACTGAACAGACAGATCTCCAAATGCATGCGGCGAGACTTACGCAACTTTAATACTTCTCGTATTAAAGAAGCGATCGAGCGGAACCAGGGCTCCAAAGTCTTTGCCAGAGATCTGTCTGCCAGAAAGAGCCAACTGTCAAAGCTGAAGACTGAGTGTGGCAACATCGTTTCCGGGACACCTGAGATTTTGAGTGAGATTGAGAGGTTCTATGGGCAGCTGTACACATCATCGTTGGAGCCACACGTAAGTGTGAGTAACGATCCAAGAGCAAGTCTTATCCGACACTATTCCGATGATATCCCGGACGTCAGTCTGAGCGAGATTAGAATGGCTCTCCACCACCTTAAAAACGGCAAGGCCCCGGGCGAGGATGGAATTACAGCGGAGCTTCTGAAAGCGGGTGGAAAACCGGTACTTGAAGTCCTTCGGAAGCTCTTCAATTCCGTCCTCCATGGTGGCACTACTCCGGAGGCGTGGAGCAGAAGCGCGGTGGTTTTGTTCTTTAAGAAAGGCGACAACGCTCTCTTGAAGAACTACAGACCGATTTCCCTTCTGAGCCGCGTCTACATGCTATTTTCGAGAGTCAGAGTGGGGAATTAAAAAATAAAAAAATGGGATGGAAACTTCAGACCAGTTAATAACTGCGTAAATAGTGATCGAATTTCAAGTACAGGTAAGTTACTTTGATCATACTACATATTATACTTATTAACGCTTTGTCTGATACGGCTATGTAGATGTTGAAAGGTCTTGCGAAATAATCAATATATATAAACGCTCGCTGTAAATATAACAGAGCGCGAGTAGCCCGGGTTCGATCCCCGCCGGCACCAATGAAATTGTTAATTGCAATTTTCAGTGCTGATTTACCGACACTATTCCGATGATATCCCGCACGTCAGTGTGAGCGATATTAGAATGGCTCTCCAGCACCTTAAAAACGGCAGGGCCCCAGGCGAGGATGGAATTACAGCGGAGCTTCTAAAAAGCGGGTGCTACTTGAAGTCCTTCAGAAGCTTTTCAATTCACTCAATTGTGGCACTACTCCGGAGGCGTGGAGCAGAAGTGCGGTGGTCTTCTTCTTTAAGAAAGGCGACAACGCTTTCTTGAAGAACTACAGACCGATTTCCCTTCTGAGCCGCGTCTACGTGCTGTTTTCGAGAGTCATTACGAATCGTCTCGCACGCAGACTCGACGACTTCCAGCCTCCCGAACAAGCCGGTTTCCGAAAAGGCTTCAGTACCATAGACCACATACATACCCTGCGGCAGATTGTACAGAAGACCGAAGAGTACAATCTGCCACTTTGCCTGGCATATGTGGACTATGAGAAAGCCTTTGATTCCGTCGAAATTTGGGCGGTGCTACAGTCCCTTCAGCGGTGCCAAGTTGACTGTCGGTACATCGAAGTGCTGAAGTGTTTGTACAGTAGGGCTACGATGGCTATCCGAGTACAGAACCAGAGTTCGAAACCTATCCAACTGCAGAGAGGTGTAAGACAGGGTGATGTTATATCCCCGAAACTCTTCACCGCTGCGTTGGAAGACGTTTTCAAGCTACTGGACTGGAAAGGATACGGTATTAACATCAATGGCGAGTACATCACTCACCTTCGATTTGCCGACGATATAGTCATTATGGCAGAATCGCTGGAGGACTTAAGCATTATGCTCAATGACCTCAATAGTGCCTCCCAACGGATAGGTCTTAAGATGAACATGGACAAAACAAAGATCATGTTTAATGTCCATGTCACACCTATGCCGGTAGTTGTTGGGAGCACTATGCTCGAAGTTGTTGACGAGTACGTTTACCTGGGACAAATAGTCCGACTAGGTAAGTCCAACTTCGACCGAGAGGTCAATCGACGGATTCAACTCGGCTGGGCAGCGTTCGGGAAATTACGACATATCTTTTCGTCAGGTATACCTCAATCTCTAAAAACTAAATTGTACAACCAGTGCGTGTTGCCAGTGATGACTTACGGATCTGAGACGTGGTCCTTCACTGCTGGCCGTATGAGGACGCTTAAGGTCGCTCAGCGAGCTATGGAGAGGGCTATGCTTGGAGTTTCTCTGCGTGATAGACTCAGAAATGAGGATATCCGCAGTAAAACCAGAGTGATCGACATAGCCCAACGGATTAGTAAGCTGAAGTGGCAATGGGCCGGCCATATAGCTCGAAGAACCGATAACCGATGGGGAAGAAAGGTTCTCGAGTGGCAGCCTCGTACCGGTAGGCGTAGTGTAGGGCGACCCCCCACTAGATGGAGTGACGACCTGGTAAGACATGCAGGAAGTCGATGGATGCAGGTGGCTCAGGACCGTGCTTTGTGGCATTACTTGGGGGAGGCCTATGTTCAGCAGTGGACTTGTGAAGGGCTGTAATGATGATGATGATGATGATATAGATACAGGGCCTATATTAACTGCTGGGAGAAAATATTGTACTCGTGAGATCCCCGCACTAAGGACTTGTTGAAGCGATGGTGTATCAATAGACTTCCAAAAAATGTTTTGTAAAAGCTATGATTTGAGACCATCATCTCTGGCCATCATAACCTCTGGAATTGAGGTGATTGCTAACATGTGTTTCTAAATGTTTTATACTAATAGTATAAAATATTATATTGTCTATTATGCATTTTTTTAAAAAAGTCCTGCCGGTTTTCTTGCTGGTTCTTCCGAAGACAGAGGTTTTTTCCGAACCCATGGTAAAGCTTAAATTACTTTCAATAAAATTTTGTTGTAATTTATATTGAATAAAAGTGATTCTACTCTATTCCATTTATCTTAACGAGATGTCTCAAGATCCTCGATATATCAACGCTAATGCTCTTGTGAAGAGTGTTGATTACGATATATTCTTCTTGATGCTTTAGATGTTAATTAGTAGTTAGTAGTAATTAGTAATTAGATATTACTTAGTAGTTGTTAATTTATTTATTTTAACAACATTGCGGTACCAAACGTCTCGCAGTTATGACCCTGTATCCCGACGCAGGACCGGATATTTTAGGTCTAACTTAAACGAGATGGTTATACGGCCTTCTATCAGAAATCATAAGGTTTCTCTGGTATTTTGCTATAGTCGCCTCTTACATCACCCACGAGACGAAATGTGGTGATTGGTTGTCTTACGACGTCACCACATGGCAGAATAAAGGGTATTTACTTCTTATCTTCTTTTCTATCGGTGCTACCTTCCAACGCATTACATTAAAATATTTGTAATTTATATTAAATAGAAAACTTCTTTAGCGGCGTTGTACACTTTTTTGTATGGGTAAAAAAAGTTAAACTCGCGCCAGGACACGTGACCTGACCGAAAATTTGTAAGACGGATGGAGAGTAGATAGTACGCCGCGTTTTATGAGAGATAAACTTTTAATGTAATATAAATTGTCATGTTTGTGTACGATAGCGCAATAAATAAATAATGTATTCTACCACATAAATGATAGTATTTTTATACTGATAATTAAAAACCATTCCAAAATATCAAAAATGCACTACGTTAATATTCAAGTTTTCACTTCTGCCCGTACTCTCGGAATACAACCCGTCCTTTTTTTAATATTAAATAGACCAATAGTATATTATAATTTCTTTTACTTAAATTAACAATTTGTTTTATAGCTCCATGCTCCAGTGCTACTTCTCCCGCAAAAACCTTCTTCCCCGGATTTACTAGTTCTAAATATGGGTAAATATATAACAAAATTATTGTTAAAGCTTACAGTTTCCACAATTTCAAAAACTAAAAGTATAATGTAGCTCATCTATTCGAGTTACAATGTCCAGAATTGTATGTTAAAGTAATATATCTTACACAAGAATAATTGTAGAGCTGGGGCGAAATTCTGCAAATGGCTGATAATCACGTGATTCAAATCGTAAAAGCTTTAATATCTTTAATCTTCTTCCAATAGTGAATTAGTAGAACACTCAGAAAGTCAGTCAACTATTTATATAATGAGGTTGATAAACAAACACATAGTCCACTTGATAGTAAGTAGGTGCTGCGGCCTGTAAACATCTACTTTTATCAATATCAAATACAAATGTGTTATCACATCTGAGGAATGAGATGGAATCCCTCGTTACTAGAAAAAAAGGTCCCCGGATCTCTACACTCATCTTCACTTTACTAAATCTACATCCTAGTGGACACATAAAATTGTCGTAAGGTATGTCAAAAGAAACTGTGCATCTTAGGAAATGTCTCAAGAAGTGTATGCAGCTGTAAAAATACTCATGAAACTTTTCAGGTGACTTACTCATAGAAAATTTCTTCAAGCCTGTGAACGTCAGCCAAGATCCTAACAGTCAAGTCGCAAATCCCATAATAGACAATGTATTGATCAAGCTTGAAAACATCACCCTATCAAGAGCTGTGATGACCTTGGCTGGCACTTTAGAAGTTCAGGCAAGGACGTTAATTTTATTGGATAGTGTTAAAGTAAAAGTTTTGACAATTTGTACCATTTTTTTTAAATCTTTTTCAGATTATAAAATACAGAACACAATTAAAGAAAAGCATAAAAATAATCCGTACCAAAGGATACCGTTGCTACTCAGTTTTTATCGTAAATAACCTAAAAAGCTTTTCAGGGTCCATAAACAGCGAAATGCGAAAGATAATTCTACTTCTGTCATCTCTCTAAAAACGGAGTTAATAGTAAAGTAACATGAGAGTGTGGCCAGTGTTTAGTTAAGTCACGTAGAGGTATCTAGGCAGTGGGAGTGTCAGGCTACTCTCACATTTACCAACTCCCAATATCGCGTAATAATGATTTTTTAAGACCGCGGAGCCCTTAAACTTTGGCTCATATAAGCAGTGTCGTTAGATTAATTAGATCCTGGGTGTGATTTATTACATGTACTTAGTATTGCTTCCCTATCTCTAATGAATAGTCTGCTTTCAGTTAAAATTTTTAGTCGACTCCGGCAGAACTACTTACTCGTAGTATTACTTTCATTTAAAATTTAATAAAAAAGCGGAAAAAGAATGTCACAGACACAGAACAAAACTACAATCATGAACATGATACCTTGTAACTCTGAGAGAATTTTTGGAATGTGATAACCGCACTGTGCCGATGTGAGCGATAGATATTGTGTTAGTCTTAAAATATTATCTTTTCAGATATTTTATAGAATCAGGCGATGCTTTGCAGAAATCTACTATATTAAAAATGTTTTAAGTTATTAGCTAAGTTCCGCAAACACATAAAATAAAAATCGCCAATACTGTGTGTATTGACTAAACGGGGCATCATCAGGTGAAGTAGACTGCAATGGCTGACCGCTAGTCAGCCTACAGAAATTCTGTTTCCTAAAGATGTTTTCCATCACCACCTACCATGTAACACGTATCATGTATATCCAATACTTAAAACTGCAATTAACAATATGTATGTTGCTGGTGGGGATCTAACTCAAGGAGCTCGTGTACTACATAATACTTTACTTGAGCGCCCAGCTCTTAGGCTGTAATTTCTACCATCATAATAAAAATGAAATTATAAATTATTTTTGGTAATGGTAACTGTTTCCAGGAACCAATCCTAGAACCAATGTCAGTCCGCTGCGACTTGAAACGGACGGTGAGCTACCAGCAAATGGCGAGTGCCTACCGCGACCTGCTGCTTTGCGAAGCCGACGTTGTTATAGACACTGTTATGGTGAACCTTGGCCAGAATGACTTGGCGACGGTACTGGCGGTATGGAGTGGAAATCTAAGTGAGATGAATTATATTGGTAAGATATTTTACAAATGCTCTTTCGAGTCTGTTGTTTGGCTTCACTCATAACGCTAAGTTTTAAAAATAATAACATAATAATGTCTTTATTTCCCCTCACAAAATATGATTCCATGATACAACAAATAACTCTACAAACTTAAGGGAAGTATTTACAGTCATGTGTAAGTGGAGATAGATATAGAAAATAGGTATACAGATATACATATATATATGTCTATATATATATATATATATATATATATATATATATATACAAATACAAATAACATACAGATGAATAATTTTTTAATCTTATTAACATAATAGAAAAACCTGAAATGGTTATTTGAATAACAAATCATGAGTGCAATTAGTTTAATTAAAATTTTCGTATTTTTAAAAAATGCTAAAAAAGGGTTCGAAATAATAGATTTTCTCACAAAAGAAGGGAACTTGAAATAAAAAGGAAAAAAAGTCGGACCGAAGACAGGACGCGAACCAAGGCGTTACGATTTCGCGACCGCTCGATATCCACTTGAGCTATTGCGATCATTAACAGAAGGTCAAAATTTACCTTCTTATATTGTAGCAGTTTTTCATGGCCTGAAAACACGGACAACAAGATATTTTCTAAAAATAAATCCTAGCTAGATCAATTTCTTGCCCCCGAAACTCCCTGGACACTAAATCTTATGAAAATCGTTGGAGCCGTTTCCGAGGTTCCGATTTTATATATATATATATATATATATGGACAATAGGTATACATTTTCTTCCTCCTCTTCAATCTTTTTAAGCTAGCATAGTGTCTATTGTACTCTACTTAAGATAGATTCTACTACAAGTGATAGATGGCTAGCTCATTACCTGCATTACTATATTTGACAGGCTTGGCAGTAATGCTGTTGACATAAGTCTCGTATCACCGTAACAGCCTATAAAAGTCAAGATAGGCCTCCCCCATAGATTGCCTCATAAGGGTGATATTTGCCGAGATGCCACGCTTGGCAAGTGGGATTACAACCGTAGTTTATAAAGTCTAAGTATTATAAAAACGCTGCTACCCATCTCCTAATTTGTTTGCCTTCGTCGCCTCTTACGATACTTACGGTATGATGAGATATTAGATATTCTTACAGTGCCACACGGTACATCATCACGGGATTTATATATCCCAGATAACAGTTTAACTTAGCGTTTTAGTACTCCAAGAAATGTCAAAACCTATCATGAAAAAATTAAGTATTTTCAATTAGAACCTACGCTGAAATCACTTAGACATGTCACTCCTACATAAGATTATAAATAATTACATTGACTGTGTCCCGTTATTGTCCAAATTTCAATTTAACGTACCATGCGGAATACCAAGATATCCGTGTAGCCTTTTTAAGATTAAATTTTGTAGAACCAACTTAGGTCGCGACTCCCCAGTGATCCGTATATCTCGCCTGTACAACAAGCTCACCAAAAGTGAACCCGACTTCGACGTTCACCATGATACCCTTGCTCAATTTATTGCCAAGCTAAAACATGTTGACGTACGTTAAACTCCATTTGCACAATTAACTTTTATTTCTTTATCATTATTTTTTATTTTATTTTTTATGCAAGAACATATTTTTCTTAATTTTGTTTAACATCTGTAACACGACGCATGCTGTGATTGCCTATAATTATAAGAGCAGTTAATCATGTAAATGTTGGTAATCCAAATAAATAAATAAATAAAAAGATCAACGTGACTCAAGACAATCGGCCTTCACTTTTTGAAAAAGTTTCTCGTGGTACTCGCCTCAGGCCAACCCATACACACCGCAGGTGGTATAGTGGAAGAAAAGCCGATAATGCCCCTTTCCGTCACCAGTTTGTGAGATTTAGGTTTTCGCCTTCATTCGTGCGCCAGTTATTCTTATACATCTTGTTGTGTGTGATTGATATCATGATTCATACAGTGCGTCTGTGCCTGTTGCCATTTTTTTTTGGCTTTGTAACCAACTTCATGAATATCTATTTTTCCATTGTTATATTAGGAACTGCAGTTCCCGGATCCCCGGTGGACACTTCATCATCAGACGTTACTGTGAAGAAACTTCAAGCGTTTTTTGCTCAGAGCGAACCGATACGGAAAGAAGTTACCGTCAGGTAACGGATTAGCTCTTCTGTTTTATTAAGTTATTGAGAGAGTAAAAACCAATTCAATTATATCTCCATATTTTAAAAATCAAGTGCTGTCGGTTAGTCGATCTAAAACACAAAAAAGGCTCGACCAGTTTTGATTCACATTTGGACCCGGCAAGTGGCTCTGTTGTCGAGATCGTGAAATTGCCCGTGAAAACCGAGCGAATTGCTAGTGGTTGCGCGGAAAACCATTCGTATTAATTTTATTAGAAAGTAGGCTTGCCAAAGCGTTTGTCCCTTTCCAAAAACCTATCGTCCTATCGACACATCGGGGTGGTGGGGTGGGAGGGGAAAGAAGATAGTTCTAGAATGTCACGCGATCATCGCAACCGAACGAATAAAAGGGACGCGCACGGTCCACGCGCTCTCTCTTCCCGTCGCGCTCTTCATTGGAACCACACCGCCTAGGACAGTAGTGTCCTAGAAAGCTCTTGCCCGCGCGCACCTCTAAGTTCAACCGCATTAGCCCGGAGCAATCGAGTTCCGGGAGTAACCGCCTCACCTCGTGTGAGAAATAGTCGCGCGCTCTCTCTTCCATCGCATCACCGGACAGGAACGCATCTCTGGGGCCCCAGAGAATCCACCAGAAGTCGCACCGCAGCAACAAGGCGCCCAAGCCACATGGAAACGACACCCCGGTGAGTGAACCCCACCTTAATTCATATTCATGCCTGCTTGATAAATTGTGTTTATTAGTTAATCCGCTCCAATTTCATTTTCTCCTAATCAAGCAGGAGTTCCTTCATAGGTTTTGGCAAGCAATAGTTTGTTTTAGGGAAGAGCGAGTGTATTGTATGGGAAACCGCGTGCTATAGTCGCTATTTTGTGTAGAAGGAAGAAGCAATTCGCGTATACAGTCCATTTTGGTTTAACATCTCGAGTAATAGGCTTAAGGCTCGACCGGGGAATTAGAAATTCGGTAACCTTAGGCTCGTCGCTCCACCATTTTCTGGACCTTCGGCCGGATTTGGACTGGTGTTTAGTAGCCGCTCAACCATTTTCAGTTTTTTGTTAGATTAATTACTTAGACAATGCACTCTAATTTTATTGAATGGATTTAAATAGTGTTTGTTTAGTTTAAATTTAAACTTTGGTTAGTTATTCGCAAATAGAATTCATTCATTTAAATAGTGTTTGTTTAGTTTAAATTTAAAATTTGGTTAGTTATTCGCAAATAGAATTCATTCATTTAAATAGTGTTTGTTTAGTTTAAATTTAAACTTTGGTTAGTTACTCGCAAATAGAATTGTTCATTTAAATACTGTTTGTATTTAGCTTAAACATAAAGCTTATTAGTTGCTTAGTAATTGAAAACAGTTTAGTCACAAATGTTTTACGCGCTTACCCGACATATAAAATATTGAGTTTAGCGAGCGACACGCGTCACTTCGGCTCGTTGTACAGGTGTTCAATTTAACGACGTAATACGGCACTATAAGACAATAGTGTGGGAGATATAGTTGTGTTACATTGCGTCCATCCTCCAGCGTTGTGCGATTAATTGTGATTAATCTAATATTAATTATAATAATTTAAAATGGCAGTTAGTGGAAATGAATTTAAAATTAAAACGCTTTACGCCAAGAGGGACATACTTTTTTCACGTATACAAAATATTAGTGATCACATAAAGAATATCAACTTAAAAGCAGTGCGGGAAACGTTTTTAAATGAAATAGAAACAGTGGATTCTTTGCGGACGGATTACGAAAGGATATTAGACCAAATTAATAATTTGGAATTACAAGTCGACCCGAAATATACAGTGAACTACCAACCGCTTCTAGCATTTGAAGATATGTTGTGTCGCGTGAAAAGAACGGCGAAGCTCTTCAGTCCCCATCTCAAAACGAAGCAAAGCTGGAAGCCCAGGTACTCCCACGTGATTCGAATAGGTTGCCGCCAATAGATATTCCGGTATTCAATGGCGATATTAAGACATGGCCCTTCTTCTTTAGTAGTTTTCAAAACAATATACATAATAATCCATCGTTATCGGACGCCGAAAATTTATTTTATTTAATTAGTAAACTGTGTGGCAAGGCACAGTCAATTTGCTCGGGTTTCACACCAACAGCAAATAATTATTTGTTAATATTCGAAACGCTTAAGGACAAATATTTGATATTAAACCTATATCATCCGCGAACATCAACGGCTTAGAGCAGTTTTTAGATACATTTGTGGCATCGGTGGCTGCACTTAAAAACTTGAAATTTAATGACCTTATGGACGTGGTGTTTCTCCATATTGCACTAAAGAAACTAGACCCCGACACCGTGCGTGCGTTTGAAATGGAGCATCGTAGCTCTAAGATGCCCCCCTTTGATTCATTAGCATCCTTTGTGCGAGACCAAATCAAGTGATGCAGCGCTCCTCGAACGTTAGACAGGAGGTTAGGAAAGGTGTCGACCGTAGACAGGCTCCATCACCTAAAACCGCAGGGTCGTTAACGTACGTAACCGCTGCACCGGTACCGCCGCAGAATGCCTGTATCCTATGTAAAGATAAACAACACGGTAATTTATACAATTGTGCGACCTTTCGTAAACATTCACCCAGCGAACGTTATAGAATAGTGAGGACGAATAACTTATGTCTGAATTGTTTAAGCGATAAGCATTTAGTTGCAAAATGCAATTCTAGTTCCGCGTGTAACAAGTGCGCCAGAAACCATCACACGTTGCTACATTTCGAAAATAGCAACATACGAGTATCTGCGTCAAGTAAAGCGGACAAGGAATTTACCCCTACTAAAGTCAACGATTCTAGCGATCGACCTGGTGATGTCGCTCTGTGCTCATTGGCAAATATGGGAGCACAGCCTCCTTCAACCGTGTTACTGGGTACAGCCCGTATTGTAGTTAGGGATTCGCGTGGAAACGAACAAAGCGTCCGTACACTGCTGGACAGCGGATCTCAAAATATTTTTTCTTATCGGTTTATTTCACTACTTTTACTTATTTTTAATTCCCGACGTTTCGGGTGCTTTACAGTAACCATGGTCACGGGGGGGACTGAGATGTTTGACCATGGTTTGACCATGGTTGTGACCATGGTTGCTGTAAAGCACCCGAAACGTCGAGAATTAAGAATAAGTAAAAGTAGTGAAATAAACGCGATAAAATCCGTAAATTTAGTTTTATTCAATTTTCGTTTGTTTAATATAGCACTATCCGCCGATATTCCCCAAATGTTTCTTTGCATAGGGGTCCGTGAGTGCGACCGTAGATTCCAACGCATTTTATATCGTTTCAACCCAAAGGAACCTCTAATGGTGTTTCAATTTAACCGCGTTTGCTTTGGTTTAAAGTCGAAAGCTCCCATTTCATGCGTTACGCACGGTGAGACAGCTCGCCCACGATGAAGGTCCCTCTTATCCTAAAGCTAAGAGGGCAATTGAAAGTGGATTATATATGGATGATTTTGTGTACTCGGTCGATAGCGTGGAGGAGGCCACCCTAACCACCGCCGAGGTTATAAAGCTCATGAAATCGGGTCAATTCGATCTTGTCAAGTGGACTAGTAATTCGCGTCCGGTTTTAGACACAATCCCACTATCGCACCGTTTTTCGGCGATAAAGGAATTGGACGATTCTGATACACACAAGGTGCTCGGTCTGTGTTGGTCACCAGAGTCTGACGTGTTTAGCCTTAAGGTAAACCCGCCCGTAGAGAAGTGCACAAAGCGCACAATACTGTCATGCGTTGCTAGATTATGGGATGTCATGGGTTTCGTAGCTCCGGTGGTATTATACGCTAAGCTTTTGATTAAACAACTTTGGTTATTTGAATGCGATTGGGATGACTCGCCGCCTGACAGCATTGTTCGGCTGTGGCAGCGTTTTAGAGAGGAACTTCTTTTATTAAGAGAAATTAAAATACCACGTCATATAAACGTCGATAGAAATAGCGTCATGACGGTCGTTGGGTTTGCAGACGCCAGCGAGAAGGCGTACGGGGGCGTTGTATATTTCCACGTTCAGAATAATGGTAGAAATTCGATTAGCCTCATTAGTTCTAAGTCGAGAGTCTCCCCCCGTAAGGTGGTCTCTCTGGCGCGCTTAGAGCTTTGCGCAACATTAGTACTCACCAAGCTTATTACCGTAGTTATCAGCGCATGTAGGGACAGAGTTCACATAGAAAGGATATTTGCCTTTTCCGACTCAACCGTCGCTTTATGTTGTGTTCATTCTTCACCCCTCCGTTGGGATACGTTTGTCGCGAACCGAGTGGCCAAGATCCAAGACGAGTTAGGAACGCGGAACTTTTATCACGTGTCCGGTACGGAAAACCCTGCCGATTGCCTATCCCGTGGACTCACTCCGATGCAGATAATGGACCATCCGCTTTGGTTCCACGGACCTTCTTGGGTTCACTTGGAGCCCTCGCAATGGCCAATAACCGATTTCGACCCTTCGTCAGTGTCACAACCGCCGGAAGAGAAGAGGCATGCTCTGGTGGCAAGCGTTTCGGGCGAGGTTTCTCCAATCATTGCTTTGGCGAACCGCTTGTCCTCTTGGTCGAAATTATTGCGTAGCGTAATTTACGTTTGCCGATTCGCGAAGCTTTTACCGCGACGTTCGTATATCTTAGCGTCCGATTACAACTATGCCGAGTTGCTGGTATTGCGTGAACTTCAACGTGCGCATTTCTCTGAAGAAATTACAAGATTACAATCGAATAGAGCTTGTAGTCGTGCTTTTCAACGCCTTAAGCCATTTTTACAGGATGAAATTGTAAGGGTAGGTGGACGCTTGTCCAACTCGCAGTTGAGTTTCGACCAACGGCACCCTATAGTTTTACCGCGTAAAGACCATATCATGAATTTATTAGTCGATTACCATCATAAATTGAATTCTCATGCTGGCCCCGACTTGCTGATGTCGATCTTGCGTCAGAATTATTGGATTCTTTCCATATTTCTCGTGCACAGTGATACTTGCTTTCGGGTACGTCCCAAGCCGTCATTTCCGGAAATGGCGGAACTTGGGTCTTGTCGAGTAATACAATCCGTAAAGCCCTTTACGCACACCGGGTCTGATTTTGCTGGTCCGTTTAAGGTCACGCTCACTCGCGGGCGTGGTATAAGATCCACAAAGGCTTACGTCTACATTTTCGTATGTCTAACTACTCGAGCAGTGCATATTAAACTCGTTGGTGATCTAAGCACAGCAGGCTTTATGGGTGCGTTTAAAAGATTTCTTTCCCGCCGTGGCCCTGTAAGTAAATTGTATTCGGATAACGGTACGAACTACGTCGGTGCAAAACGTATTTTATCAGAACTACATGAGCTCTTAGCTAGCAAGTATTATAATTCGGAGTTCGCTCACATTCTAGCCGAGAACCGCATCGAGTGGTCTCTGAACGTCCCAGCCGCGAGTCATTTTGGGGGCAATTGGGAGACTAATATTAAGAGTCTAAAGAGTCACTTATACCGAGTAATAGGAGATCAAATTTTGTCCTTCGAAGAGCTAAGTACTGTGCTCGCTCAAATTGAGTGCGTAATGAATAGTCGCCCACTTTGTCGTACGTTGTCTAGTGACCCCTCGGAGCCGCTGGCTCTAACTCCAGCACATTTTTTGAATTTAACGCCTTTTAAGTATTTGCCCGCCGTAGATTGGACGAGAACAAACTTAGCATTTCCGCACGCCATAAATTATTGGACCGGTTAGTACAATCGTTTTGGAAACGATGGAGGATGGAATATTTGCATACTTTGCAGTCTCGGCATAAATGGAACACAGCAACTGAACCTTTAACTGTAGGACCTGTGGTTGTGCTCACCAAAGAGAATACGCCGCCGCTCCATTGGCCATTAGGGATTGTCAAAGAGGTTTTTCCCGGTTCCGACGGAGTAATTAGGGTAGCTCGCGTTAAGACCACGGTTGGGTCTTACATGCGTCCTGTTGTCCGTTTGTGCCCCTTGCCTTTTCTATAGTTTAAATTAGCTTTCTAGATCAGAAATTGTAGTTGAATTTTAGGTTTAATCTTAGCGTTAGTTAGTAATTATTTGTCAGTTTGATATTAGCTAGTTGTTTTAGTTATTTTGAAGGAAATCCTTCAAGCCGGGGGAGATGGTTGCACGGAAAACCATTCGTATTAATTTTATTAGAAGGTAGGCTTGCCAAAGCGTTTGTCCCTTTCCAAAAACCCACCGTCCTATCGACACATCGGGGTGGTGGGGTGGGAGGGGAAAGAAGATATTTCTAGAATGTCACGCGATCATCGCAACCGAACGAACGCGCACGGTCCACGCGCTCTCTCTCCCCGTCACGCTCTTCGTTGGAACCACACCGCCTAGGATAGTAGTGTCCTAGAAAGCTCTTGCCCACGCGCACCGCTATGTTCAACCGCATTAGCCCGGAGCAATCGAGTTCCGGGAGTAACCGCCTCACCTCGTGTGAGAAATAGTCGCGCGCTCTCTCTTCCATCGCATCACCGGACAGGAACGCATCTCTGGGGCCCCAGAGAATCCACCAGAGGTCGCACCGCAGCAACAAGGCGCCCAAGCCACATGGAAACGACACCCCGGTGAGTGAACCCCACCTTAATTCATATTCATGCCTGCTTGATAAATTGTGTTTATTAGTTAATCCGCTCCAATTTCATTTTCTCCTAATCAAGCAAGAGTTCCTTCATATGTTTTGGCAAGCAATAGTTCGTTTTAGGGAAGAGCGAGTGCATTGTATGGGAAACCGCGTACTATAGTCGCCATTTTGTGTAGAAGGAAGAAGCAATTCGCGTATATACAGTCCATTTTGGTTTAACATCTCGAGTAATAGGCTTAAGGCTCGACCGGGGAATTAGAAATTCGGTAACCTTAGGCTCGTCGCTCCACCAGCTAGTATTATATAAATGATTGCTGGTATTATATATATACGAGAATAAGAATACCTAAGCGTAAAAAGGTGAATGATACTAAAATTGCAACTGTTTTACTTCACACTACGTAGAATGTTTATAGAGTAAAGTGATTTGTTACTTTTTTATATCTTGTCTTAGCAAAAGTATAGGATTAAGTAAATAATGTCATTTTCTTTTTCGATTCTCGACATCACCTACATTATCATAATGGTCTTGAAGTATTATCATAGTTTTTTTTCCACTGCTTAATCATTATGTTCCCAGATTACTCTTATATAATTTGTTACAGATTCACTCTTGAAGGTATCGAGCTCAAACTGTTCTCCGACATGGACGAGATATTAAGCTCTCCAGTTCGGGACCTTAATCACGGTTTAGCAAAATTATCAGCTGGAGAAGCGACGGTATCTTTGGACTGCTATTCAGACGGCACTAAGGAGGTCAAAGCTAGCTTACAAAGTTTGCTAGTGGAAGATATTCGGGCGGATCCAAGCATTGTTATTCGACGGTATATGTTAAAAAAAGTTCAATATGAGATTGTGCGTGATGTGTGTGTGTTTACTACTATTTAAAATATAATTTAGTTATTAAGAGAAGTTATTACAGCATTCTTCATCTACAATGAGATTGGTTCAATAAAAAAAAACAAGCCCGTAACGTAATTAATCAGTACTCGTTGGTTATTAAAAAACAAAAATTCATTTATAAATTATACGCGTAATTCGAGTTCAATTACTGAAAAATACCTTGTTAATAGAATAATGACTGGTCTAAAGTGATTCTTTTATTTGTACTTACATAATTCAATAATAATTTTTATGTTATTAACAATTCTTGCAAATATTATTTGTACATCAATATCGCCATACCAATATTGCAAACATAGTCATGAGCCGTGGTAGCTCAGATGGTTAACGCTCGCTGTAAATATAACAGAACGCGAGTAACCCGGGTTCGATCCCCGCCGGCACCAATTAAATTGTTTATTGCAATTTTAAGTGCTGATTTACCACGTACTCAGCGGTGAAGGAAAACATCGTGAGGAAACCTGCATGTCTGAGGAATAAGAAAAGAAAATATTTCGAAGACATGTGAAGTTCACCAACACGCATTGGGACTGCGTGGCGGACATTTCCTTGCCCTAAAACCCTCTCAGAAATGAGGGGAGGCCTGTGCCCAGCAGTGGGACGTTAGTATATAGGCTGTAACTTCACTTTACTTTAAACATAGTCAGATACAGTTTTACCCATTTGTATAAAGGAACCTATAATATATTAAATTACATAGAATTGAATATAGTGTGGTCTCCGCCATGCGTTACAATGCTTCTTACTTGTTCAAAACTTTCGCAAGCGCATACACAATTACTTACCTAACTTTCCTCGTAATTGGATTAACACATAGAAGACTTGCAACACTCTTTACTACTTACTACTTACACTTTTTTACTACTTACTACTCTTTACACTCTTTTTACAAACAAATATTTTTTTATTAGATAATTCCATATCATTTATAAATACTTATATACTTTCAACTTACAACGCTCTCCCAGAATACCAGCGTAATATAGCAGCTCAGTGCCGCTGTGTTTCGTATGGTCAGTGTAATGAACCGAAGACTCTTTTTACTGAAAACGAGGCTTTTCATCTTAGTCCTCAGGGGTGACAACGCATTTTGATACTTGATCGAGCATAGATGTAAATGTCTATGGACCACAGCATCCACTTACCATCAAGGGGGGCTGTGGGCTCGTTTGTTACCCTTATTCTATAAAAAAAGATGTCCATGAGCTGCTGTAGCCACTTATCTGGAGGACTGTTAGTTCGTTTGTTGCTTAAATTTTATAAAACTTAAAAAAATTGTCCAGAGTTTAAAAGTTGTCCTCGTTCTTCGATTTCATAATGCTTATGACTACGTACTTTGCAGCATATTCCAGTCCCAGGGCGGCGGTTCAAAGGCGGCGGCCGGTATTTCGGTACTACGGCCGGCGCTTTTAGACGCAAGCGTGCGATGCTCAGCCCGAGCGGCCACGTGGGACGTGCGCGTCGACCGCACGCGCCTCAACCTCGCGCTGCCGTTCCTGCTGCAGCTGGCGCGCACGCTGCTGGACGCCATGCCAGGTGACCGTCGTTTGTGACCTGCAGCAGTACCACGACACGGGCACAAGTGCCGCGCGTGGCATGTACGCGTCTCAACCTCGGGTGGGCTGGTGCTGCAAGACATTACGCAGCTTTGGAATTATTGGAAAGGCGTGCTAAAAGCTTATTGGTGACACCAATATGGTTAGAACCAATCTTACCAGTCCTGAGCATTGCATAAAGTGACTAGCCTTTCGGTGTTTTACATGGCATTTCGGATAGTGCGCAGGAACTGAATGACTTATTTCCTCCCTCTCCAATATTAATCAGACAAGACACTCGTCTGGTCTCCACTTATTTGCTGTTGGCATACCATGCATTAGTGTCGAACGGTTTTCTTTTTCGTTCATAATGCGTACAGCATAGGCGTGACATATTTTTACAGCATGTGTTTGTCCATCTGATTATAAGGCTTTTTAGACTAAGTCGGGGAATTTCACCATCTTCGACTTCATCACCATTTACCATCAGGTGGAATGATTGTCAAACACTTGCTTGTAATAGTTAAAATCCCTTTTTAATATAATTATTATTATTAGGTACTAAAATAATAGACTGCATCGCCTTTTAATTTTAGTAGTAATACGTTCTCTTAATGGCTTCGTATATGCACATAACACAACATATTTATGCATATTCTAACATGCACACAACAAAACATAATTGTGTGCATATTTTCGGATAAAATGTGGTTTTGCTCTTTTTATGTATGCCGGTAGAATATAATTACCGTTAGATTTGAATGTGTTAAAACTGAATTACTTAGATTTGCCGCATAAACTTCCTTTTTAACATATTATTCTTAGGTGAGAAGACGATGGACGGTGGCGTGGTAAACCATGGCTACGTGGGCGAAATAGACCCGACACGACCCGGGAATAACAACTGTAACGTGCGCTTTCCAAGCTCTAGCGACTCTACTAGCGGGTACTACTCTACATGTAAGTCATGATGTATATTATACAAGTAAATAATATTCTTCCATTACCAGTTCACTGCTTAACATAAGCTTCCATCCGAAGACTGCGCTGAAGTACGATCCTGGGCCACCTGCATTTTTACCTATATCCGTATATTCCAGTAGCCTCAAAGGTGCGAGACTTCTGGCAGTGTGTGCATCAATCCACTTAACAAGCGTTACCGTTAAAATAAACCCTGCTTATATCATTCATGACAGACCTATGTGCGCTAGGAACATTTTCATGTGCGCGTGTTCTTTTTGTTTCTGAATCCATTTTTCGCGGCATATTTCCTCTTTCTCATTTTGACGACGCAAACATCCACAGTAGGCGCTTCTTTTGTGCATATCACACTGGATAGCCACTGCAGAAGCCATATAGCGGTCTTATCGTTTATGACTGGAGTCGCGTATTTTGTAGTAAGAAGAATAATTGCTAAAAATTGTTACAAGACTTAAAGCATTCCTTTAACCTAATTAAATTAATAGAGAATTAAAGGAAATTATGGGAGTAGCGATTTGGAAAAAAGGAATAGAAGTGAAATCTTCAGAAAATGTGAGACAGAGATAATTGGAAACACTGTATACTGTATTCTATCTCATTTTCTCGCAGGCTAAATCCTGTAGATGTGTACGTTAGTCTCTTCTCAATGTCGCATTTTCGTTTCATTTAATTTGGAATCAAAACGATTATAAAGATGTATTCACTACGAAAATAAATAAATATGCACTTATTTTCATATATTAATTATAGTTTTTGCCAATTGTAGCAACATCAATCATAGAGGAAGCACCCAGCCTTTCAATATCGATTCAGTGTCGTCAACCGGAGGTGATGTTCTTTACGGACCTCACGAAGAGCGACGGTCATGCCTTGCTACTACGCACCGAGCTCCTCGTTGACTACTCCAGTCATTCTAACACTGAAAGCCTAGTGCTGTCGTTGGCCGGTCTGCAGGTAATTAAGAAATGTCATTTTTCGTAGAAAATACTGTCTCAGCGACTTTAATATTACGTAACTGTATTGGTGACTTATTTGCTTGTAAAATAAATTACATAATAAATAGCCTTTATTGCGATTTAAATGTGTACAGTTTCTTATATATATTATGACTGAAGCACAAATGAGTCGGCTCAAACTCACAGAGTACCATCATAAAATAGCAACATAATGCTGCTGTGTTTGTGAGTGACGTGAACCAGAGACCATTCTTATGGACGATACGGTCAGTTTAACTGATCATTCTAACTGATCAGTTCAAACTAAAACTATTGATATATTTTAAAACTAGCTATTACCCGCGGCTTCGCCCGCATGGTCACTGGGAAATGAACTATCCATTGCTTTTTGAATTGAAAGAAAACTGAGTTTTATAGATTTGTCAGAGATGCAGCTATTAAAAAAGGAAACTGAGCAAAATTGATTCGTCAGCCTATTTAAATGTTTTAAAACGCAGCGTATAGGAAAGCATGAAAATAGCCTGTTTATTCCAAATGGAAATGGGATATTTTTTTAATAAAGGAAACTGAGCATAATTATCCGTCAGGGATGCAGATTTTTGAAAAGAAACTGAGCTAAATTGATTCGTCAGAGATGCAGTTTTTTGAATTAAAAGGAAATTGAGCCAAATAAAAGATCCGTCAGAGATGCAGCCTTTTGAGTTGAAAGGAAACTGAGCTTAATAGGCCCGTCAGAGGTGCAGCATTTGGAATTTAAAAGAAAGAAACTGAGCTAAATAGGAAATTTTGAATTGAAAGGGAAGGTCTGTGGGAATTCTGATTAATTGATTGTGGGAATTTCGGAAAAAACTAACTGAACACTATTTTAAGACGCTACTGTACAAAATGTTAATGTTTTTCCATTCGGGAAAAGAATGTGGAGATTCTGGGCATTTGACACACGCGAAAATGCTACATACAGCTTACCATGAGAGAAGCACGGTTTTTCTAAGTTGACCCCCGCTACCTGTAACGTTTACCCTTGCGCTTTATTAATTGTCATTGCAAAACTGAGCTTAATAGGGAACTGCAACCTTTTGAATTGAAAAGGAAGATCTGTGGGAATTATAGGGATCCGTGGTATAATAACATTTTCACCTTTTCCTACGCCTGTCAAAATTGTAGCACCGATTATGTTCCGTCCAAGATATGTCACACGCAGTCTTGTCCCGTTACATAACCGAGGAGCATCTAAATTTCGCATTAGCATGACTGGGACGCCTAATTTTAATTGAAGCTTATGTGAGGGCACACCTGACAACTCTAGAGAATTTAGATACTCTACGGGCTATGAAGTGCTCTGTTCTGTGTCCATAACTGTGTCTACTGACAAATACTCTGTTATTTCTCCTGCTACTTCGCTTAATATATCTGAATTTATTTTGTTAACGCTCTCATTTTTTGGTGCAAGAATCGCCCTTTCACATAACCATTTGTCTTCATGCATGTTGTTCGTTAAATCTAAATAAACGCTCGCAATTAATTCGGAATGACTCTGTACTAAATTACGAAAATCTCTCGTCAATTTAACGCAGCCCTTAGCATCCGTTTCCAACCGCCCATCGCCAATTTTTAATAGTGTGTCAGCATAGTTTCCAGCATTGATATTATCATTATACAAATGCACTCTCATATTCGTAGTTAAACTGAATTTTATCACCTTGTTCCATAAAATAGACGACTTGAGGCATGCTTTAATTTCATCTGCAGGTTTGCCCTTTTGAATGACAGGCTTTTGATAAAATTTGGCGAAAGTCACCAGCCAGTAAAACCACCATTCCTCCCATTACATCGGTATTGCTGCGCAAATCCTGGAGCGTTCTATTTAGTGCTTCTTCAGCTTTTTTTATGCGACATTGTACTTTCGTCCCATACTAAAAGTTTGCATTGTCGTAGCATTATACCTCGTGCACTATTTTTGCTAAAGTTGCAAATCAGCGATTAGTCCTGGGCTAGGTTTAGAGGGAGTTTTAAAACAGAATGTGCTTAGTAGCGTGGCGGCTATACCGGAGGAAGCTACGGCCACAGCAATGTTTTTATCTTTCCGTACCTGCGCTAATAATAAATTTAACAAAAATGTCTTCCCAGTTCCTCCAGGGGCATCTAAAAAGAAAAGTGCACCATTTCCAGATTCAATTTGTCCTAATACTTTGTCAAAAACTCGTTTTTGTTCGGGAAGCAAGCGGGGTACAAATTCGGCTACTTGGTGCTGCAAAGCTGGTATATCGTAGTTTGTTTTACTTATAATTTCATCACTTAGTTCATTTTCGGTTGTTCGCTGAGGGCTTATCATTCCAAAGTCGCTTAATTTTTTGCCTACCATTGCCATTACTTTATCTTCAATTTTTCCAAGTGCTTCATTACAAATGTGTTCATTGTATGTCATATTCGCGTGTGTCTACTGTAATTATCGCAAAATATCTTCCGCCATGTACTCTTTATATTTGTCCCACAATTCATGAGCATTAGATAGCCCGCAAGATGATATGAGAGTTGCATAAAGATCCCTAATTTTGGCTGGTGACTGGCACTGCACAGCTTCCTCCATGGTTTTATCCCAGTGATTATCGTTTTCTAAAAGATGCAGGACTTCACATGCTTCTCTATAAGTTGCGCATTCCTGACCGTTGACAGTTTTAAGGTCTTTATATCCTGTAGGACCCCGAACATGGTGCAGCAGCAATCGTAAACAGAAACATTCAAAATTAGTTACATGGACGGTATACACACGACCAAGGGCATCTGATGACTTTACACCGGGCAAATTTGTAACAGGCGCGCCTTGAATACGGCGTTTCCACTCCTTCCTAGATGTGTTCCAAGTATAATAGCGGGGGGACTTTAGAATATAACAACGTTTTTGCAAAGGGGTCGGTTTGACAAAGTTGAAAGAAGTCTGTAAGTGTAGTTTTTGGCGGTGATGCAATTCTTTCTTGGAAATTTCTTTCAGTGAAATATACACGCTCTCCATTTTCTAAGTGCACAGCAAGATGAGTAACTGTTGGGTGCCTTTCGTGTAAAGGGAGGCCAAGGAGACGCCACGCTGCCTCGTTACTGCTGACATAACGCCCTGTTTGAAAGGTCTGTACTTCATTAACGGGATTTGCCTCACCTTCACTCCTGAGATTAAATATTGCTTGGTCGCTTCCTTTATTTTATGTAATTACAGATATAATTGATTGCGCGGACAGAGCTACATGCTTCTACATTAATGTGGGCATTAAACATTTTACATAGAATGGGCGAATACGGGACAATCCAGCTGTTATCTAAGGTTTCGAACGCTCCAGAGCGAGATTTGATTGTAACTTTCCTGCCACCATCTTCGGGAGCTCTGCGTCTGTATAAAGGGTAGCCATTGTCATTGTGCACTGTTTCTTTTAATGGCTGTTTAGGGAATTTCTTTGTACATTTTCCTTCTTTCATACATGGCGATATTGAATTTCATGCTCCACATGGACCATGAATCATATTTCGGACGATGGTATCATACAATTCTTTATCTTGCTCAGGATCCGGAATCTCGGCGCTTATTATGTTGTCTATTTGGCTGGGCCGCAACTTCTCTTTAAGCCATATTAGAATGTGGGCATGCGGTAATCCTCTTATTTGCCATTCAATTGAATACATGAAGCATTGCACGTCTCCGAAAATTTTTCATTTTGTTAATTACATACATTAATTTTTGTACTTTTAATGTAAATACTCTAGCAACTAAATCGTGTCTGTCAGTACTTTTTGGCCCGGCATTAGCTCCTCGGTTATTTCTTTTCATGTGGGATTGCAAGTAAAAGTGACAAAAAGATCAGGTCTTCCGTAAGTTCTTACATAGGCCAATGCGGCTTGTGTGTACTTATGTAGGTAGCGGGGACTGTTAACGAATGATGAGGGCAGAATTACCATTTTACTTAAATCTCTGGGGTTTACATTGGCATCGCTAAAAACTGCATCTTGTAAATGTATATAATTCTCAACGCGCAGCTTTTTTTTGATAAAAATCTATACATGATACTTTTTTGTTCGGAGTAGGGTTTGTTTATGAACCTCTTTCCTTTGCAATAAATCAATGGGTATTGCAGAGCGTCATAAAACTTGTGTGTATCGGCTACCAGTTGCAACGTATCATCACGTGCTCGCAAGACATGCGTGAAAAATTGACACCACTGATAATGGCTGCTATTTCGTTTATCAATGGTGCATTGTAGCGCCTTTCACGCTCTCCTCAAGGGGTCCGATCTGCGTGAATGACGACTTTATAATCCTCTTCAGGTAGGTTTTCTAAAGCAGTTTTAAATGTTTTGACTAAAATGTTACGTTCATGCAAGAACCTTTGAATTTTGAACACTGTGTCTCTCTCAACTCCCTGGATAAATTTGCAGCGACGGTCTGCTTCAATTTCTTCGTCACCCATAAAATATACTTGTAAAAATTTATGCTGTTCCTTTTCAGCTGGAAAAAGTGAACCTATTCTAGATAATTGATAAAATTTGCCCTTGCACCGTAAATGTAGGCGAAAATCCCGGCATTATTATTTCCCGGTCAACTCCGAAGGACGTCATTTGAAAGCATGAGAATTGTTTAAAAGCCGTGACTCATTAGCATCATATAAAAAGAGAATTTTCAAAGGTTCTTCTGGTTCCCCAAGTAACGTAAGAGACACTTTGCCATTGGAACAGCACATGGCTGTGGTCTCATCTTTCGATTTTAAAGCGCTGCAAAATCGATACGCCTTGTCCATCAGTCCGATAACAACTAACCTGTGATTTTTATAATCAATCTACGGATCATTATTGAATGCTGCGTCATTAAAAACCGACTAATTGTTTCTTTGAAAATTTTATCGACGTTCAGCTTGGAGCTGTGGATTTGCATCTCTTCGCCCCTGTGTCTGTTCTCGTGTTTCAGGTGCCCTTATAGTAGATTGACGTTCAGCTTGCTCAATGAATCTGTGTTGAGTTTCATCTGGTGTTTCCACTCTCCGGCTCTTAAGGCGGCCTGACGTTTCGCTTGTTCGAATAGCCTTTGCTGACTTTGATCTGGTTTAGTAGCTTTTAAAGTAGATTGACGCTCTGCCTGTTCAAGACGCCTTCGCTGACTTTGAGAAAGTGTTTCAGCTCTTAAAATAGCATGACGCTCTGCCTGTTCAAGACGCCTTTGCTGACTTTGATCTGGTTTAGTAGCTCTTAAAGTAGCTTGACGCTCTGCCTGTTAAAGACGCCTTTGCTGACTTTGAGAAGATGTTTCGAAAGCTCTTAAAGCAGCCTGACGCTCTGTCTGTTCAAGATGCCTTTGTTGACGTTGAGAAGGTGTCTCAGATGCTCTAAAAGCAGCCTGACGCTCTGCTTGTTCTTGCTTTCTCAGTTCAGCATCTTCTAAAGATTCTAGCGATCGAGCTAATCTTTTCGGTTGTCTTTGAGAACATACTCTTGAAAGGCTGGACTTACGTTTGCGAGGCATTATGAAGTAACAAAAAACCTATTTATCAATAATCGTTAAAATACCTAAAAGGAATTAAATTTCCTTTTAAATATTTTTTTTAAAAGCAAATCCAAAATATCTAAAAGGGATAAATATTCCTTTTAAATATTTTTTAAAAACAAAACAACAAAACCAAATCAAGACACAACACGAATCCGAAAACGATAGCCAAAAAAAATCTAATCAACTTAAACCTAATCACAAAACAAATCGCAGAAAACCGAAATCGAAAGCAGTAGTCAATATAAATATAACCGATGAAAAAAGCAGTAAGTGAATAGGTACCGTATACACTATCTATACTATTAATATTCCTTTGAAATATTGTTAAACAACCTAAAACAACGAAAACCAATTCACAATTCTAAATAAATAAAATCCAAAATCAAAGCCAGAATCTAAATATGTATAAAGGAATACCAACCAAATCAACAAAACCGATCCAAGAAAATACACAAATCCGAAAATGAAAGCCAATATAAATCCATTCAACCTTAACCAAATCACAAAGCAAATGAGAAACAACCGAAATCGAAAGCAGGTAGTAGGCATGTCGATCTTAAATCGATTAATCGAAAAATCGATTCTTTGGCGTAAAATAATCGATCTTTTAGATCGATTCCGAGCACCGCATCGATTCACTGAATCGATCCAAAAACCTCTCGAATCGAACTGATACATCTGATTCAAGAACTAGCGATAAAATTCCCAAACTGGCTGGGTCAGATACCACAGTTTTTTAATTTTTTGCTGTTGGGGACGCAAAAACAACCGGTCATACTTGGTTGATAATTTGAACTCAATATATATTTGAATAAAATAAATATTTATGAACGCATCCAACAATATCGAAAAGTTGTCATTTCATTTTCATTTCTAAAATTCTAATTCTAATCTTACCTGTGGAATGTTGGTCTAACTTAATCTGTGCTGTGAACAAAGACTACATATACATACTACAATATATTAAAGCTGTGAACCTGTTTGTACTGTGAACCTGTGAATTTACTTTATTTATTATCAAAAACATACATACTGTGAGCTGTAAGTACAGACAGAATACTTTTTAAATACCTATATACTGTAAATAAATATCATATGTTGAAGTTTATAGAGGTTTATAGTAAGGAAATAACCAGTACTGTGTTCGTGTAGCATTCACTTCAATTTTATAAATAGTGAGTTATTAGATTGAAACAGATTTATCAAGAAATGTACGTTGCAATTTGAACTTTTGTTAAAGTATTGTTGTTGTTTCTAGCCTAAAATGTCAAATAAAAGTGATACATGGAATCACTTTGTAAAAAAAGGATCGAGTGGCTTATGTGCAAACCACTACTAACACAAGCGTTTCAAGCTTACCAGGAGTGGTTAAAAGGAATGTTAATAATGTTAATTATTAAAATTACTGATATTTTATTTAAAAAAATATTAAAGTTCAATTAAAGAAAAAAATCGCAAATTCTTGAAATTTCATGTTTAAAAATGTCGCGATTAATCGAAAATCGATCTTTTAATCCTCGATTTAATCGATAATCGATTCTAGTGTTTTCGATTCAAATCGATTCAGAGATCGATTTTTTTAAGAGTGAATCGACATGCCTAGCAGGTAGTCGAATAAGCTACGAAATAGAAACAATTTAAGCGTATAGGTACCGTATGCACTATAAGTTGACGCGCGGCTCAACGGCGGGAGTTAAGTACATGTACATGTACTTAACTCCTGCCGTTGTACATTTCGTTACCACGTTTTAAAAACCTAGTAACGACATCTAGCGGATTCAATTTAAACTATGTATACTTTAGTTAATGACCTCAAAAATATTTTTCTTATAATTTTGTACAATTTTTCTTATTGTAATACCGATTCATTCATAACCACATATAAGAACTGTATTAATTTCCGTTCAATACGCCTTGTCCATCAGTCCGATAACAACTAACCTGTGATTTTTATTAAAATAGAATATTTCCCACGGGAACGGGAATGTGATATTTTTTCCGCGGAAAAAAGTAGCCTATGTCACTCTACAGCCACTGAACTATCCCCATACAAAAAATCATGCCATGCCGACGCCTTGTTGCGACGTGAAAAAAGGACAAACAAACAGACAAACACACTTTTACATTTATATTACTATAGTATGGAATGGATATCGGATTTTCGATATATCGATAAATAAATAAAACTCCGATATTGATATATTTATAGTTATCGATATATCGAACATCCGATATTAAAAAAAATATCAACATTCCTAGTTTGAACTGATCAGTTGGAAGGATCGGTTGAACTGCGTGTGGGGCGACCATTACTGTAACTATTCTAACCTGTAACTTTCTTTGTCCTCGTGTGTGATAGCGCATCTGCAATGTAAGGATTTCTTAAAATTTACGCGAACACTACAAATTGACTAAAACTGCTTTACAGCACCCATGGTCATGGGGGGGGGGGAGTGGAGCTGAGATGTTTGACGTGCCATTGTCATAGTTAGTCCAGTTTTTGATTATTAATTTTGGGTCCGATCTACGCAGAACGAGCTTACAGTATCTTGAAGTCTGGCAGTGGTATGCTTGGGTTTGGGCTTAATTTTTTTAAGAATTGGTGTTCTTTTGCGAGGATTTGTGGTTTATCAAATCTGATGTAATGGTGGGGACGATCTTGAACATGTTCACAGACTGCAGACTCCCCTTGCATGGGAAATGATTGTTGCTTTCTATCGAATTACAGCATCTACCTCACATTTCACAATAGACTGTGTGCCCGTATGTCACTACTTGAATTAAATAATAAATAAATCTACACTTATGATTAAAATGTCTATGTGTAATATTGAAATAACTGACTTCTATTAAACTCAGGAGGTAATGGGGTATTACACCCATTTTCAAAAAATTATTTTAAATGAATCCTAGAGTGATAATGAACCACTATAAATTTTTTTTAAACCGAATAGTGTTCAAAATTTATTTTTAATCTATCGTTTTAAAATTTCGCGTGAAAACGCTAGCCGCCATGCTGTTCAACTCGTGACGTCACTGTCTTCGATTTTGCCGATTTTGCAAAGGAATAAGATACTTTTTAATGTTTTAATGAGTTATCATCTAAATCATTATTGTGTTGTGCTTGAACGCAAAAATACGAGTATAAGAACGTCGGGAAAGTTATGGATTCAAGTGCCAAGTATTTAAATATAAGATATACTTAGTTAAAACTGGCAAGAAGATACCCGAATAAATTGTCATCAATAACCAATATTTCTCGTTCACTTTTTACAAAATCTATCATAAATATATGTTTTCTTTAATTTTATTTTACATGGTGTAAAATACCCTATTTGCACGCTATTAAGACAAATAACCATTTTTAAATATTTTGTCTCTCTGTTCGAGTTAAGCTTCGAAATGGCTGAATCGTTCGTGATAAAACTTTACGAACTGATAAAAAGCAATGCCAGACGGAATCTAAGCTATATTTTATCCCAAAACTTTAAGGTTTTTTTTTAACGGATCGTAAAATAAATGGCCCTTGATAATTAATAGACGGGTTACTAGTAAATAAATAAATCACCTTCGTTCTTTCTTTTTTGTTATATTATATTTGGTTATATGAGAACATAAAACTATATTAGTACCTATTTCTTAATTATAAGTAATAAAAATATTAAATATCCCGTTATGCTATACTACCACGCAATAAAATACACATACCCAGTGTTCAGTATAGGGTAGTTATAGATGTACTTAACTTAAAATGTAAACTTGAAACGTTTCTATGAAATTATTATTGAAACAAACGTTCTTTCAATTTTGACAAACAAAAATTTTGTCACAGATCCTGTCTAAGCTTCAATCCAAGCTGAAGAATCTACCGCCGCAGCTAGTTCTAAAACCTTGTGACATAGAGTTTTCAAAATCTTTTAAGAACATCGAAGAGGGCATCAAAGTCAGATTATCGGTGTCGGAAATTGAATTCCACGTGGCGGCAACAACTGTACATACTGTTATGGGTGAGTATTTGTACGATCAGGTAAAGATATAAAACTGGTGGTAAGTGGTAATGTGGCACTTCACTATTGCTTTGAAGATCATCTTTTGATTGATTTTGTTTATTAAGATATAAAACTGTAGGCTCAAAGAACACCCTTTCCCTTCCACGTACTAAAGCTAAATATAGTTACAGCGCGGAAAATAAAGTTAAAGATATTTACTCGCTTCCCCTGATACACTGTAAAAAAGTGATTGGTTGCTACAAATGTATTTTGAAGAAACTGAAAAACTTATCCATAATTTTTTCCACTTTCACAATAAGTATTTCACACCGGCGTTGGATAATATGACACGAGTTTTGCATCTAAATGAGGCATTTTCAGAAAAATATAGTTTGCGATGGTTAAAAAATTAAATATGACTTAAAATAACAAATAGAATGTTGACTTTTTAAATGGTTCCTGAAATTTCAGCCTCCACTTGCAATTTGGAGCTTATCCAATGTATTCGGTTATCGTTACAGATATTATAGAAGAAGTAACCACAGAATTGACAATACCTGACGAGAAGGAAGCGTTTAACTTTGCCACATATAACCAAAGGCCGGAGAAACCAGACGAAGATCTCTGGTCTCCCAAGAAAATTAGCGTGCCGAATGTGCAACTTAGCATTGAAGGCAGCTACGTGCAGCCCAAGTACCCAAGTATCAAACCTACTGAGACCTTCGAAGTGATGGTACCGAGTGTAAAGATCATGTTTGAAATCGAGCAGACTGTTAGAATTCCCGTCCTGTTGATAAAGGTAATTTAATATACAGAATTATCGTATTTTAAAATTGTTTACACTTACACTTATTGATAATTGCTTAAACTCCATCATTATCGATCATTGAATTATTCATAAATTAATATTAAAAACGACTCATCGACCACGTCCAGATGGCTACAGACTCCGTGCTACAACAGATCCCATCCACAGAGATGGTGATACTTGGTGATTTTAAAGCCCACCACGCTGAATGGCTTGGTTCTCGTTTAACCGATCATGCGGATAGATCTGTTTATGACTTTGCATTGGCATATGGTCTGACACAACTGGTTACCTCGCCTACGCGGTTCCCAGATGTGGAAGACCATGTACCTTTCCTGTTGGACCTTCTGCTGACCTCTCATCCGGACGGATATCAAGTCTTCGCCGATGCCCCTCTTGGCTCCTCGAACCATTGTCTGATCCGGAGTACGGTGTCCCTCACGCTCTCATTGCGATTGCGTACTACAAGTCGCCGCCGTGTTTAGCATTATAGGTCAGCAGATTGGAATTGGATGCGATCTTTTTATGCATCCCACCCTTGGAGGCGTGTTTGCTCCTCGGTGGATGACCCCAGCGTTGTTGCTGATTCTGTAGCAGATGTGGTGCTACAGGGAATGGAACTTTTTATTCCACTATCTGTGGTACTTTTCGGAGGCAGAATCCACCATTAGTTTGGTCGCTCCTGCAAAATTGCACTACGTCATAAGCAGGAGTGTTATCAGGCCTGGGATCTTGACTCCAGGTCCTTCAAAAGTGTCATTGTCAAGGAAAAGTCAGAGCACATCGGTAGAATTGGCGAGAAACTAGTTCGTCTTCCTTCGGGAACACGTGCATTCTGGTCTCTCGCCAAGGCTGTCCAAGGGAACTTCTGGCAGCCATCTCTCCCATCTCTGCACAGGGAGGACGACTCACTGGCCCATGCCGCAAAGGACAAAGCCGATCTGCTGGTCTCTCTCTTTGCATCCAATTCGACTCTTGATGACGGGAGGGAACACACCACCGACCATCCCGTGGAGAGAGCGCTCCATGCAGCATGTCCTGTTTACCCAACGCTCAGTGCGCAGAGTAATCCTCTTCCTGGACGTCAACAAAAACGTAGTCCCGAAATCATGGAAGACAGCCCTCGTGCACCCGATCCCTAAAAAAGGTAACCGCTCTGATCCGTCCAACTATAGGCCTATCGCCATCACCTCCTTGTTCTCTAAAATAATGGAATCCATTATTAACAGCCAGCTCATGCGGTACCTTGAAGATCGCCAGCTGATTAGCGACTGCCAGTACGGTTTCCGTCCCGGCCGCTTGGCTGGTGATCTTCTGGGTTACCTAACTCATAAATGGGCACAAGCAGTGGAGTTCAAGAGGGAGGCATTGACCGTTAGCTTGGACTTAGCGAAGGCCTTCGATTGGGATTGGCACAAAGCGCTTCTTACGAAGATTCCTTCCTACGGGCTTCCCGATAAATTGTTCAATTGGATCACCAGTTTTCTTGCTGATGGGAGGGAGCATCAAGGTCGTAGTAAACGGTGCATGCTCCAATTACAAGCCCATTAACGCTGTTGTTCCATAAGACTGCGTGCTATCACCAACGCTGTTTCTTCTGCATATCAATGACATGTTGCAAACCGCTAAAACTCATTGCTATGCAGACGAAAGCACTGGTGGTGATTTATACGCCGGCCGTGCCAATATTTCTCAGGAAAACGTCGCAGAGTACCGAGAAAACTTGTGTCTGAAGTCGAAACTTTGTTGAACAAAGTCTCGGACTGGGGGCGACAAGGCGCAGGTTCGGCCGCACATGGAATACTGTTCCCATCTCTGGGCTAGGGCTCCCCAGTACCAGCTCCTTCCATTTGATCGCATCCAGCGCAGATTTGTTCGAATAGTCGGCGTCCGAGCTATTTCCGATCGGCTTGACTCACTGGCACTGAGAAGGCATATTGCATCTCTTTGCGTATTTTATCACATCTACCACGGGTAGTGGCTCTGAGAAATAGTTCGGACTAATTCCAGCCGCACAATTTCACCATCGCATATCGTGACAAGACTCGCGATACCATCAATACCATCCGGATGACTGGTGGTCCACCACCGTGCGATTTAAAAGAAGTTTTCTTCCTCGCACAACTTTCTTGTGGAGTCGACTACCACCAGAGATTTTTCCGGACCGATACGACTTAGGGACCTTAGGGAAAAAAAGAGCCTACTTCTTTTAAAAGACCGGCAACGCATCTACAATCCCCCTGGTATTGCAGTTGTTCATGGGCGGCGGTAATCACTTACCATCAGGTGAGCTGTATGCTCGTTTGCCTCGCCTCCCTCCTATAAAAAAACTATATACTATAATAATATTTTTTGTTAATTTCTCAAAAACTGTTATATTCTTCTCATTGCTTAGGAACTTTTGCTGTTTTGTTTAGGAATAATTTTCCACCATTTACTTCTTTAGAAGAGTTACCCTTCCCTTAACAAAGAATAGTTAGTAGTAGTAAATAGTTTTTATATCCGTGTTTGTAATAAGTTTCTAAGAAACAGGATTAGTTTTGTAAGAAATGTAGTTGCATTTGAAAAACTAAATTTTTTATTGTAGGTCAAAATTCCTTTCATTTCTTGCGCTTATAAATTATCTATTTTACCGATCTTTATAAAAAAATATCTCGGTACATAATTTCCGAAAAATAGTGATGACGTGAATCTAGATATACTTAATTTTATTTAAAGACGATCTTTAGTTCCATAATGTTAATAAGAACTTAAATTGGTCAGAACTGTGGCAAGCAAGCAATCTATAACTGTACCGTGAGTAGAGCTGCAGATCCAGATGAGACATGTTTTTAACTGACTTGAAAAAGGAGGAGGTACTCAATTCGACTGTTTTTTCTGTGTTTTCTCATAACTTTTTTCCAGGTTAACCGGTTTTGATGATTCTTTTTTAATTTGAAAGCTGGTGCTTTTCATGTAGGCAGTTCCATATAAATTTGATCAAGATTTGACCAGTAGTTTTTGAGTTATCATTAATAATGCGTATTTAATTGACTTCGACTACATTGATGATGTTTTCATTTTATTTATATTGAATTTGGTTGAAGAACTTTAATGATTTTTAATTTTACCACTTGATTTTTGGTATGATAAACTCTTAATAAAAACTTAAATTTAGCTCAAGCTGAATTTGTCATTCACCATCATGTAGACTATTAGCTTGTTTATTATTGTAATTTTGATGAAAACCTATCGATGTTTTGGAACATCTATTCTTTACACAAATATTCAAAATTTTTTGGGGGGCAGTGTCCTCTAGTTAGTAAAAAGCACTGACTTGATCATTTTATTTTATATAAAAGCATTGTTTTTAAAGTAATCGGGGTATTCAAGCTCCAAACACATTTTGAGCATTTATCGTATACGTCGTTCGCAGTTTTGCACATTTTCTTTATAATTTAAATATTAGGGGAATAAAACAAAAATACCTTTTGGGTTTGGGCAAATTTAAAAAAAAAAGACCTTCAAAAAAACCTCATCGGAACTCCTAATCCGAAGAGTTTGCATAGCAAGCGCTAGTACACTGAGAAGCCAATTGGTGGATACTGTCATGGAAGTATCATTGAAATTATTACGTTGCTTGTGTAAAATGTTTCCAGGGATCATTTCTCTATGATTCCAGACCAAATGACTATCAGATATATAGGCTATTTGTTTCAATGTTTTATGCACGTTGCAGATGTCGGCAGAAATAACGGTGCACGATTGGTCCCGGCAGCTGCACGGTGGTGGCTCACTGAGCGTGCAGGCGGACTGCTACAACGAGCAACTGCACACCTGGGAGCCGCTACTCGAGCCTGTGGTGGAGGACAACCGTCAGCGACCTTGGGAACTTACCGCCACAGTTTTCCAGGTGACTGCACATGTTATTTGATAACTAAACTAATTTTCAGCTCGATTGAGGAATCACCAAGCTCACATAGTATACCAGCCATAAATCTTACCATTAGAAAAGCAGCATAATTCTGCTATTCTAATGATGAGATTTATTCATAAAGGCTTCAACGTCAAGTCTCTAAACTCTATTTTAGGCAAAATCATACCCGATGTCATCGCGTCTTGACACCAACAGTATTCAAGAAGTAACAGAATCAGACCAGGCTGCCACATCACAGCCGCTGAAGAAGCGCAAGAAGCGTAGTGAATTTGAATCTGAGACTTCTGCAGATGAAGCCGACACTGACAATGAGATGACTTTTATCAGGAATCCCAATGGTAAGGAGAACATGACCTATAGCATGGGATTCAATGCTGGCAGTCTGTCTTTCTTGAAAGCCTTGGACATCGAAGACTCTGATTCAGAAAACGAAATTGCTCCTAAGGACAGAATGTCGACAGCTTTTGGATATTTATTTACTGAGTAAGTTGACAATGTTGATACATTATTAGGATTCTGTTATTAGATAGCACAGTTTGTTTGTTTTTCTAACCATCGTCTATGCTTGAATGTTATACAAATTTTCAGTCATCCAGTTAAATAAATTCAGTTTGCTTTAATTGAAACATAATCTCATCTAATCTTGAAACTAAACTAAGAATTATTTTTAAAATTCGATTTTTTGATTCGATATTTTCGATTGTTAAACTTGATTCATCTCACAGCGATTCTAGCGAAGATGAATTAAGTAACGACGACTCATCAACGCCCGAGCAGAGTGAAGCTGACGTTATCAGCGAAAGAGAAGAGAATGAAGAAAAGCTCGAAACCTATATCGATGGAGAAGAAAATATCAAAAGAGAGATGGAACATAAAAGTGTGACCTTACAGGTGAGATGAGTATCATATTGTTCATAGATGTTAGATATTTAAAGGTATTTGATTTCAAAAACAGAAAATAAGTTTATAGAAATACAAAAATTATATTTGAGAGCTGTAGTATTGCATTGCGGCAGCGCGGAGAACATTGCCTTGCCCTAAAATTCTGTAAGAAATGAGAGGATGCCTGTGCTCAGTCGTGGGACGTATATAGGCTGTAACTTTTATGTTTCTTTCTCATTTTGTTAAATAAGATATTTATTACTCGAAAAAAATATCTGATATGGAATAGTAGTAGATTTGTATCGCCTTTGCCTAGCTAACACTAACTATGGAAAATGAGAATAAAAAAATATTGAATTTTATAACCTTGTAGAAGTTTGTAAACTGAAGATTGAAATCGATATAGTCGTATCTTTCTATTTGACTCATATTTATCCTTTGACATGAGAAATTAAATTTTGTTTTTTAAATGAAACCAATTTTACGGTTTTTATTGCGTTTAATTTGACGTTTTAATTCTCGACGTTTCGGATGCTTTACAGCACACATGGTCACGGGGGAATTTGAGGTATTTGACGTCCTTACGTCATATTTAGTCCGGCTACCTAATAAATATGAATATTAATTTTTATTCCGATCCACGCAAAACGAGTGTAACCGTAACTTGAAGTCTTGAAGAGCTAATTTCAATAGAAAAGATGAATGGGAGCTATCATCCGCTTGAGATCCTATAGTTGATAAAATTCAGTCAAATATTGAAATTGTGGCCGTAGAAGGAAAAGGGAAATCTCCCGCTGGCCAAGGTGTTCAGCCCGAGGAGCGACCAACGCCCTGTGTTATTGATCAGAGCTATTCTATGTATACTGTTTTACTTCGGAACTTTGATAGCGCGATTCGATGTGTTTCACTTGTCGCGCGTCGGCAGCATCTATATGAAATGTCAAAAGGGTGCAGTTTTACCCCCAACATTTTGACAGTTGAGGTATAGTAAATAAAAACAAAGACAAAAAGACAAAGTCGTATACTAAAACTAATATATTAAAAAAAACTATAAAAAACAAGCTTTGGCAATAATCAGGAACACTTCGAAAAATAAACATAAAAAAACCAACTAAGCTACTTAAACAAGGCTGTAGTTTTTGGGTTATAAGAAATTAACAATATTACCGGATGATCATATTACCCTCTCAAATTAGAAAAGAGCCTACTCTTTTTTAAAAGGACAGCAACGCATCTGCAATACCCCTGGTGTTGCAGTTGTTTAAGGGTGACGGTAGTCACTTACCATCAAGTGAGCTGTGCATGCTTCTAGTTTTGGTTTTTATAGAGCGGCAAAACTCAAGGTGACCATATTATCCTCACTTATCTTATTTTACATCAATCTTAGAATGTGGCACTACAGGAGCCGAGCCGCGAGGGCAGCGTGGAGTCAGCGGTGGACTCTGAGGTGGAGGGGAGGCAGTGCACGTATGTGTCGCTCTGGGCGCGTACTGCACTCAACGCGACGCTGTCGCCAGCTGGCGTGCGCAGCTTTCGCGCTCTGGCTGCCGCGATGCACGACCGTACTACTCTTGTCACCGCCATAGTAGCCGCACAGGATGGCTTGCAGCTAGTCAACGATATAGGTATATATTTAAAGTGAAAACTTCTTTAAAAACGTTGTCGATTTGGAATTGGATAAAACGAAAAGAGACAAACATATACGTCTATAGAATTTAGCCTGCGAGAGAATGAGATAGAATATAGTATTTTCTATTATGTATGGAGTTTATGTATGTGATCTATAAACAGTAAGGATTTAAGAACGGAATTTGTCGACTAGAAAATATTTAAGTGTTTACGATGATGAAATTAAAACTTGGTGTCCGTATAATAAAATGTAGAATAAAATTTTTGCTTCAGTGCCCCCCTTTTAGTACTAACTTTGTACAATCATCGTTCGTTGTTCAATCTGTTCTTCTTTGGAACGCTCTTCCTTCCGAAATCAGGAGTGCCGAAAACCGGATTTCGTTCAAATCTAAAGTGCGAGAACTGCTCGTCAATAAAATGGCAGAATCAACTTAGCCTTCGTAGTTAGCCGTGTTTAATATTATATTAAATATGTGTGTGTGTGTGTGTGTATTTAATTTTATTTATATATAGGTACTTATATAATGAGTTTACATATATTGTACATACTTCTTATTACACCTACTCTAAGGTAGACCGTTAGATAATGCCTCAGGCATTAAGTCCGCCTATATACATCTAATGTGTATGTGAAGTTAAATAAATAAATAAGTAAAAAGTAAATAATTTGTAAACTTGGTAACAATCATATATAAGGAAAAATCCCTACAATTATCGCACTCTTGATACTCTACATTCGTCTCATTCTCTCGAAGTTTAGTTTTCGGAAGGTTTTACTTTCACCGCGTGGGAACACTTTTTTTTTTATAGAATACAAGTGATGAAAGAGCATACAGTCCATCTGATGGTAAGTATAGGTATGGTGTAGCTCATAAACGCCTAATATATGTTTCTGTCTATGGATGAAGATGAAATGCCTCGCTTCCATTCCATCTAGTGGGAGGACGTCATACAATCTTATTCTATATAAAATGTTTGTTCATACATTTAAACGCCCTAAAAAAATCTGAGAATAGTATTTTGGTGCCTCGGAAACATGGTAAACAAAAGAAAATGATCTTTTGCACCTGCAAACCCATCAACTACTTATTTGAAATTAAACACTGCACATAATTTTTTATAATATTTAATTTGTTAAACGAGACATTGTTTTTCATGTCATCAATCCTAGCGCTAAATATTCGTCATAGAAAATTTAATTGTCTAAACAACTACCATAGTCACGTTTTGTATGGCTGCGGTGCAATAATAAAAAAGTTTTACTTTTTGATTTAAGTATTCTCTTGCATTAATAACACTTTAATTTTTTCCAGGCCCCGGTTCTACCGTGCATCTGAAGACTAGAGCTGAAACTGACCTTGCAGGCAACGATCGTGTTCTCGCCATAGCTGATTACGACGTTGACACCAGCCGTCCGAGCACACCTGGTAAGCAATCAAAACATATTTTATCTGGCTCGACGGACCATATCACAAATACGCGCAATCGATAGCGTGCATTACTTCCCTGTGGTACGTCCATAAAGTTCGTAGTAGCCTGTTCTCTTTAGCGAACTGCGGACAGAAGGAGCGTGAGAGTAAAACTAATGTCAGTAGAAATAGAGTTATTAAGAAGTATGATAAGTGTTACTCTTAATGATTAGAGTGAGATAGTTAAAAAGTGTGGATGTTGAGGTTGTCACTTATCACAGTAACCACTTACATCATCAGATAGGCTGTCTGCTCACTTGGTACTTTAGTATAAGCACTCGAATAAAAAGTCTCTATTTTGTTTTAGGTTGCGATACTTCAGCAGCTGATTTGTTGGATGAAGTTGAGAAGACCACTAAGCAAGAGATCACAGATGTCGGCGACGAATGGGATTGGTAATTCAATACATTTTCAATGCTCGCACCCTTACACCAAATTGATTTACCTTACCTGCCTTGATCCCTTGATTTCTATAGACATTGCTCTAAAAAGTAGCAAATGAAATGTCACCTTTCACGTTGTATACCAAACCTAACCTGTGCATGTGGGGCTGGGCAGTGAACACTACGCGTTTGTTTCATATATTTGATAGAGTTGCCAAGGCTTGCAAGCTTTGCAAGCTTGAAGCAAGAAGATGCGCCTGCTATTAGCTCTTCGCTAAGCGCTAATAAGAGGCGCTTAGCTCACTTCTTGTTTCGCGAGTTTAAACAATTGAATATCTGTTTGATCTACTAGTATGTAACAGAAATTCAACATTTCAAAGTTTGAGTTTAAGCTTGAGATTGTCTCCGAATATATTTAGATTTAGATTCCATAGTTTCAAATGGTTAGAACACTTTTGCATTGTTATTCTAAATGGACGTAGATATCTACAGGCCACAGTATCCTCTTAATATCAGATGAACTGCAACTAAAGATCGAAATCGTTTGACGGGGTAAATAGTTACTATTATATACCTTAAATTTGTAAATACCTTTGCAAAGTAAAGAGATTGATGATTCTGTCACGAATCCCATTGTCAAAACTTGTATAGTCTACCCATGTGGTACCGTCTTTCTAACAGCAAATCATTGAAACAAAAAATGTTAGCGAATTATCGTTGAACATAGGTAGATAAAAATATTCTGATGAGTTGAAAACTTAGTCTTCAGGGGTTAAGACGCGTCTGCACTGTGTGTGTAAAGGCCACCGCAGTCACTCAACATCAGGTGGACTGTGCGCACGTTTGTCGTGTTAACTTTTATAAATAAAAACGTGATAAAGAATTATTTCTGAACATCTGTAAATAAAATACTTATATAGACAAATTGAGAACCTTTTTTATTGATTGAGAATTTTACACGTGATAAAGCCAAGCTGCAGCTACGAATACGTCGGCTCGATCGAGTAAGGTAAAATAGCACTTATAGCTGCTGTGTTTCGTAGGGCGACTTTTTTATAGGTTACGGGTGAACAAGCACACAATCAACTTGATGGCAATTGGTGAGCCATACACATAAACTTATATCCTCGATTACAAATCAAAATTCCAATACGTTGTCACTCGTGAGGACTAAGATTGAATGCCTCGTTTCCATTAGAAATGGTCTCATGTTGACTTTGTGCTCGATTGTAATCCTTATAATGTAAAAACAAGGTTATTTTATGGAATTAGGGTACCTACCGTTGGTCATCCTTATTTTATTTTTTATGTTATTATGGTGAAAAACACGCCTGTTGATGTTGAGTTCTAAACATTTATCTTCGATTAAGAATGAAAAGAGCCGTGGTAGCTCAGATAGTTAACGCTCGCTGTAAATATAACAGAGCGCGAATAACCCGGGTTCGATCACCAATAAAATTGTTAATTGCTATTTTAAGTGCTGATTTACCACGTGCTCGGCGGTAAAGGAAAACATCGTAAGGAAACCTGCATGTCTGAAGAATAAGAAAAAAAAATATTTCGAAGACATGTGAAGTTCGCCAACACGCATTGGGGCAGTGCGGCGGACACTTACTTGCCCTAAAACCCTTTCAGAAATGAGGGGAGGCCTGTGCTCAGCAATGAGACGTATATAGGCTGTAACTTTAAGAATGAAAATACAGATACCTACGATGCCACCCCTGATCACATAGACGGAATGCCTCGTTTCCGTTAAAAAGGGTCTCCGGTTCTCTACACTCACCATACGAAACACAGCAACATTAAGCTGCTATTTTACGCTGGTATTCGTGGTCGTCGTCCTACCATCGGAGCCGATCCATTTGTACTACAGCCATAATATAACTGCAGAGTAGCTCTACCAGGTTTCTGAATTCGGTTGACCAATGAGCATGTGCAACAGTTTCGAAGGTGGATTTGGCGGTACAGCGACAACACCGGTATCTCCGCACGCGTCTCCTGGTGCACCGCCCGGCGCCGCGGAGCTTCACCGTCGCCTCACCGACCTCACCCTCTCCATCCGGCTGCATGACATGGACCCGCTCAATGCAAGTATTTGTTTTTAAATACCATTACTACAACTTACCTAAAAGTTCACTGCTGAACGTAGGCCTCCTTCGTAGATTCCTCATATATTTGGCAAATATTCGTATTTGCCAAAGTAGCACTCTTGGCAGGGTTAGAAACCGCAGTTTCATTATTGTTACAAAGTTGTTATCAGCAAGATGCTGCTGCCCATCTCCTGTTATAGTTCCCTAGGGATGACCCCGGGATGACTTCGATAAGCGGATTCTAAAATAATAATATAGTATTAAGAAGTACATTAAGAAGTATATGTACATGTCACACGATTGGGCATAGCCTGCAAAAATCCTGAGAATCGTTTGTTAATTAACAAATGTATTATAGATTTAGTTTATTGGTCTCCCCTCCTGTCATTTCTGAGAAAATAATACTGTAACTTATCCACCGCGCTGCTCGAGTGCGTGGCAGTACTTCACATTATCATCATCATAATCATCATCTTCACTACAGCCCTTTAAAATACACTGCTGAATAAACACAACGACGCAACGACATGAGCACTTGCATCCATCGACTTCCCGTATTTTACCATGTCGTCACTCCATCTAGTGGGCCCTCGTACATTCATTCTTAGACTTTTTTTTTTACTGGTAACAAGGTATTTCACTGTTCAACAATTGGCATATCGTAGAGTTTTGTCAGTGTAGATTTATTACGTTTCGTTTTTGCTATAAAACTAAGAAGAAACTTATGTAGAAATAAAATAAATTAGGTACCTACTTCAAAACAGACATTTTTCTATCGATCGTAAATAATAGTGTCATGAATTGCACTATAAATGAAAGAGTGCACATATTTACTAGAAATAAAAGCGGACCACGAACAGACCCTTGAGAAACAACTATTCGCGCAGGTGAAAATACAGGTCGTGTGGGACGCCGAGCGTAAGCAAACGGTTTAGTATGAAATTTTAGTAATGGACTACGTGGTTCTCTATTTCTCTGGCATAAAGTTTTATTTCATTTATACGTGGTAGAGCCATGCTGTGCAGTTATATTAGAAGTATAGTTGTAGCACGAATGGGTCGGCTCGGCTCGGTCGACCGGGGAAGGACCATACTCTCATAGAATACTAGCGTAAAATAGTAGCTTAATGCTGCTGTGTTTCATATGGTGAGTGTAGAGAACCGGAGACCCTTTTTACTGGAAACGAGGCATTCCATCTTACTCCTCACGGGTGACAACGCATCTGCATTTTGATTCATGATCGAGGATAGATGTAAATGTTTATGGGCCACAGCATCCACTTACGTATGCTCGTTTGTCACCCTATCCAATAAAAAAAATTCTTTCTAGTTACATTATTATAAATTCTTCAACATTCTAATAATATTTTTGCATTTTAACAGATCCTTTGCCCACAACGCACCGTGTCTAAACTGCACGTGCTCCACCCGAGCAAGAATGGCACCCGCTACTATGTGTTGGTGGAGCGAACCTCGAAATATAACGCCAAGAAGATCGTAGTTAGATCACCCTTACAGGTAATGCTTTAAGTCTTTAAGCCTTTTCTCTTCCGGGGGTTGGGATACTGACGAAGGGTCAAATTCAGCGATGGCCCACTGCGGGGGTTCTAACTTAATCCAAGAAGATCCTTGAAACCAAAGTGGGTGATCTATGATTTGTACCGGAGTAAGTCCACGAGATAAACAATCGGCAGGATTTTCTGTACCGGGCACATGATAGATATTCTGCGATACTAACTCGTCTTGGATCTTAGCAACTTGGTTTGCGACGAAAATATCCCAACGATGGGATGAAGAACGAACCCAACATATAGCGACTGTTGAGTTGTAAAAGGCAAATATTTTATCTTTGTGAATTCGATCATTACATGCACTAATAACAGCGGTGATAAGCGTGGCGAGTGCCAAAATTGCGCAAAGCTCGAGGTGCGCGAAAGAGACAACCTTACGAGGGGAAACCTTTGATTTAGAGCTAATGAGGCTGACCGAATTTTTACCATCGTTCTGGACGTGAAAATATACAACGCCCCCGTAAGCTTTCTCGCTAGTGTCTGCAAGTCCAACGACAGTGACGACGCTATCCTCACCGATATTTACATGACGTGGTATTTTAATTTCACTTAGTAAAGAGAGTTCCTCCTTAAAACGTAGCCACGAACGAATAATGTTATCGGGCAGGGTGTCATCCCAATCACATTCACATAACCAAAGTTGCTTAATCAAAAGCTTAGCGTACAACACCACTGATGCGAGGATAATCGTTTTCCGCGCAACCAACGGCTGTGAGGTATTCCAGCAGCATCCCAGCATTAGTAAAGATAAAGATATATTTATTGCATAACTGTATACAATATGATCTTAGTACAAAAACATATAGTTTTAGGCCCAACAGTCTACCCATGTTGGATATGCAACAATTAAGAAAATAAATTTAAAATTTACTACTTACTAACATTAATTTTATTTAAAAAAACTCATTCATATTGTATTATCAATTAACAATTTCTTTAATTTTGTTTTCAACATATGCCCATTTAATTATTTGTGGTTTTTTTTGTAAGCATATTTATATTTTTTTTTTTGCGATTGTACTTCTTGTTAAAATTTGATTAGTGGGTGAACTTATCCATGGGTTCCGTCATGGGAGTGGAAGGTCTTGACATCTTTATGTCATTACCCAAAGTCTCCTCCTAGGACACTCACAGGACTATATTCGATATGGGGTGACAGATATACGTAGTAGAGCCACGCTCCAGCTATATTATTGTTGTCTTACGAATGCTTCGGCTCGATCGGGTAAGCACCATGCTCTCACAGAATACCAGCGTAGTTTAGCAGCTTAAAACTGCTGTGTTTCGTATGGTAAGTGTAGAGATCCGGAGACACATTTTTATTGGAAACTAGGCATTCTATCTTATGCCTCATGGTTGACAACGCATCTGCGTTTTGATTCTTAATCGAGGATAAATGTCTATGGGCCACAGAATCCACCTCCCATCAGGTGGACAGTATGTTCGTTTATCACCCATATTCTATAAAAATATATTTCAAGGCCATGTCTAGAGTTTTGATTCTTAATCGAGGATAAATATAGATGTCTGTGGGCCACAGCATCCACTTACCATCAGGTGTAATGTGTGCTCGTTTATCACCCATATTCTATAAAAATATATTTCAAGGCCATGTCTAGAGTTTTGATTCTTAATCGAGGATAAATATAGATGTCTGTGGGCCACAGCATCCACTTACCATCAGGTAGACAGTGTGCTCGTTTGTCACCCATATTCTATAAACAACATTACACACGGGTGTAGCTCGGTAATTCAATCTGCTTTAATACTTTAACTGATATGAGAAGGCGCCTGTGCCTAGAAATATAGACTAATTACGTATTTTCACCAGGTACGCAACGAAACGTCCTACGCGTTAGAACTGCTATACAAAAAGTCTGACTTGGAAGCAGCAGGTGTGGAGCCAGTGGGTGCGATGCGGAACCCGTTCTGTGGTCTACTGCGGCTGGCTGTGCTAGCCCCGGACGATACTTTCAACGTACCCCTCTATATTGCCTACCATTGCAAGCTCTACTTGCTGCCGACTAACTTCGAGTGAGTTACCTGCTTCTTGTTAATGTCTTTCATTGTTACAAAAGGTATAAACTCAAATGTTTGTTAAAATTAACTTTAAATTATTACTGGATCGATTTTTAATGATTTTCAGATTTATATTATTTGTACCGAATGTATAACGTATTTATCATCAATTTTATTGCTCAACATAACTATTTGCAATTCTATAGATTTTATAATATTGTTACGAGCTTGAGGTTCGTGACAATAAAAGTTGCCGATAAAATTACCTAAATTAACACTTTAATTTACTTTACACAAATTAAAACTTAAAACACTAGTAATTAAACACACTAATTCACTTAATTCCGCTCCGAAGCTTCGCTTGTATCGCCGAGTTCAACTCTGCCCCGATCGCATCTTGCAGCGCCTATTTATATAATTAGCAAAGAAGCGTCCCGAACATTCAAGTAAATGCGCGCCAGGCAACGAGTATTCGAGTGTAGATTTTCTAGAAACTTAGTTCTTCGGATGGCGCTGTCGGACGAGAGATTTGTGATGTCATTTTCTCAATGATCCCCTCGCTCTCGTTCCTGACACTAGATGGCGCTAGTGTATCGTCGACTTGAGCGCGTAACACTGCCCCCTCCTAAGACATGCTCGTCCCGAGCATTATCGGCCCCATAATAACGCGCCCAGCGATCCACATGGACGATCTTAGGAGTCCCTCTTGCGCCTTTCTGTAACGGCTCCGCAATGTCAAGGGCTGTCCTATCCCGTGGTGCACCAACATTGTACAATTTCGGTGCTCCTCTACTACGTGTCTGAGGTCCCCGCACGGCCGCACAACTTGTACATGTACGACACCAATCCTCGACATCGTCACGATAATGGACCCAGTAAAACTGTTCTCGGACCTTCAGTAGAGTTCGTTTAACTCCCAGATGGACTCTTGAACGACCATTATGGCACAGCTGTAGAACATTCGGCACTTTAGCTTTAGGGAAAACCATTTGCAAACGACAGCTGTCTCTTCGACCATTGTCCCATTTACGGCACAGGACTCCATCCTGAATCAGCAAGCTGTCCCATTGGGCCCAATAGCTTTTCGTGGTTGAACTCATCGCTGAGACGTCCCTCCACTTAGGCTTGGTAGCACGGGCCTTCATCCATCCCAGAATCGGCTTGATATCCGGATCTTCCTGCTGTGCATGTCGTAGGCTGTCCTTCCACCCGGTGCTGAGGTGGTCTGTCCTGAGCATCCTCATGGATACCACTTCCTTACTCTCTTGCCTACTACAATGGTTGCAATCTTCAGGACAAGGTCTTCTTGTCAATGCATCTGCGTTGCCGTGAGATTTCCCGCTGCAGTGTCTGATAGTAAAGTCGTATTCCTGCTGCTGCTGGGCGGTGCTGTTAGCAGCACTTCCTTTCTGAGACCGTTCACCTTCCCTTCCTAGGTTGTGCTTAGGGCAGCTGGACCGAAGATGGCCCCTTTCCCCACAGCCATAGCACCTAGGGCTGTATCTTTTATTGTGATCGCGAACCGTAACTGCTGTAACCTCTCTAGCGTGAGGTGAACGATGATCCTGTCGCCGCCAGGCAGTGCCGTTAGCTGCACTACCCTCTAGAGATCGATCAACTCTCCTTTCCACGGTTCGTTTAGGGCAGCTGGATCGAAGATGGCCCTTTTCCCCACAGCCATAGCACCTAGGGCTGTATCCTTTGCTGCGGTCACGGACTGTAGCGGCTGCAACCTCCCTGACGCGATGGAAACGATGATCCTGCCGCACGGCTTCTACCTCCAGTGCATGGGCCAAGGCGTCCTTAAGCGTCTCGTAGTGCCCGAGCCTCACAGCAGCTCCGACTTCCAGGTCGCGGATGCCGTCGATGAATGTCTGCACCAGGTTCCCTTCAATGAGCGCAGGTACAGACCGGTATGCTTTTCGCACCAGCTTCTCCACTTCTAGAGCCCACTGCTGCAGGTTTTAGTTGATGCGCTGCACACGATCTTTAAGCTGCGCACGAAAGACGTGTTCCAGGTGAGCGTCGCCATATCTCGCCTCCAATGCCTCAAGGAGTTGCTCATAAGTCACTTCCTCACCGAGAGCTTCCAGAACTGTTAAGGCCTGGTCGCGCAGGCCTAGTGTGAGAGCAGTCATGGCCTGACTTTTATTCCAGCCGTTCGCCTTCATAACAGCCTCGAACTGGATTTTGTAGGCTGACCAGGAAGAAGTCCCGTCGAACGGTGGCACTTTGAACCCACGTAGCGAAGGTGTAGTAGCTACTACGGGAGCTGTAGTTCCATCACCCATTTTGAGTTCGTCCAGTGATTTCTTCATGTCAGACATTACGTTGTCAACCCTATTGTTCACTTGGTCGATACGGGTTTCAGCTTCCGACAGGCGGTTTTCATGTTGACCAACCTTATCCTTCACCTCCCTTATCTCTTTCCCGAAGGTAGCGTGAATGTCCTTCATGAGGAGCATCTGCTCTTCCTTATCGCGCTTGAGCTGCTCTTCCAACCGACGGGTCTGTTCCTCCTGTCGGCGAGCCTGTTCCTCCTGTTGCTCTTTCAACAGACGGGCCTGTTCCTCTCGTCCGCGCTGCAGCTGCTCCTGTAGCATCGCCATCAGAGCAACTAAGTCAGGTGCTGCATATGTAGGAGCTACTGACGGGCCTGCAGCCGGCGGCTGACCCTCCGCCGTCTGCGGCGTTGCACCACCAAATCTCCTTTGGTCCGTCTCCTGCTGGCGTTGACTTCGGGTACGGACACCCTCCGTTTCCTCCTTAGGTAAAATCGGCATGATTTTATCCCACTTCTGACACCAATTGTTACGAGCTTGAGGTTCGTGACAATAAAAGTTGCCGATAAAATTACCTAAATTAACACTTTAATTTACTTTACACAAATTAAAACTTAAAACACTAGTAATTAAACACACTAATTCACTTAATTCCGCTCCGAAGCTTCGCTTGTGTCGCCGAGTTCAACTCTGCCCCGATCGCATCTTGCAGCGCCTATTTATATAATTAGCAAAGAAGCGTCCCGAACATTCAAGTAAATGCGCGCCAGGCAACGAGTATTCGAGTGTAGATTTTCTAGAAACTTAGTTCTTCGGATGGCGCTGTCGGACGAGAGATTTGTGATGTCATTTTCTCAATGATCCCCTCGCTCTCGTTCCTGACACTAGACGCTAGTGTATCGTCGACTTGAGCGCGTAACAATATGGACTAAATAACTTTAATCGTACTAAAAATTAGTACTATTGATAGAATCATAAAACTCCAGTACTTTTAAAACTTTAGTTATTATTATTTTCTTTAGATCTTATCAAACCACTACCCAAGGTATATGGTGGATGGAGCTTGCAAAAGATTTAGGCACACCGCGAGATATCATTTGCCCTGCCAAGGCTGATAATGATCCTAGTATATTCGCAATGAAGATTGTGCCCGTTGAAGGTATTACTAATACACAATTTTACTTTGTTTTGGTATACTTAAATATTGTATTGTGGATTTATTTCAATTTTCTTCTACTTTTTATTGAGCAAGAGTGACAAAATACTACACAGTCCACCTGATGATAAGTGTATGCTGCTGTCTATGCTGTAGTCCAGGGACATATTTTATCATTGATTAAAAATCAAAATGCAGATGCGTTGTAACCCCTGAGGACTACGATGGAATGCCTCTTTTCTAATAAAAAGATTCCTCGGTTCTATAAAATCACCGTAAAAACTCAGCAGCATTTAGTCGCAATTTAACATAAGTATTATGTGTAAAGTTAGTCCAATGCTTAAAAATAAAATAAATAAAAAGGAATACTTCCATCAACAACATTCTTTATTCAAATAAGCGTATATTAATTAGAGGTACTTCAAGTATTAATATTTGAACTTTTATTTACCAGGATGCCAATCACAAAAAGTGACTCGCGCTATTCCCAATTTGCTGTTACGCGTAGTACCATCACTTGGAGTACACAACTGCCTACCGCACGCTTTACAAATCACAGGTGGAGGGTTGAAGTTGCGCATAGAACCTGGTGAAAGGGCCCATGTTTATACTTTGGACCTGTCTAAATCTCACCGTCTTACCTTAGATATACAATATCTTGGGTTACCTTGGATTGGAAGCTTTACTTTATCTCCAGGTACATATTTCTTATGCACCACATATTATCTAATAATATAAGAACTAGAAATACTTAATTTATTTCTTCCTTTTCGATATCCGCTTGTTACATTTCTACTTCTACAATTTCTTTTTTATTTTAAAAGACTGTTTTCCGGGCGTTTGTTTATTAATTTTGTACCAAATTTACATTTGTGTCAAAAAAACTCGACTTAAGACAAGTGAAAAGTTTTTATTAAATAGAAATTATTGCCCAAAGGCTCTATTATTGGACCTATACTATTCAAGTTATATTCTATTACTATTTTCATTAAATTTTTTTATCTTTAATTTGAAAACAATTTAAAGATGAATTCATAGTTGGTATGATCATCGCCATTTTGATTTATTTAGATATGACAGAGAAAACAGTGAACATGACGACTGAGTGCGATACTGATGGAGGTAACAAACAACTTGGCGTATGCGCCCGAGTTCAACGAAGTGATTATTGGCGACTTTTGATATATGCACCCTGTTGGATAATTAACAAGACTGGACTTCCTCTACAAATTAAGGTAAATATTAACTATTTCGTAAGTTGTCTGATACTGCAATCGCCAAAGCTCTCACAAGAAAGTCATTTATACTTCGTTTAATAGAAGAAGTCTGTAACCAGCAGTGGGCCGTCACGGGCTGATAAAGGAGAAAATAATAATTTTCATTTCTTCGTTACCATCCCGTGGACTGTCTTACTGTATGATTACGTCAGATTCCGTACAAATATAATATTTATTTTTCTGTATTTGCTTGCGTCGGCAAGAAGCATGTCATGTTAGTTCGCACACGCCAAAACAACATTACATACGATAAAACATTTTAAGTGTCGCTTAATAAATTATGTTACGTGTCTTTTTTGAAATTTGGTTTTGTTTATGATTTTTAAGATTATGTAGTAGAATCTCAGTACTAGCGTACTGAGCTGAGGGTTAAAGTAAAAGAAAATAGTCAGAGTCAAAGATTATTCATTGTAAGAACTTATTTTGTGTCTAGATTTTACTTTTGAATTTATACGAATCATTATTAATATAAAAAGCAGCAAATTGAGTTCCTGTCAAAACTTATAAGGATATTTTTCACAGACCTTTTGATGGTAAGTGGTAACTACATACCTCATTGAAAACTGCAACAAACTGCAAGCAAAGAAAGTAACAGATGTGTTGTCACCTAAGAAGGCTAAGATGGAGTGTTTGGCTTCCTATACTAGCACTGCTGCTTAGTCGCATTATGAGGGTACTACCTACTAGTAAATTCAATAAAGTTTTCACCAGATACCAGTATAATATTTGTTTTATCCTTCATCGCCAACTTCATCTCTAATAACTAAGACGAAATGCCTCAAAGCCTATAATTATACTGGCACTGCTGCTTGCGACGGTAATAGGGAAGAGCGAGGTACCTACTCAGATGGTACCATCCGACCTTCTCAGATGGAATTTTAAGCAGTTACCTTTTACGTTATCCTTAGCGAGGGCGTAGTGAATTGCCTCCAGTCAAGAGGCGGCTCAGGAGGCGCAGCTGTGGTGCGTTAACTAATGTAAGATTAGGTTTTTGAAGTGAAAACTTCATTAGAATCGTTATGTTTTCAAACCCGATGAAACGAAAAAGCGACATTAAAAAGAGACAAACATATTCATTTATAGGATTTAGCGTACGAGAGAATGAGATGAATTACATTATACAGTGTTTCCGATTATTTAATGTAGGTATACTTAGTTACAATAAGCCGCTCGTGTCTGTAATACAATGTACTCTGTATGTAGAATATAATAATATAATCCTCGACCTATTTCGACCAAGGCAACCTCTTCAACTCCGATCCTGTCGTTGGTGTGCTCGTGTATGGCTAACGTAGCTAATCTTATTTTCAAGTGTTCGCGCGCAATGCGGGCAAGTGAGCGCACAATTACAGAAATTATAGTTAATCGCACAAGGTGGGCGTGCTTTGAGTTTACTACGTCGGGCATCTAATTCAGAACAGCAATTCTCCTCAAATAGTTTGACCTTGGCTTTCACCAAAGCCCTCCACTCCGGTCGTCGAGCGGCTGCTTGCTCCCACTCTGAAGGCTCAATGTCACACTTCTTCAATGTGGCGCTTAAGTACATCCTTGTAACTGAGGAGCATGATCCGGCATGCTTACGCTTGCCCTTCTCAAGTTCGGAGAAAAAGATGCACCTTGATGTATGCTGGTCTGACATTCGCAATACGTGTCCACACCAATGGAGTTGTCACCCCATAAGGTAGGCCTCAATCCCCATGGTATAGGTTCTAATTAGCACTTCTGTATTCCGAATGCGATCAGACCATCGGATGTTGAGAATTTTGCGCAGACATTGTATGTGGAAGCGATCCAGCGTCCGTATATGACGGCGGTAAACTGTCCATGACTCTGAAGAGTTAGGCAGAACTACCGTCTTATAAATATCAATTTTGGTAGCCAGCTTTAAGTCATGTGAACCAAAGACCTTGCGATCCTGTTTACCGAATACCGCAGAAGCGACACCGATCCGACTATAGATTTCAGCATCAAGGTCACACTTTGATGTTATCATGCTCCCCAGATAACGAAATGTATTGATTCTCTTGACCGTAGATATCTTAAGACATCACTTTGGTCTTTTTAACACTTATCTTCAGACCAAATCTACGGCACGAGTGGTCAAAAGCTGTTGCAGGCCAGCTGGAGAATCGGTCACAAAAAATAAATCATCTGCGTAGGCGATCTCTGTAATAAGTGCGTAAGAGACTTTTGTACGGACCTTAAGTCTGTCTGAGCTGAAAAGATTGCCATCATTGCGGAAACGAATTGCGGATTCCTTCGGGGGTAGTCTTTAAGACTTCCTGGACTACAACTGCAAAATATAACGCAAAAAGTGTAGGTGCAAGGACACACCCTTGTTTTACCCCACGGGTAAAACGCAGGTATCGCGGTCAGGTCGGAAGCCGAACTGGGATTCCGGCAAAATCCTTTCACAAAGTGTCCTGAGGCGGTTTAATAGAGGTCTGGCGAACACTTTTCCAGGCACTGAAAGTAGAGAAATGCCACGGTAGGCTTGGTGTAGCTTGGAGTGAGCATTTGTTTAGGACACTTTTTCTAGCCCCCTCCCCGGCTGAGTGAGGTAAGCAGTGCCTCCCTGAATAGTGTTGCTTTGTCACCTTGGGTACTGCCGAATCCCCTCTATCACCCCGATACAGAGCAAAAACGACCATGATGTATACTACACCCCTAAAGGACCGCCTACGTGCAGGAGTCAGACCAAATCCAACGAGCTTCACGTTAAGTCTCTCTACCTCCTCCCATCGCCGTAGGACATTGGTTTAGATCGGTCAATTGCACAGGAGATATTAATGTGCACAAGTGTACGTGCGGATACAGGTGCACATACTCGTCTTTGTCCTCCTGGACCCAGTGGAACGGAGACCGTTATGACCGGAGAGGCACTCGGACAGATGGAACAGTAGGTATATCAGTGAAAAAGGTACAGGTGGTCAGTCCTTTTCCACACTCCCATAGTCAACAGGTAGATATGGGGTGGTGCTATTCTACTTCGCCGCACACTACACGGCCAATGAGTAGATGTAGAATATATAATACATGTAAACACTCACGCCTGTCACCCAGAGGGGTAGGCAGAAGCTACAGACTTCCATTTGGCACGTTCGTGACACACCTCTCCACATCCATATACCTACGCATACATGCTCGTTGGTTAAGGGTACTCTTAATTGGGCCCATTTTCAATATATAGCCAATTTGGTCGCTAAACTTTCGCCTAGGATGTCCCTTTCCGACTCTGCCGTTCACTTCTACAACATAAAGTTGCTTTGTCATTCTTTCCTCATTCATTTTTTCTACATGACCAAACCACTGAAGCATTCCTTTATTAATCCTAGTCACAACTTCATCTTCCAAACCACATTCTTCTCTTATTACACAATTTCACACCCTGCCACTCAGATTCAGTCCTAACATACACCTTTACGACCGCATTTCTACTGCATAAATTCTACTCTCGTGTTTCTTCTGCCACACCTAACTTTCACTACCATACGTTAAAGTAGGGACTAACACAGCATTGTGAATTGTAGAATATAATGTAAAATAATTTTTAAACTTGTTAACAATATTATAATAGATAAACCCTACAATTATGCCACTCATGATACTCTGCATTCGTCTCATTCTCTCGCAGTTTAGTTTTCTGAAGATTTCACTTGTATCGCGTGTGAAGTGCACCATTTCCTGTCGCCTATTGAAACGTTGTCGGTTGTCCTCAGGGAGGGCGCGGCGAGGCGGCGCAGGAGGCTTGCGAGGAGGCGCTGCTGTGGGGCGGGCGCTTCGAGCTCGTGCGGGTGCGCGCGCACCAGTCCAGCTGGTCGCGCCGCGCGCGCGTGCGCCCGCACGCGCCCGGCCTGCTCGTGTGCGCGCATAGCGAGCGCCGCACCAACTACCGCATATTGCTACACGTCGGTGTCTTACCCAAATTGAAAGACAAACTTTTTTCATCGCGTAAGGCTTATAAACGAGGACAGGACGGTCCACCTGATACTGAGTGGTTACTGTAGCCCATAGAAATCTACATTTATCCTCGATCAAAAATCTAAATGCAGATTCCTTGTCGCCCCTAAGGCTTAAGGTAGAATGCATCGTTTGTAGTATAGAGGGTTCTCTCCGGTTCTCTACACTCACCATACAAAACACAAAAGTGTTAAGCTGCTATTTTAAAATGATATTGTGAGAGCGTGGTCCTTGCCCGGTCAAGCCAACCCATTCGTGCTACATTCATAATATAGCTGCAGCATGGCTTGAAACTTAAATAACACGCATCCATTCCAAAGAATATTTTATTTTATCCTGATGATCCTTATCAGTATTCTAGGATAAAATAATCAATTATTCAACGGTCCTTATTAAGTAAATTGACATGCAAATTTTCTATCGCCCAACTACAAGTTGTTGACAATTACATTAAAAGATTCCGTTACATAGATAAACACATGAGAAGCTAATAAAACCCTGTTAAAAAGAAAATTTTCCCCCAGAACGAATTTTGTCACGACGGCCAGTTTTAACAATGACTAGCCATCTGCGCATCACAGGATTACAGCATCTGAATGTATGTAATAGAACAACTGGACTCTCTATTCCCTCACTTTCATAATCCGATGGGATGGTTATCCGACTCGACCGGAGAGAGATCAGGCGCAGAACCTAAGGCTTTACGTGCTTTCCGAGGCACGAGATTCAAATACCTTCAACTTTCTGATTACTGGCTGCTACTGTATTTCTTTTAAAGATTAGGGTGACAAACGAGCACACAGTCTACCTGATGGTAAGTGGTTACTGCGGCCCATAGACATCTACATCTATCCTCGATTACGAATCAAAATGCAGATGCGTTGTCACCCGTAAGGACTAAGATAGAATGCCTCGTTTCCAGTAAAAAGTGTCTCCGGTTCTCTACACTCACCATACGAAACACAGCAGCGTTAAGCTGCTATTTTACGTTGGTATTCTGTGAGAGCGTGGTCCTTCCCCGTTCGAGCCGACCCATTTGTACTACAATTATACCGGTAATAAAGCTGCAGCATGGCTCTACCACGTATAGTGAGTGTTTTTTGACAGAAAAAACTCAATAACTGATTTGAACGCAAACCTTAATTCAACCCCGGCAGCTGTTGATCAGTAGTTGCGCTTTCGCCCACTAGACCAAGGAGACAGTTGAACTCATTTCATCAACGTCGTCATCAATAAAGCTCTGTATAGTAAATGTGGGAGCTCGACGGATACAGGTGGAACAGGACCGTGTTTTGTAGTATTCCTTAGGGCAGGTATTTGTTCAGCAGTAAACTTCTAATAGACTGTAATGAATCAAGGGGATCTTAGAAAATTTAATTTTTCCACCTCTTCCTTCATTTTTATTTTCCTATTTTGTTAACTTTAAGTGCCCATCAAATTTTGTCACAGGTTACACTATCGGAATTATGCCCTCAACTAACGAAGATCGTGACCCTCCTACCCTATTTTCTCGTGTACAACGACACAAAGAAACATTTGCGTTTCATGGAAGAGAACGAAGCAGCAGACCTATGGATCGACCTAGCGCCGCAGCAATGTACGCCGTTTTGGCCGCAGACTGATTCGATGTCGATGCATTGCAAGTACAGAGACTCTAACGTCGTATCCCAGCACTTCCCGATAACTAAAAATCATTTCACCGTGCTTAGAATGGATAAAGGGGTAAGTAAATAATTAATTTATATCGAAAAATATTTTTTATTAAAATCACATAAGATTTATATTTCGAATTTTATAGACATAGTGTAATGTTTTTTATAATAATTTTAATTTTCAATTTCAAGTAGGTATATTTTATTATTAAGTATACCACGTTTTTATGCACTTGTGTCTAACTTTTCGATGAGTAAGATACTTAAAATTTTGAACATGGCTCCAAATCGGATGACAATACGAGTATAAAAAACGTGGTAGGTATATTTAAAAAAAAAACAGGTTTTATTTATGAATTCTGTAATACTTACGTATCAACTATTAGTTAATCTAAGGTGATATCTTACTTCTTGTAGAAAAAACGCCATCGATCAAAATATAAAGAAAAATAGTCGTATTTCACTAATTATTAGCTTTACTATTAGCTTAAAAATATGATCCTATACAACTTTATTAAAAATGACTAATTTATATTGGTCGTATATTGTCAGTCGCTTTATTAAAGAGAAGCTGTGATTATATCGTTAAATTAACATCACACATTATATAGCCTTTATACTTCCCATTGCTGGGCACAGATTCCCTCTCATTTCTAAGAGGGTTGTGGAGCAACTAGTTCGCTGCGCTGCTTCCATATTTTTTATAACATTGGGTGACAAACGAGCACACAGTCCACCTGATGGTAAGCGGATGCTGTGGGCTGTGGCCCACACATTTATCCTCAATTAAGAATCATAATGCAAATGTGTTGTCACCCCTGAGGACTACGATGGAATGCCTCGATTCCCGTAAAAAGGCTCTCCGGTTCTCTAAACTCACCATACGAAACACATCAGTGTATCTTCAATCGTATACGATCGTCAATGGTGTGTATTTCCTAGTGTAGTGGTGTTGGGAGTAGTGGTGCTGGGATTAAGGGTGACGGCGATAATGCACGCAATTGAGGGAGGGCGGGAGGAGACACATTGTTATATTTCATTGAGTGGATGTGGGCGACGTAATTATTCTTATCAACTTTTATATAATGGATTTCCGCAAAGTAACGCCTAATTCTGATTTCCTCACAATGTTTTCCTTCTCTCACTTTATTGGTACAAGTGTATATCGTCTGCAATGGCTACTAATAAGCTAACATATTTGTAACATTTGTAATATCATAAAAAATAAGATCGAATAATATACCTCTGCAATTTCCTTATTATGTTATTTCATTATAACTTTGTTCAAAAATTTATTCGTTTAAAGTCACTCTGTACTCATTAAAAACTCATTTCAAAACTGGAGAATTTTTAATAGTAATTTACGAACTTGTACACAACAATTTTCATCCATAAGATTTCCAATTAAAATTAAGTTTCTAAAATTAAGTTAATAAATTAATCTTTATTCGATATGTATATTCACACAGTTTGTCAAAGTTATCCATATTTAGGTTTCGGTCGTAGTGGTTTCTCCAGTGACAACGTCCCATCATCGTGTAATGTGTAGGCAGTACCTCTAGATTTGTGTGTCCAAATTTTAATAGCTTTTAAATGTGCATCAGTTTGATCCCGATAGTTAGTTGTAGCTGGAGCGAGTTCTAAAGGTGGGGATTCCACGTCCGATGATGAATGTGATGATGATAATTGAGGTGGTTCTGGCGGTGTCTGATATCCAGTCGGCGATGTTACCTGTAAAAAAATGTTTCAAATTAAAGTTAATAATTTGTAAAATAATTTTATGTAAAAGCTATACTAAGCTGAATTTTTGGTTATCGCAGTACTCATTTCTTCGAAGCCTTTTGTCATTACCATTTTGTATCGGTCAAATTTGGTAGATGATGATATTTCATATTAGCACGTACAGGGTAACACCTTTACGTGCCCGTTTACGTTTTACCCTTTGTTTATACTGTTTTAATTGTGAATCCTAAATTAAATATGTATCATGGTTTGATAAAATATGTTTTCTTTTTATTGTAAGGATGTCTATCTGACGATAAGAGGTTACTGCAGATTACAGATAACTACAACCAACTTTATAATGAATACATATATATATATATATATATATATATATATATATATATATATATATATATATATATATATATATATATATAGATGTTGTTTCATCTCTAAAGAATGAAATGAAATACTTCAGTCTGTAATTTTTCTGACTCCCTTATCCTTTAAATGGAAAATAGGATTAAGTACACTGTAGCACAGTAATTTTTATAGATAATATTACCGTGACTGTAGCTTGGCGGTACACGTAGGTAAGAGGGTGATACTAAATATAATTTCATCTAGCGCCTAATAAATATTTTAAAATATTTAAGGAAAAGTACAATATACAAATACATAATTTATGTACAGGTGTTTTAAAAATATAATAGTTTATGAACTTGATCAAAAGTCGCGGTAGCTAAGGGTATTTTTTTATATGATAGGGTGACAAACGAGCACACAGCGCACCTGATGGTAAGTGGATGCTGTGGCCCATAGACATCTAAATCTATCCTCGATTAAGAATCAAAATGCATATGCCTTGTCGCCCCTGAGGACTGATATGGAATGCCTCGTTTTCAGTAAAAAGGGTCTCCTGATCTCAACACTCACCATATGAAACACAGCAGTATTAAGCTACTACTTTATGCCGGTATTCTGTGAGAGCGTGGTCCTTCCCCGATCGAGCCGACCCTTTCGTGCTACAATCGTAATATAGCTGCAGCGTGATTCTACAATATAATATAATACTGTACATAATACTATACCATAATATAAATTATTTATTATTATGGTACAGTATTATGGTCATCTTAAGCTTTACCGCCCTATAAGACCAAAACTAGATGGAGGACAGAGACAAAAACACAAAGTTTTATACTATAACTATTTTTTTAAATAGGTCAAAAAATAAACTTAAAAAACTAACTACACTTCACCATACTAAAATCGACTAAATATTTACTATAATGTCAACTGTAATTATTTGACTGACTGATGAAGATCTATCGTATCACAAAGCCATCTTTGCAAACAAGGCTGTAGTTTTTGAGTTATTAGGAAGTGACCATATTAACAGAATGACCATATTACCCTCACGTACTATAGGTAAAAAACCATTTTCGATCTACTGAAATTGACCACTACATTACTAAAATTATTAATTGCAATTTTAAGTGCTGCTACCACCTTCTTGACGGAGAAAGCGTCCTGGTAAAACCATTTTGGTAGTTTGATAAATCAGAAGAAATCGCGAATAAGTGAGTTTGCGAGAGATGCAGATAATTATCCTTATCTGCATCTCTCGCAAGTTTCACTTATTGAGCTATCGCGGCAGACTTCTTTGTCCATAAACTCTCTCAAGAATGAGAGGGTGGTTGTGCCCAGCAGAAGCTGTACATAAATATGTTGTTATTTTACTTTTATTGATCAAAATTAGTCAGTGAATGAATCTATATGTTCGAGTAAATTACGACGTTTTACAAGTTTATGTCGATGACGATGATAATTATTGAGTTGTATACTTACAGTATAATGCGGCACACTGTACGAACTGACCGAATGAAGTTTCGAATTGTAGTTCATGAGCGGTAAACTGCCAAAATTTTCGAGCTTATACGAACTAGAATCAGCTTTGATAAATGTAGGGATGTTATTTGTAAAAGATGCGTCGTAATCTTCAGGTCTTAAATTCAAGGGTGTTGGCAAGTACTCCTCCTCCATCACCTTGCTATCCGTGAATATATTTTGGCTTCTCTCGTTCCCCATTCCATTGAACTCCTGCTGGATGAAGGCGTCTACAACCGCAAACTGTTGATTCTGTATCGTCTCTTGAGGCTCTGAAGGACTAGTGAAATACATTTTAACGGCTTCTGCCCTATTTTCTAAATCGCTTTCTGATTCTCTGATTGGTTTGGGTTGTGGAGTATATTTAATGTTAGAATTTTGGAACTCCATATTAGAATGTTTATAACCGTTAGGATTAATGTAAGGACCATCGAGAGAAAATCTTTTTTCGTCATTAGCATCTTTAAAGTTTCCTTCGTTGTTAGTGTGAACCTGTTTCTTAAAATCACGAGTTTTTTCGAAGTACGTGTCTCTGTATTTTTCTTTCTCCATTGCGAACTCTACAATCTTATCCAAATCTTTCTTTGACAAATATTTTATTAAATTTTTGAGATCTTCCTGTTTTAAACCATCGTCCGATGGTCTTTTACTAAACTTGGTTGGCCTCTGGCTTGATGGAATTTGCTCCTCGTCGTCCATCATGTAACCAGGAGGTGGTGTATAGGAGAACGCACCATACACTGGATGACCCATCGGAGGTCGCTTATAAAACCTTTGCGGACTGGAATAATATTTTGCTCGTTTAATCCTCACATTTTTCATTGCCGAGCGGCATTCATTGCATGGAAGCTTTGCACATAACGCACCATTAAAAACGCACGTTAATACAAACAAAATTATTATGCGCATAGTCGAATTTTCGAGTCGCGTCTTCTGAAAACTGATAGGAAGTGAAATCCACGCGAGAATCTTATAAGTGCCGTTTTGAAAGTTGTGTAAATTAAATTAGAGTCTTCTGGCACGGGTGGTCAACGAACACATAGGTAACCATTACGTTTAAGTCTGGCGTTGTTGTGACGTAACTGAGATATGTTAGGGATGGCTTTCAATTTGGAGTTTAGAAAAGAATTGTTACATTGTTATAATTTGCCGTAATGCAATCATCGTAAATCATTGAGTAAATTTAACTATAGCGCAATGGGCAGTGCTTTGCATATGAATAAAATTTAAAAAATCATAATGACTGAAATTTAAACAATTTAATGTATATAGGCGAAACCTGACCAACTTCTCTGTAAATAATATTTATATAATATAAAGCTTAAAACTAAAAAGAAATCAACAAAAGTATATAGCCTAGGATTCAAGTAAAAAACGCTGTCCATGTATCTATACCAGTTTTTGGGTCACCAGAAATATCTTTATATTAACGAATTCCCTAGTACTTCTAAATATAATAAATTAATGACGGGATTGATAATTAACTTTCCCTGCATGCGACCTGTATGAAATTAATTTTATTCAATGCCATATTTTATTTATGGCTCTTATTGGGTTTAATTTAACCTATTTTTAATTTTAATCACCAATGTTTCTGATATTTTATAGTGTTAACACACGGTTGAACTCGGTACGCTTCAGACACGGGATTTAATCTACTCCGTATAAAATCCGTTCACGTGGAGTGTAATCTGCGAATAATACTTATTATTATTCAGTGTCCGTCCAGTCCGATGGCTCATAATCACGAGAGAACTGGGGTATTTTAATTCTTGGGGGCTTTACAAACCGCTCGCATCGGGTACACGCATACATAACCCAGCGATTGTGCGTGAGCTCACCGAAAGTTCACTGACGCTCCATCTGAGTACAAAAACGGTTTGTGCCGGCTCAGTCGGGGTATGAATGAAAGGGTTATTGGTCATGTGCATTTAAATAGACGAACAATATTTCGTGGTATTATACTAAATAAACATACATAAATAAACTGTATGTAGTTTTATATATATATATATATATATATATATATATATATATATATATATATATATATATATATATATAAACTAAGACGTTATAGATTTATACAGGTAAATAATTAGTGTTGTGAGTACTACAATTGTAAAGTTACAGCCTATATACGTCCCACGGCTGGGCACAGGCCTATCCTCATTTCTGAGAGGGTTTTAGGGCAAGGAAGTGTCCGCCGCGCTGCCCCAATGCGTGTTGGCGGACTTCACATGTCTTCGAAATATTTTTTTTCTCTTATTCCTCAGACATGCAGAGAGCCGTGGTAGCTCAGATGGTTAACGCTCGCTGTAAATATAACAGAACGCGAGTAACCCGGGTTCGATCCCCGCCGGCACCAATGAAATTGTTAATTGCAATCTTAAGTGCTGATTTACCACGTGCTCGGCGATAAAGGAAAACATCGTGAGGAAACTACAATTGGTGAATATATAATTAGTGTTGTGAATATAGGAGTCCACCTGGGTTGATACCACGCGTTTACCTATTTCTGCCACCAAATTGCAGTTCTTGCACTACTGTGTTCCGTTCAAAGATTCTGGTCGGGGAGGGTAAAGATAGTCTGTATAAATACAGGCTGTGAGGCATTACATAGTTGTCTTCAGAGGTGGCAACGTGTCTGTTCTTCCTTACTTCTTTGTTTGAGTTGTCTGCAGGTGTGTAAGGCCTGCAGTAGCCACTTACCATCAGGTGGACTGAAGTTCACATGTCACTTAAATTTTTAAGAAAAACTCAAGGGCTATTTATTTAAACGTCGTTTTCAACTGAATCAGAAACAGAAACTTTTTTATTCAATATATATTGTCAACAATACTTATTGAAAGTCACTTCTTTCGTTTACCACGGGTTCGGAAAAAACACCTCCTGGAAAGAACCAGCAAGAAACCCAGCGGGACTATTTTTTTTTTCTAATAATAGCTTACAATCATGTACGTTACAATTAACAACACAAAACAAATTAGAAATAGCTTGGTAGCGATTACCCATCCTAGGTATTATTTTCATCCACAAATTCCTTAATATTATAATAACCCTTTTTATATAAACTTAGTATAATAAAGTTTTTCAACTTTGTGTTGTACAAATTTTGTATAACTGAATAAGTAAATAAATAATATAAAAAAACCTTAAAGCTAATCACTGATACCAAGTTTCTATAGTTATACCTCAATATTGTTTAAGTTATTATAATTTTTTTATGACGGAATTTTAAAAACCTACTACGTTTTTAAAATATAATGTCCTCGAAATATTATTGATGCTGTAACAAGGGACTTTCGTAATAATGTTTTTTTTTTTAAATGAAAAGCCCAATTTGGGTTAGTGTATTTTATCACATTTTTTTTCGTTTACTTTCGTATTAGACTCGCGTGTACTCCTAAACCAAATGTAAGATAACTAATATTACGCAAGCGGTTAGAGGTAATAACACAGTACCGTATACGTAAGGATGTTTACTTAAATAATTTAAGTAGGAGATACGAGTCTTGAGAAATGATATAAGCGACTTCCTGATGATTATTTGATGTCCCACTGATCGATTACAGTTGCCCATTCTGTAGACAGCTATTATATATATACAAAAATAAATTCCTAAGGGTTTAATCATCATATTGTCTTCCACTAATTCCCACGGTACAGTGCGTTAAATGGCTATACATACTTCTTTTTTTAATTTGAAATAGAAGTGACATAAGAATTTAAGCTGCTGGCCGTATGAGGACGCTCAAAGTCGCTCAGCGAGCTATGGAGTGCTTTGCTCGGAGTTTCTTTGCGTGATAAACTAAAAAATGAGGATATCCGCAGTAGAACCAGAGTGACCGACATAGCCCAACGGATTAGTAAGCTGAAGTGGCAATGGGCCGGCCATATAGCTCGAAGAACCGACAACCGTTGGGGAAAAAAGGTTCTCGAGTGGCAGCCTCGTACCGGTAGACGAAGTGTAGGGTGACCCCACACTAAATGGAGTGACAACCTGGTAAGACATGCAAGAAGTCGATGGATGCAGGTGGCTCGGGACTGTGCTTTGTGGCATACCTTGGGGGAGCCATAGGGCTGTCCACTGCTGTACACTGCTGAACATAGGTTCAGCAGTGGACTTGTAAAGGGCTGTAATGATGATGATGATGATGATGAAGAATTTAAAGTTAAAATTACAGCCTATATACGTCCCTCTGCTGAGCACAGGCCTCCTCTCAATTCTGAGAGGGTTTAAGGGCAAGGAAGTCGGTGCCCCAATGCGTGTTGGCGAACTTCACATGTCTTCAAAATGGTTTTTGAAGTAAAACTTGTTTACGCGTGCTTGACTTGGAGAGTAAGCTTGTGAACGCATAACGAAAGCGTTACGAAAAGTGTGATCGGGCGAGGCGAACGGGAGTTGAGTGGTGGATATAAGCAAGAGAGAGCAGTGCGCGCGCACCCTTTTTACTGGAAACGAGGCATTCCATCTCAGTCCTCACGGGTGACAACGCATCTGCATTTTGATTTTTAATGGAGGATAGATGTACATGTCTCTGGGCCGCAGCAACCACTTACCATCAGGTGGACTGTGTGCTCGTTTGTCACCCTATTCTATAAAAAAAAAAACTTTTTCTTTCTCTCTTTTTCGCATAGTCAGTTACGTTCCGTATTTTATAAATTAACATTTTGTTCAATACATTAAATATTCTACGTTTAAAGTGAATAAAATTGTAAATTTATTTTAAAGTTCATGTTTTGTGAATTTTCGGGTGAATATTAACAAATTATGGAAAGTAGCCAGTAATAAATTTAAATATTTGTAGAATGTTAATATTTTTATTTATTTACGTGTAATATATGTATATATACATGTAGGTATATATATAACATATATGTGTTTATATTTATATATATATATATATGTATATATATATATATATATATATATATATTTTTTTTATAGAAGAGGGGGCAAACGAGCATGCGGCTCACCTAATGTTAAGTGACTACCGCCCCGCCCATGATCAACCGCAACACCAGGGGAATTGCAGGTGCGTTGCCGGCCCTTTAGAAAGGAGTAAGCTCTTTTCTTTAAGGTCCCCAGGTCGTATCGGTCCGGAAAAATTGCCGGTGGTAAACTATTCCACAGAGAGGTTGTACGCGGAAGAAAACTTCTTTTGAAACGTACAGTGGTGGACCGCCAAGCATCCAGATGGTGTGGATGGTATCGGGACGTTTGCCGCGTAGTGCGTTCACGAAATTTGGCGGCTGGGATTAATCCGAACAATTCCTCAGAGCACTCCCCATAGTATATGCGAAAGAAAATGCAAAGAGATGCAACATTTCTTCGCAGCGCCAGTGAATCGAGCCGATCGGAAAGCACTCGGTCGTCGACGATTCGAGCCGCTCTGCGCTGGATGCGGTCATGTGGAAGGAGCTGGTACTGGGGAGCTCCAGACCAGAGATGGGAACAGTATTCTATGTGCGGCCGAACCTACGCCTTGTAAAGTTGCAGGCGGTGTGCCGGCGTGGAATACTGTCCCGCTCTTCTGAGCACGTCAAGCTTTTTAGAGGCCAATTTGGCCTTCTCTTCCAAGTGACCACGAAACTGCACGTCACTCGATATGTCTACGCTAAGGATTCCGATACTGGCTGAGGCAACAAGGGAAGTGCCTTGAAACTGAGGAGATACGACAAAGGGGTTCTTTTTAGCGGTTAACGCGCAATCTTGTGTCTTCTGGGGGTTAAACTGGACTAGATTTTGTCGCCCCCAATCCGAGACTCTGTTCAGCAAAGACTCGACTTCAGACACAAGTTTGTCCCGGTACTCGGAGACGTTTTCCCGTGAAATATTGCCATAGCCGGTGTAAAGAGCATCACCAGTACTGTCATTTGCATAACAATGAATGTTACGGGCTTGCAACATATCATTGATATGCAGAAGAAACAGCGTTGGTGATAGCACGCAGCCTTGTGCAGCTTCGAAAGAACCGCTTTGTGTCAAACCCGATCGAAGGCCTTCGCAATGTCCAAACTAACGGCCAATGCCTCCCCTTTGGACTCTACTGCCTGCGCCCATCTGTGAGTTAGGTAGACCAGAAGATCACCAGCTGACTGACCACGGCGAAAACCGTATTGGCGATCACTAATCAGCTGGTGATCCTCAAGGTACCTCATGAGCTGGCAGTTAACAATAGACTCCATTGTTTTGGAGAACAAGGAGGTGATGGCGATATGCCGATAGTTGGATGGATCTGAGCGGTCGCCTTTTTTAGGGATCGGGTGGACAAAAGCCGTCTTCCATGATTTTGGGACTACGCCTAGGGAGTAGGAGTACCGGAAAAGATGCGTTAAAACCGATGAGCATATGATATAGCATAAGCATGAGCATGAGATATACAGATGAGCTAAAGAAGTTTTACTTCAGTCGTGTGGTCATGAGCAAACTCGTTTTTTTTTTGTTATTTCTCAGAAATTCAGGTCTCCTCACGATGTTTTCCTTTACCGCCGAGCGCGTGGTAAATCAGCACTTAAAATTGCATTTAACAATTTCATCGATGCCGGCGGGGATCGAACCTGAGCTACCACGACTCCTGATGAAGTTAATTATTCACAGACACGTGCATATGAACTCGTTAAATTTTTATCGTAGGTAATCTGATGAACGGTATAGGAACATAAAGAATTTTTTTTTGTCTTGTAATTTTGTATACGCTCGCGAAATGAGGTACACGTAAAAATTTATCAAAATTTCATCGTAATCGCGTGAATAGTATAGTAATTGGGGACAAGCAAAGAAACCTTTTTTATATTGAATAACTAAGAAATACGTAAGTAATAATATATACTGGTGATTCGAACAAACATATTATAAATTATATGGATATTCTTTCAAACAGTCAGCAATCTGCGTAGACGTGACCGGCGGTACCGACCGTCCGTTCATCATCACATTCAAGCCTTACTCCAGCGGCGACGCACCAGTCCGCATAGAGAACCTCTGCGATGACTTGTTCCTCAAGCTGCACCAGGTGGACTCTGGACAGGTGGCTCTTCTCAGCCCATACCAGTCCATGCTGTACACGTGGGACGACCCAGCTAAAGAGAGGAAGTTGCTGTGGAACATATACAACAATAAAGGGAAAGGATTTATTGCCGATTTTTCGCAAGATGGGTAAGGCGACAGATGTGTATTTATTATTATGTAAATATAAATAAAAAACAGTGGCGTAGCAAGAGGAGTGTAGGGGGCGCAAGGTAAAAGGACATTACCTTGGGGCGGGGCAAACGAAAGTCAGGATGTCCCCGCCTCATTTTTTTTTAATTATCCTACTAAATACTCAAAAACCTGGTAATTATCTAATATTGCATACATTTTAATTAAAAAGAGACTGGCATTGCAAGCATAGCATTCACATACAGAAGTGATAAGTTTTTTATAGTATAGGGTGACAAACGAGCACACAGTCCACCTGATGGTTAGTGGTTGCTGTGGCCCATAGACATCTACATATATCCTCGATTACGAATCAAAATGCAGATGCGTTATCACCCGTGAGGACTAACTTAGAATGCCTCATTTCCAGTAAAAAGGGTCTCCGGTTATCTACACTATCTTTAACAGTGGTAGAGCCACGCGGCAGCTTTGCTGTCGCACGTATGGGCTGGCTCAAACCGGGGTGGTACCACGACCTCACAGAATACCGGCGTGAAGTGGAAGCTCTGCTTCCGCGTTTCGTCTGGTGAGTGCAGGTGGCCGGAGGCCTAAATCCCCCCCCAGCGGAATTAAATGATAAACTACCCCAGGAGGGTACCAGCACCCCTGGAGAATCCCTCGCTGAGCATCCACGACCATGTTTCTCCACTTCTGAGCGTGGGTGCTCAGGCTGCCCCGCGTATTCTGGGGGGGGGCAAAATTCCGCTCAAGACTAAAACTGCTCGGGGCAAACGGAGCAACAAGACCAAGGCGACCCCTGCCACGCTGTCTGTGAATTTCTGCAATATCAGGGGACTTCACTCTAACCTAAACGCCGTCCACTACCATCTCGAGACGGCGAGGCCGGCTCTGCTCTTTCTGACCGAGACGCAGGTGTCCTCTCCGGCTGATGTCTCGTATCTCTCCTGCCCGGGGTACAAACTGGAACACTCCTTTGTGCCTCGGGCTGGAGTTTGCGTTTACGTCAGAGAGGACATCTGTTCTCGACGCCTCGGCAGACTTGAAGGTTCGGACCTGTCCATCCTTTGGCTACGCGTAGACAGCGACGACCATCCGCGCGTCTACGGGTGCCTCTATAGGTCACATAGCGGTAATGCCGAAACAGACCGACTCTTCGACCACGTCCAAATGGCTGCAGATTCGTTGCTACAGCAGATCCCCTCCGCAGAGATCGTGATCCTCGGCGACTTTAACGCCCATCACGCCGAATGGCTCGGTTCACGCTTAACCGATCATGCGGGGAGATCTGTTCATGATTTTGCCTTGGCATATGGTCTGGCACAACTGGTTACTTCGCCTACGCGGATTCCAGATGTGGAGGATCATGCACCTTCCCTGTTGGACCTTCTGCTGACCTCTCACCCGGACGGATATCAGATTTCCGTCGACGCCCCTTTAGGCTCCTCGGACCATTGTCTTGTCCGGAGTGTCGTGCCACTCACGCTGAAATCGCGATTGCATTCTGCAGGCTGCCGCCGTGTTTGGCACTATAGGTCAGCCGATTGGGATGGGATGCGGTCTTTCTTTGCATCCTACCCTTGGGGGCGGGTTTGCTTCTCGCCGGACGATCCCAACGTTGTTGCGGATTCTGTCGCTGATGTGGTACTTCAGGGTATGGAACTTTTTATTCCTTCCTCTGTGGTGCCCATTGGAGGCAAATCTCAGCCATGGTTTTGTCGCTCCTGTAAAATAGCATCATGCTATAAGCAGGAGTGCTACCGAGCCTGGGCTGACGCATCAGCGTCCAGGGATGTAAACACCAGCGCTCTAAAAAAGAAGTATAATTCCGCCTCTAGGTCCTTCAAAAGAGTCATTTCCAAGGCAAAGTCAGAGCACATAGGCAGAATTGGCGAGAGACTAGTTCGTCTTCCTTCTGGAACCCATGCATTCTGGTCTCTCGCCAAGGCTGTCCAGGGGAATTTCTGTCAGCCATCTCTTCCATCTCTGCACAGGGGGGACGACTCACTGGCCCACACCGCAAAGGAGAAAGCCGATCTTCTAGGCTCTTTCTTTGCGTCTAACTCGACTATCGATGACGGGGGGAGTACGCCGCCGACCATCCCGCGGTGTGAGTGCTCCATGCCGGAAGTGCAGTTCACTCAGCGCTCGGTTCGCAAAGCACTCCTCTCCCTGGACATCCATAAGTCGAGTGGGCCTGATGGAATCCCCCCAATTGTGCTGAGGACGTGTGCTCCAGAGTTGGCACCGGTTTTAACGCGTCTTTTCCGGTACTCCTACTCCCTAGGCGTAGTCCCAAAATCATGGAAGACGGCTTTCGTTCACCCGATCCCTAAAAAAGGCGACCGCTCAGACCCGTCCAACTACCGGCCTGTCGCCATCACCTCCTTGTTCTCCAAAACAATGGAGTCCATTGTAAACTGCCAGCTCATGAGGTACCTTGAGGATCACCAGCTGATTAGTGCCAATACGGTTTTCGCCGTGGTAGGTCAGCTGGTGATCTTCTTCTACCTAACTCACAGATGGGCGGAGGCGGTAGAGTCCAAGGGGGAGGCATTGGCCGTTAGTTTGGACATTGCGAAGGCCTTCGATCGCGTTTGGCACAAAGCGCTTCTTTCGAAGCTCCCTTCCTATGGGCTTCCCGAGAAATTGTGCGATTGGATCACCAGTTTTCTTGCAGATCGGAGCATCAAGGTCGTTGTAGACGGTGCAAGCTCCGATTGCAAGCTTATTAATGCTGGTGTTCCACAGGGCTGCGTGCTATCGCCAACGCTGTTTCTTCTGCATATCAATGATATGTTGCAAACCCGTAGCATTCATTGCTATGCAGATGACAGCACTGGTGATGCTCTTTACACCGGCCGAGCTAATATTTCTCGGGAAAACGTCTCTGAGTGCCGGGACAAACTTGTGTCTGAAGTCGAGTCGCTGCTGGACAGAGTCTCGGATTGGGGGCGACTAAATCTAGTCCAGTTTAACCCCCAGAAGACACAAGTTTGCGCGTTAACCGCTAAAAAGAACCCCTTTGTCGTATCCCCTCAGTTTCAAGGCACTCCCCTTGTTGCCTCAGCCAGTATCGGAATCCTCGGCGTCGACATATCGAGTGACGTGCAGTTTCGTGGTCACTTGGAAGGGAAGGCCAAATTGGCCTCTAAAAAGCTTGGCGTGCTCAGCAGAGCGGGACAGTATTTCATGCCGGCACACCGCCTGCAACTTTACAAGGCGCAGGTTCGGCCGCTCATGGAATACTGTTCCCATCTCTGGGCTGGGGCTCCCCAGTACCAGCTCCTTCCACTTGACCGCATCCAGCGCAGAGCGGCTCGAATCGTCGACGACCGAGTGCTTTCCGATCGGCTCGATTCACTGGCGCTGCGAAGAGATGTTGCATCTCTTTGCGTATTTTATCGCATCTATCACGGGGAGTGCTCTGAGGAATTGTTCGGATTAATCCCAGCCGCCAAATTTCAACGCATTTAGAACGCACTACACGGCAAACGTCCCGATACCATCCACACCATCTGGATGCTTGGCGGTCCACCACTGTACGTTTTAAAAGGAGTTTTCTTCCGCGTACAACCTCTCTGTGGAATAATTTACCACCGGTGATTTTTCCGGACCGATACGACCTGGGGACCTTCAAGAAAAGAGCTTACTCCTTTCTAAAGGGCCGGCAACGCACCTGCAATTCCCCTGGTGTTGCGGTTGATTATGGGCGGCGGTAGTCACTTAACATCAGGTGAGCCACATGCTCGTTTGCCCCCTCTTCTATATAAAAAAAAAAACACTCACGATACGAAACACAGCAGCATTATCTACTATTTTACGCTGGTATTCTGTGAGAGCGTGGTCCTGTCCCGATCGAGCCGACCCATTCGTGCTACAACTATACTACTAATATAACTGCAGCATGGCTCTACCGCGTGTTTAAAAACTAATAATATTCGAAGACTATTGGACTAGAAGGAGAGGAGGTAATAAGATGTCACATTACTAATAAAAAATATTATTAAACATCTGTAATAAAATATTGAAAAATAAGTTCAAATGAAGAAAAAATGAATATGAAGTATCTGCCGATCCATACTTCGTCGGGTAAGATTTTCAAAATTGTGCTAATTATACCAATATTCGAGAAATAAAAGATTATTTTTTTACATTTTATCCCCTTCAAACTGCTAAAACTATGTCACTGCCACAAAAATGCCGACTGGCATCGCTGGTGGTACTTTGCCGTTGAAATGTGTTGGAATAATCAAAGACTAAATGAAGCGGTTACATTTTAAGGATCCTACTGTATTCAATGAAGTACAAAACTTGATATCCCTAACCAGATCCTGTAAAGTAATTTTTATTTTTTATTTTTACAGTTACGGCGAGGAAAAAGTTAGTTTTCATTCAGTAAAGCATTCGACCTTGGTTGCGACAAGTAGTGTGACTTCAAAATTGTCTTCTACCCTCAAACGTTTGACACCAAAGTCTCCCGAACCATGCACATCTAGCAGCGATGACTCTGACAGTTTCGAGTTACCTGAAAACCTCGCCAGATCGAAAAAGATGAGAAAAGATAAGGTGATCGTCTACTGGATTTCATACATGAACGGGTACCAAAGATGCTTCGCTCTCGCTCAAGACGAGAAGATTGCACAACAATATAGAATGTTAATCGATTCAGAACGTAGTAATTATGAGGTTTATTTGTCCCTCGCTAGTGTTAGTTTATCGGTTTGTGTGCAAACTGGGATTGGTGTAAAGGAATTGGCTTATGTAAGTGTAACGGATTCATTACCACGCTGGGAAGTCAACGTTAGTAACAAATGGAAACAACTTGCTCCAGATTTGTGTGCTTGGATAGAGGACAAGTATCAAACGGAGCAAAAGAAGTGCAATCTGAAAGATTACGTTCACATAGATTTGGAGAAAATGCACATGACGAAGCCGTTCTTTTCAGAATTGAGACGCACGTACAACCCTGGCGTTTGGATGCAATTACGCAAATCTGACACTCATTCGTACTGTCACCTCAAACTGAATCGGCTGCAAATAGACAATCAGCTGCATGAAGCTGTGTTCCCCAGCGTACTGTACCCAGCTCCGTTGCCAGCTCATTTGAAACCAAAAGATGTGAAACCCTGTATCGAATTTGTGGCTTTGAAGCAATATGTGCCCACTTTGAACCAAGATATCTACAAATACGTAAAGATACTGGTTCAGGAGTTTAGTTTGAACTTAGATAGAGGCTTTGTCAACTACGTATTCGATATACTGAACCACTGGAAGGTGGAAGAGAAGCCAGCTGTGAGATTGCGTGCCGACTTGGCTTTAGTTCATATGCCATTAACAATAATGGCCATTAAAAGTCAAACAAGTGCACAGAGAAACGTGATCTTTGAATTTGTTCACCTCTCTCCATTGAAACTGATTCTTAGTCTCTCCTCTCGAGGGTATGCAGACAGCACCAGTAGCCCACGTCGATCGCATCATGGAAATCAGAAGGAGAACCGACCTAAACTTTTCAATAGCGATTTATTGGAGTACTTATTTAACTCTTGGGGCTCATCGCTCTGTGATATGAAGGATGTTGTGATAAGGTAAGGCTGATTGTTTCTGATATCATTTTATGGTTTTAATATACGTTTAGAAACAGCTTACAGCTATGTACCCGAGCGAATTCTGCCACACAGCTTACGTGGTAGAGCCAAGTAGCTGCTATATTTTGGCTGCAGTAGAAATTTGTCGGCACTGCATGTCAAATAGTAGTGCTTGTGCATAATAGGCAAATAGGTAATAGATAAAATTTTGTCTTGCTGCTTGAATTTTCGAAAGTCGTCTCTTATGACAGCTATGGGACAAAAAAAGCGATAAATTGTCCTACGATGCCACCTCACGTGGACAAAAATAATATAAGTATTATATTTATATGAGACAGTTATTAAAAAAGTCTATTATATTTATATGAGACAGTTATTTTTCACCCAGACAGAAACAATTTTATATATTTTTTGCTATCATTATTTTTCGTTTATATTGTCCATTTATTTTAGTACAAAATCCTAAAACCCGGTTTGAAGACAGATGGGGGCGTAAGATAATTCACTGTTCCATGCACATCAACACATTCCTCGTGGAACTCTTAAGAGATGACTAAGGAAATTGAGACAGGAGATGGTTAGCAGCGTTTAACTGATAACAGTTCAATAATTTTCGAGGGATGTTTGCCATATTCCTCGTAAGAGGCAATTTCTGGCGGGTTATGCTTGACAGTAGACTATTGATAATGATTGTAATGAGATTGTAACGAGTTTATGTACGAATTTGTACAGCACAACATACTTTATATGCACTAGAACTAAACGCGAACATAATAAAGTTTTATTTCATTTAAGGTCAATGAAAATAAGATACAATTTGTTAATGGTATAGTTTCTTTCAGAATGTCTTATTTGGAGTTAAGGAATGCTCCCATCACTATCTCAGCACTCCTGGACGCAGCGTCCCGCCACTACTGGATGCAGCTGGTGCAACAGTTCTATGTCCTCGTGTTGGGTCTGGATATCCTCGGCAATCCGTACAGCTACATCGGGGACTTCTCTAAAAGTCTAAAGCAATATTATGAACCCTATTTGGTAATTGTAATTCACTTACTACATATGTAGAACTCTATTATTTCACTGCTAATTCCACCCTCGATTCACGAACACACAGTATGTGCCAAATCGATTGAGAAAAACGGACAATGACCTCAGATATGAGCCAAGTGTCAAAAGGCGTAACTTACTAAATCTCAATTTAGATGTAATAACAATATTTAAATATTGATATTATTCACACTTCTAGGTCAGCACATATATTTTGTTTTTTTGTTTCTGAAATAATATTGTCTGTGGTTCCTATAAATATCGTAAAATCTTACGGTACATCGCGAAAAATGTGTTATATTTTATATTTCAACTTATGGTAAGTAATGCAGCAATTCATTTAATAACAGTTTCATATTTAACAAAAATTGAAGCAATATAATCACCATATTGAGCTTTTGCGAATTCATCCCTTTAAAATAAACAAAACGCGCGTTACGTCAGTTCGTTCTAAAAGAAACGTGATAATGGCAGTCAGAGATGCGTCACCTTTTGTGGGAAGATGTGAAAGGGTACGTTGCACGAAAAAATACAACTTTCAAATTAACAGATGTTAAAAATTTACTTAAAGATGGTTTAACTCAAATCACGCCAGATGAATGGAAAAACTGTGTTCAGTATGTCCTTAAGGTTGAACAAGAAATGCGTGGCATGGATGATAGGATTGATCAAACTGCAGATCGCTTTATAATTAATGTTACAGAAAGTTCACCTGAATACACATCAAGTGAAGATACGAGTGACGATTGCACCGAATAAAAATAGTTCTTATATAATATTGAAAATAAAGTTTTAAATCTTTTGAATAAGTACGTACTTACATATTCGGTGTCGTCATCACTCGAATCTTTATATGTGTTATAAATTAATGTTTTTTGTTGTTAAATGAATAAAGTACTTTATAACAATAGTTGATTTTTCTTCTACAGCGATCTTTTATATAACTTTTTAATAATACTTAATAAATATATATTATATCAATCATTATAAAAAATAATTTAAAATATCATTATAAATAAAGAAAGTACTACATATAAAATGTGCCTACATATTGAAGGTTTGTAACCCCCTGGTTAAACGACCGACCGAAACGACCGATTGTCCGTTTTTCTCAATCGATTTGGCACATACTATAGATAACTTCACCTCAAAGTTATTTTCTTAATATATTAGTTATAGTAGGTACACGACTTTGTGTTTTGTCTCTGTCCTCCGTCTAGTTTTGGTTTTATAGGGCGGTAAAACTTAAGGCTCACGTACTTTATAACAAATCTATGACAAAGATGCGAATAGCGGCCAACACACTTACGTACTTATAGTTTTGTTGTAAGCAAACTTATAATTACTGCATAATTGCTTGTTTATATGTCATTCTTCGTTTTATAATTAAACGTATGTCGTTGTAAAAAATCAAGTTAAAAATAGTATATTACGCCACTAGGGAGGAAAGTATGACATTGCAACCTCCGTGATAAGAACGCGGGTTGCGATGTCATTCTTTCCTCTCAAGTGCGTATACTATTTTTTATCAGACCAGGATCGAAATTTCGATATAAATTCAATTAATATAATTTATTCTCAAAATATCATGACATACTTTGGCGCTTAAAAAGTATAGAGCTCGCGGTAGAGAGTAATTGTGTTCTGTGCTATAGAGCTAGAAATTTGATGCATGTGTACTAAATTAATAAGTCATTGAATCGATAGACAATGTGGCACTGACTTCCCTGAAAATATGGTCGATATTCGAACTTTTGATCAAGGTATGATAAAAAACATTATTTGCTGTTAGCTTAGTGACTTATTGTACGTTTTAAATGTAATTAACTATACTTACATTTTTTCTGTAATTGTGTTAGTTTACTTCACTATATTATAAATTCAACGGAATTTCTTTCGTACTTAACACAGGCTTTAGCACTGTCTGAATATAATTTGAACGTCTAATGTCTCTTAGCTGTATTGTTATTAATAATCTTCCTAAATGATGCTGTTTCGAAAATTTATCAAAATGCAGGCGTGCCTGCTTAATTTAGGCAGCATTAGTAAGCAATTAACGTTAATTTCTTTTTATTTTAAGTAGTTAAGTTGCTTACATTAAAAATTGCTGTTACATTATATGCTTTGCGTTAAAACGCCCATCTTTATCTAAGGGTATGATGTGTGTAGGGAAGTGCGTGCGGTCGACGAGTGTCGAGCGGGCGACGGACGCTCGGGGCTCTCGCCGCCTGCCTCGGGGACGCCAGCGCAGCGCTAGTGGACAAAGCACCAAGAACACGTCCTGTACGGAAGAGACCTGGTAGATACCTATTAGTTCTTTAATCCGACTTCCAAGGTACTAATTTTCAAGGTGAATGTATGTCTCGTGAGCAATGAAAGTTAATTACAGCTCGTCAATTTGTTAATAGTGGTGAAGAATAACGAAACAGAAGATGGGCGGCATCATCTTTTTCTTACGTAGAAAAGCAGTCCTTTAATCTAGTAACCTAACCCAATCATTATTGTTCATCATGACAGCCCTTCACAAGTCCACTGCTGAACATATGTCTTACCAGGTCGTCACCCCATCTAGTGGGGATTGCCCTACACTATGTCTACCGGTACGAGGCTGCCACTCGAGAACCTTTTTTCCCCATTGGTTGTCGGTTCTTCGAGTTATATGGCCGACCCATTGCCACTTCAGCTTACTAATCCGTTGGGCTATGTCGGTTACTCTGGTTCCACTGCGGATATCCTCATCCATATCATCATCATCATCATCATCATTACAGCCCTTCACAAGTCCACTGCTGAACATAGGCCTCCCCCAAGGTATGCCACAAAGCACGGTCCTGAGCCACCTGCATCCACCGACTTCCTGCATATCTTACCAGGTTTTCACTCCATCTAGTAGGGGGTCGCCCTACACTACGTCTACCGGTACGAGGCTGCCACTCGAGAACCTTTTTTTCCCCAACGGTTGTCGGTCCTTCGAGCTATATGGCCAGCCCATTGCCACTTCAGCTTACTAATCCGTTGGGCTATGTCGGTCACTCTGGTTCTACTGCGAATATCCTCATTTCTAAGTTTATCACGCAGAGAAACTCCGAGCATAGCCCTCTCCATAGCTCGCTGAGCGACTTTGAGCGTCCTCATACGGCCAACAGTGAAGGACCACGTCTCGGTTCCGTAGGTCATCACTGGCAACACGCACTGGTTGTACAGCTTAGTTTTCAGGTTTTGAGGTATACCTGACGAGAAGATGTGTCGTAATTTCCCGAACGCTGCCCATCCATATACCTAACCCAATTGAGTAGTATAAATATTTCAATTATATATACTTTTAGGTTTACTCCTACGTGGTAAAGCCATGCCTACGTAGTACAGCTATGCTCACGTGATAAAGTCGTATTACAACTATATTGTAGTTGTAGTACGAGTGGGTCGGCTCGAACGGGGGAGAACCATGCACTCACACAATAACAGCATAAAATAGCATCTCAATGCTACTGTGTTTCGTATGGTGAGTGTATAGGTATTCCATCTTAGTCCTCAGGAGTGACAGCGCATCTCTATTCATCGAGGATAGATGTAGATGTCTATGGGCCACAGAATTCACTTAGCATTAGGTGGACTGTGTGCTCATTTGTTTTTTTTTAAACGTAATTTGTCAACCTTATTCTGTAAAAAAAATCAAGGAAATTATATTTGTAGGACTATGATACCGACTTATTTATTTATTCTATTTTATAGAAGATACGATAATATGATCATGTCACCATATATATCGGTCATTAAAATTTTCTGAAATTTCTTTTAGTCACCTCATCCACATGACGATATGCGGTATAGCGTTACTTTACACTAGCATACGGCAAAATCCCTATGACATTAAATTTCAACTTGTATAATAAACAAGTATTTTTATTTCGGAGATTGGAACCACGGACGGACAGAACAGTCTCTTGATCACCGATATTCAGCCTGTGATTGTCAATTGTGTGGTTCTCAGGTGAAGAAGGCCTCATCGTTGACAACTTGCCGGAGTCTGTGCTGGAGGCTAACCGACGGAATCCCAGCAGTGTGGCCCTCGCCGTTACCGGTCTTGTCGCCAGGCCAACGATCGGTGAGAAGTTGACATAATAATTTTTGTTGTCATACAATTGCGTACCATTTTAACTGCGTATCCTTCAAATGTGTAGCGTTTTTCTATTTTATTACCTTACTACTACTATATTAGCCCACAAACAAGTAGTGAACGAATAAAGTATTATAGTTCTATCCCTGAGAAAAACTTTATAGTCTTTTTAGGTACAATTTTAATATTTGCGCATTTCATGCACTTCTGTTCTTTTCAGTTTTATATAAGCATCGTTGATAACAATAGTTTTAGTACACATCTGTGATAGTTTTCTCGCTTTTATGTTTTTATTTTAAAGTTACACAATTTATGATTTTGTAGTATATTTCTAGATCCTTTATAAATAAGCAACCAGAGCAAATTCAGGAATAATTCAAATATGTGACGTACTCGTATTTAGTATATCTATGTCAACGTACAAATAACGATGGACAAAGAACTATGAGTATTATAAGTGATGCCGAAGCCAAGCCGAAACCAAATCGAAACCACACTCAAATTATTATGAACCCACAACTCGCACACTTATCGAACTCAACTCATTTTTAACTAATAACATGGTTTAATATGCATATGTGTGTGTCCAGCTGTGAACGTTTAGTTAAAAAAAGTTAAAGATTATATTTTTTTTTTTTGTTAAATTAAGTTTCGGGCTAGTAAAGAAAAAAGATATGTGCGTGAGTGCGTGTCAAGGAGCATGGTTTTAGCGTCGCGTCACGTTCACGTAAATTTAAAAATACATAGCGTTTTGTTTTTATTTCTTTGTGTTTCGAGTTTTCTAAAAGTAGGTTCATTTAGATTGTGCAGGCATATTTGTTTTTAAATGCAGACAATATGTGATAATATAACTACAACACAAACAAATGAAGAGTAGGCGTTTGCGTTAATATTTTTTATAATATTAGTGATATAATAGGAACTTTTTAACTTACTTCTCAGAGGTTACAGTTGTACCCACAAAAATCGTAATAATTTGTCTAATTTGTCTTATTATTACTATTTCTGTGGTGTACCGCTAACATGACAACGCAACTATAACCGACTTTGATCAAAGTTCGCTGCAGGTTACAGGTGTTCAACTGCTACGAATACAATATTTAAACGAAGTGGTTTTTTCGCTACAGAAGCCAATGTCAGGTTGAATTTATGCTCTTTGTATAAAATAAACTATTTTTTTTTATTTATCACCTAAATGTGCATGGCTGCATGATGCTATGGATTATTGGTTTATGTTTGTCCTAAGATTGTGTTTTAGTACATCATTCATCACTTACATGCAAGATCCTAAAAATATCGTATATTGCTAGTAATATCCTTATTAAATTTTTTAACATATAATAACTAAGTTATTTCAGCTTAAAATAAAATATAAAAATCCACAAATTAAATTTTAAAACAATTATGACTTGTAAATTGTGTTCGGTATTTAAAAAATACAAAGTTATACCTACAGCATGTTCTTATTTTGCATGTTTTTAAAACTAAAATTAATTATAAAACTAACGGCTCATTTAGTTAATTAGAATCTGTTTTCTGTAGAGTACGAAGTACTTACCATGAACTCATACACATTTTCTTATTTCCTTCTACGTCTGTGCGTTTGGTGTGGACCAGTAGACGAGGACTGTGCTATTGTGAAACGTGAGTAATTTAGAGCATGAGTAGTTTATATTAAAAAGGTTTATCCTTATTCAATACACAACAAATAAAACTCAAAGCATGATACGTGTTGCTAGTGTATATTTTTAGTTTATATATTTTTTTTTAAATTACCAGTGACCACGATAGAAAATTTGTATTTTCATTATGTAACATGGTGACCTCAAGGTTTGCTCGTTGCAGTAAGCAGGTAAAGATTACTATTTTTAAAGCCTCCTGCAGTCTTTTTACACGGACAACCTATTGGTTAACTAAAACTATACGCAGCGGGTGTACAGCGCGTTGCAGTCCATTATAATAATAGGTTTAGGATGCTGATGGGGCTGCCGCGCTTTTGCAGCGCGTCTGGAATGTTTTCTGAAATGCAAACTGATACTTTCCATACCATTACTAGAAAGCGTGTTGCATCGATGCTGAAGCGTATGCGGGTCAGCTCCAATAGTATTCTTAACACAATGGCAGATAGGTGGGACTCGCCGCTGCTTGAGCGCTGGATACGGCTACATGCCACGTTATTTGACATCGGTATCCTCGTAGCGGCTGATCTCAAACATCTCCATTTATATTTGTGATTATTATTTATATAAATTAATTTGATTATTAACACTAAAAATTTATATTTAATTTCAATTTTACTAACATTCTTGTATGGGTTTTCTGTAGCCTTTATATAATAAATAAATAGATATTTTGTTTATTTATTTATTATTCGATACATAATTATACTCAGGATTTTTAGTTTCGATTTAAATGTTTAATCAATATTTAATTAATGTTAATTATTTAATTAATAGTAATGACAGTCAGCATGTTATAATTCATACATGGCAATGTCAATTCAGTATTATTTTAAAATGTGGGTATTGTTTTTGATTGAATATGTAATAAAATATTTTATTATATGCGTTCCAAGAGAATGTATGAAGGAAACAATCTTTTCTATCAGTATATTTTGGATACCGTTCTTGCATGTTAAATTTTCCCCAACCTAAATCTTACCCTTTTGACGTAGCTGTTGTTTAATATCTTATGAGTTCATTCGATAATTCTAAATATAATCTAAGTATATTTTAGCTGTATGTATAACTGTAGTACAGACTACAGAGATCATTAATTATATATTTGTGTATAAAAATAAACGCCTTTTTAAATGCTTATAGACATATGTCGCGAAGCTGCACGTGCAGCTCTTTCGCCACAACTTGGCGTGGACAGTGCAGAAGCGGCGTTGCGGGCATTTGTAGAACGTACTGGTGGTCGATTAGTTGCACGTCGTCGTTTGCCACGTCATTGTCCTACCACAGAGGTTAGAAATCGCTATTTTTTTGTATTGTGTAATGATTTTACTGTAAAGATTTAGCATGTAAAATTAAAAAAATCGAAAGATATCAAATTTAACATGTGTCATTGTATAATACTGTAGACTGTAGGTAACTACTGTAATTAGCGAAGTAAGTAAGTAAGTGAAATAGTGTTTTTCATACTTCTACTACAAAGCTCAAGTGGACAAACTATTGTAATTCCGTAGTAGAAGATGGACGTCCGACTCGATTGCACTACTGGACTGTGAGGTAAAGGTAGTAAAAGTAAAAAATGTTAAATTACAGCCTAAATGCGTCCCATATTAGGTTAAGGACTCGTTTTGTCTTGTCTGTAAATGTCTTGCTCCACTTAGAAATGTTTTATTGTAAACCTTTATGACATTTTCCTTCGCGATTGAGCACGTGGTAAAAGAATACCCAAAATTGCAAGTACAAATTTCATTGGTGCCGACGTGATCGAACCTAGGTTGCTCGTGTACTGTAATTTGCGGCGATCGCTTAGTCCCTGAGTTACCACGGCCACATTATTGAGTCTGAATCCTTGTTGACGAAACCATAACTTTAGAATATAACTATTAACTCGAATACAGATTAATGCCTATTTCAGGGTCTTCGACCATATAACGCGTCAGCAGCACGAGGTGCGGCCTTATTAACCCAGTTGTCACGTGGCCACTACGCTGACACAGATGGATATGTAGCCCACGTACATCTCGCTCGTACTTCACTTACTACTCTACTTGTTACTACGCAGTAAGTATTATACTTAGTACGTGAGAGTAATATGGTCATCCGGTTAATATGGTCACTTTCGTAAAGCTCAAAAACTACAGCCTTGTTTGCACAGATGGCTCTGTGATACGGTAGCTCTTTATCAGTCAATCAAATAATAAAGGTTCAAAAGGGCGCAGCTTTATCGGCGCCATTTTGATAGTAGACATTACAATAAATATTTTAGTCGATTTTAGTATTGAGTAGTGTAGTTAGTTCTTTCTAAATTCATTTTGCAATGTGTTTCCAATTATTGCCAAAGCTTATTTGCTATTTTTTTATTAATATATTAAGTAGTTACAGTATACACCTTTGTGTTTTGTCTCTATCCTCCTCCTATTTTTGGTTTTACAGGGCGGCAAAGCTCAAAGTATATAACATATTACCCTCACGTACCTTACTAATTACTTTTGTAGTTATTTAGTAAGCTTGTTTATAAAAAAATGCATTGCTGATTTTTTGATCTTTTATATTATTTTATTTTCGATAGTGGTTTATCTTTGTTGTATCGTGAGAATAGGGGAATTAATAGAAATAACCACACCCAAAAACTCTAATTGAAATTCCAAAACGGAATTCGCTCCGGATTTGTGACCCAAATACCTAATCTCTGAAATTATGGAAATTTAATTCTTTATTTATCTTCGTCCCTGTAATTTTTTAATTGGGTAAGTTTTTAGTTACCTCTAATAAAGTTCTTATCCTAATGTAGACACATATTCCTCGTTCGAGCCGGTGGGAGCAGTAACTCTTGGCACATTGAATGGGTGGTGAAACTTGACGATCTTATTGGATTACCTATAGTGGAAGGGAATAAGCTAATTCTGAATATTAAACAGGTAAATTGTGCGAATTCAACACAATGACATTTATTATTACTGTCCGAGATTAAAGCAAAAATAAATATTAAATAATTTTATAAAAAATAATTTAGGATTTTGATTTGTGGCATTATTTTGGGGAGACCTATATTCAACAATGAGCTTGTGTAATGATGATGAATTTTTTCTGAAATTTTTGATTGAAAATTTATCTGGGAGTTTGAATTCCTTTTATAAACATTTTTAAAGACGATACGAAAGAAAGTTTAATTTAAAAGGCAACTTCTTACGAAGTATAAAAAATTTTATAAAGAAAAACGGTGACAAACGAGCACACATTCTTCTTGATGGTAAGTGGATACTGCGGCCTATGGACATATACATCTATCCTTGATTAAGAATCAAAATGCAGATGCTTTGTCACCCCTAAGAAAGGATGCCTCGTATACAGTAAAATCGATCTCCGGTTCTCCACACTCACTATGCAAAACGCAGCCAGCTTTTTTACGCTGGTATTATATGCTAGCGTGGTTCTTCTCCAGTCGAATCGATCCAATCACGCTACAACTACGTCCTGTGGTTATTGTAAGATGTGACTATGGGAGTTGTATATAATTTTCTTTACGCCAAACGTAAAATTCCCTGATCCGCAACGGGAGCAGCGTCTATAGTACGAGACCTGCTACGATTGCTAATTCACTTGTCATGTGTGGCAATCATTACAAATCCTCTTTCGCAACAGAAGAAATCCTTTAGTGGATTTTCACAGGATAATGATGAAGAAAAAGAAGACATATCCGAGGTTTTCGCAGCTAGGGTTGTTTAGATATTTGCACGAGGCTTGAGCACAATCTTGATCTGCGCAGTAGTCGCTACTTACTAGCGTATTCAATTATTTATCCTCGGCAAGAAGTATTTAATATCCTTTGTAAATTACAAGGACTGGGCGAGAAAGTTAAAATTTTTCCTCGTATTGATTCACTAGATAATCGATGTCTACTGCATATTTACGATTCTGAATCTTGAATTAATAAAATTTTATATTGGGACGGCTCCATGATGCAGTAGCTTAACAATAAGATGTGGCACTGGTAACCTCTAGTGCAAATCCTGCACGGAAGTAATATTTGTATGGCCTATAAATAATTTTTCTGGTTCCGGATGTATGTCCTTGTGTAATTTATGTATGCAAATGCCTTCACGATGCAGGAGAAAATCCTAGTGTAGGGGTAAAATGTTTCAAATCAGTTCTTAACACCATCATACAATTTTAACTAGAGGTCTTAGTGGCTGTGAGATAGAAAGAGCATTATATGCTCTCTCTACCTCACAGCCACTAAGACCATCAAATTTAAATTTTATGTCATCAAATTTTATCCTTTTTTCGTAAGCAATGAATGTGGAATATTTCAAGTTTTCTATTTATTTTATTTTTATTATAACATTATCAACCTTACAGGATGAAATGGTTAATTACTTCTCAAATGACGAAAAAGTAATCGAGATTGCTGACCCTGAAGTATTGTTATGGCTTCAATCCAAGATCGAATGTGCGCTTATACATGCATTGGAAGATAAACGTTGCCCATCGGAATAAGAAGAATAATGTTAATCATATGTAATTATTTTCAAATTTTGACCAGATATAAAAGAGAAAGTTATTTGTTGAGCATATATTGGTTACTTAAAAGTAAAGAGCATATTTTATTATTTAAAGTATAATATGATATCTATACAAAATCAATTGTAAAATTGTTTTTGGTCTGTTTTCTTAAGCACATTAGTCCTATAAAAAATGCATAATATTGAAATACTCTGAAATTTGAAGTAATTTTTTTATTTATAAACTTTGAAGTGGTTTATGTACCTCATATTATTATATTTTCTTTCTATTTGTTATTCATTGTAATTTAATATTATTTTTTGATTTCCCAAAATCAGTCATCATAAAAGTGTTTTCATTACGCGGGTTTTAACATTTAGAATTTAAATATAATAGGAACTGTTGATACAATGTTGTTACTAAAGTTTTAGCATTATAAAAAATCTCAATGTTTTGTAAAAATAATTACTACTTTATTAACTTAGCAAATGCAAACACTTTTACACGAGAAAGCTTTATTTATGTTGAACTAATGCATACTAAGAGTTTAAAATAAAACTTTTAAAACTTTTTTTTTTACAATCAGCCTGTATATTATGGAAGGTAGTTTTGTTAGTTATTGATCACTTTTGATCACTGTCTTCATTAATTATTATTTAAATGTTTTCACTTTTTATAATTTCTAGTCTATGAATGTTAAGATTGTTCGATGCACAATTAATACAATTCTCGTAATCTTGATGTGATAAATCTTTAACCTTAAGCATCAAAAATAATAAAATGGAGTTAATAATTCTATATATTTATTTCGTTTAATGATTAACCACATCAAGATGTTGATGATGATGTTTAGTCTGTATTCATTACCCTACATTCCTACATTACATTTTTACTTTAAGTGTCTTACTTAAATTTTAAAAAAAATCTTTTTAATACATAAATAAAGTAAAAAGGACATATTACATATTACACTTTTCTTATTTAATCATTGACTTTTATTATATTATAACTGTTAAATATATTATGCTTGTGATAAAATACTTCTGATAACTATATTACATATTATTTTTTTAACAGTTTGTACCTATAGTATGTGAGGGTAATATTATGGTCATCCGGTTAATATCGTCATTTTCTTATGACTCAAAAACTATAAACTTGTTGAAATAATACTAGTTTTTACGGAATTTATCGCGTATATTTAACTTTTTTAACTTTTTAAATACCCGACGTTTCGAACGCTTTACAGCACTCATGGTCACGGGCAGGACTGAGATGTTCAACGTCCATATGTCATAGTTAACCGCGGTTACCATAGATTAAAATTTTAACTTTTGTTCCGATCTATGCAGTATGAACTTATGGTATCTTGAAGTCTTGCAGTTGTATGCTTGGGTTGGGATTTAATTTTATTTATTATAGGATCCCAAGCAGATGGTAGCACCCAGCCATCTTCTCTATTGAAATTAGGATGTTTTTTGATTTCAATAGCCTCGCGAATCATCCTTGGAAGGAATCGGTGTTCTTTAGCGAAGGATCTGCGGTCTATCAAATCTGATGTAGTGACGGGGGCGATCCTGTACGTGTTCACAGACTGCAGACTTCCCGGAGCGTCGATTCTTCACATCAGCTATATGTTCTTTAACGCGGGTTTTTATTGATCTTTTAGTTTGTCCTATGTAGGAGAGACCACATTCACAATCAAGCTTGTACACTCCTGCATCTTGCAGAGGGACATTACACTTGACCGATGGTAAAAACTGACCAATCTTCTTCAGCGGCTTGAAGTATGTTTTGATGGAAGCGCGCTTCAAGATGTAGCCAATCTTGTCAGTGACTCCTCTAACATATGGCAGTACAGCAGGTACACGCTCGACTGTGGCCGGCTTCACTCGTTCACTGTGAAGTAGGCGCGGGACTCGAAGCTTGTTGACATGCAAAACTTGCTTGACATCGTCGAGCTCTGCAGCCACGTGTTTACTATCACAGATCCCTCGTGCTCTCTGAAACAAAGATTTACCCACGGTAGCTAACTGTGAAGGATGGTGGTGAGAATCACCGTTTACATATCTATCTGTATGGGTCTTTTTTCTATACACAGTATGGCTCCAGGTGTTATCAGGATTCAGAATTACTAACACATCTAGAAAAGCTAAGGAATTGTTTGCCTCTAACTCCATTGTGAACTGAATTTTAGAATTTATAGAGTTAAGATGGTCTAAAAATGCAGTTACTTTATCTAAAGGTAGAATTGTGAAAGTGTCGTCTACGTACCGCTTGTAGAACCTTGGATTTATGGGAGAACTAAGCAGGGCTTTCTCCTTAAAGTCTTCCATGAATATGTCGGCGACAATGGGAGATACAGGTGAGCCCATCGCCACACCATCTACTTGCTTGTAGAACTCCTCCTTTCACAATAGGTAGCCAGATGTAAGGAAGTGTCTGAGTAATACTGCATATTCTACGGGCATGTTGTTTTCTTCCAGCCTTCTAGTTACAATTGAGATGCAGTCTTCAACAGGTAAGCATGTAAACAATGACTGCACATCAAAACTGAACATAGTTTCATTGTCTGCCAGATGTAGGTCTTTAATCTCGCTGACAAAATGGTAGGAATCCTTTATGTGTGCTCTTGTATGTCCCCTGAGTGGTGAGAGTATTTTCGCTAAGTGTTGAGCCAATCTGTAAGTTGGTGAATCGATTTGGCTCACTATGGCACGTAATGGAGCATTGGGCTTGTGTATTTTTGGTAACCCATACAATTTTGGTGATTTGGCGCACTTAGGTATTATCCATTTTACGTCCAGATTTAATTTTTCGGAGTGTTTCTTTATGGGTCACTAGTTGTTTTTAGTGTGCTATTTGTTGGGTCGTTTTTAACCTTTTTTATAAGTACTTACATCCGACAAAAGTTCTTGTATTTTAGAATTATAATCTGACGTATCCATGACTACCGTGGCGTTTCCCTTATCTGCGCGGAGAATCGTAAGTTCGTGTTTATTGCGTAGGTTCTTTAACGCTATAAATTCGTCTTTGGGAAGATTCGGTTTAGGCACTGAACATCGACGTAACATCAGTGCCTAAACCGAATCTTCCCAAAGACGAATTTATAGCGTTGTTTTGGATGGATTGGATTGGATGGATTGGATGTTTATGGTGTGGCGATGGGCTCACCTGTATCTCCCATTGTCGCCGACATATTCATGGAAGACTTTGAGGAGAAAGCCCTGCTTAGTTCTCCCATAAATCCAAGGTTCTACAAGCGGTACGTAGATGACACTTTCACAATTCTACCTTTAGATAAAGTAACTGCATTTTTAGACCATCTTAACTCTATAAATTCTAAAATTCAGTTCACAATGGAGTTAGAGGCAAACAATTCCTTAGCTTTTCTAGATGTGTTAGTAATTCTGAATCCTGATAACACCTGGAGCCATACTGTGTATAGAAAAAAGACCCATACAGATAGATATGTAAACGGTGATTCTCACCACCATCCTTCACAGTTAGCTACCGTGGGTAAATCTTTGTTTCAGAGAGCACGAGGGATCTGTGACAGTAAACACCTGGCTGCAGAGCTCCACCATGTCAAGCAAGTTTTGCATGTCAACAAGCTTCGAGTCCCGCGCCTACGTCACAGTGAACGAGTGAAGCCGGCCACAGTCGAGCGTGTACCTGCTGTACTGCCATATGTTAGAGGAGTCACTGACAAGATTGGCTACATCTTGAAGCGCGCTTCCATCAAAACATACTTCAAGCCGCTGAAGAAGATTGGTCAGTTTTTACCATCGGTCAAGTGTAATGTCCCTCTGCAAGATGCAGGAGTGTACAAGCTTGATTGTGAATGTGGTCTCTCCTACATAGGACAAACTAAAAGATCAATAAAAACCCGCGTTAAAGAACATATAGCTGATGTGAAGAATCGACGCTCCGGGAAGTCTGCAGTCTGTGAACACGTACAGGATCGCCCCCGTCACTACATCAGATTTGATAGACCGCAGATCCTCGCTAAAGAACACCGATTCCTTCCAAGGATGATTCGCGAGGCTATTGAAATCAAAAAACATCCTAATTTCAATAGAGAAGATGGCTGGGTGCTACCATCTGCTTGGGATCCTATAATAAATAAAATTAAATCCCAACCCAAGCATACAACTGCAAGACTTCAAGATACCATAAGTTCATACTGCATAGATCGGAACAAAAGTTAAAATTTTAATCTATGGTAACCGCGGTTAACTATGACATATGGACGTTGAACATCTCAGTCCTGCCCGTGACCATGAGTGCTGTAAAGCGTTCGAAACGTCGGGTATTTAAAAAGTTAAAAAGTTTAAATACACGCGATAAATTCCGTAAAAACTAGTATTATTTCAATGTGTAGTGTTCGCGTAAATATAAGAAATCATTATATAAACTTGTTTTCATAGAAGGCTGTTTATACGATAGCTCTTCATCAATCAAACAAATAATAAAGAGTCAAAAGGGCGCTGCTTTATCGACGCCATTTTGACAGTTGATATTATAGTATATATTTTAGTCGGTTTTAGTGTAGTAAGTTTTTTTAAGTCGATTTTTCGATGTTTTCCTAATTATTGCCAAAGCTTGTTTGAAGTTTTTTTTTCTCAAATTATTAGATATAGTACACGACTTTATGTTTTCGTGTCTCTCCTCGTCCTAATTTTAGTTTTTTATAGGGCGGCAGAGCTTAAGGTGACCGTATTACCCTCACGTATTTTATTATATCTGTATACCACCTAGAAGGATAAAAACTATAAAAGGAATAAATCAATGAATTACTAATCATGTTATATATTTATATTGTACTAATAATATACAATTGGAACATAATAAATTAATAAATAATATGATATTTATTGCGAAATAAATTTTATTTTGGTACTATTATTTGCGTATATATAGTGGACAAACATTGAAAGAAAGAAGAGAAGAGAGCAAAGAAGAAGAGCAATACTTACATTTCAAGTGACTCA